GCTGCTGCTGCTGCTGCGGGAGAAGCGCTCTAGCGGCCTCCAAGGCGGCCACTATGTCGTCCTCTTTTAGCTCCACTTGCACTGCTGCCTCAGACTCTGAATCTGCTAGCGCTGGGATCGTCCAGGCTGCCGCTGCGTGTGGTGCCCCAGCGACTCCTGCTGTTAGTGCCGCTTGCGTTGCAATCGATGCACGTGCACACGGTAGTAGCGGAGCAGAGACCAACGAGACGTGCCGCGCTGACGGCCTGGAGCGGCACACAGGCGCTCCGCACACGACGGAGGCTGCGGCTGCCTCTAAGCGAATCCTAGAGGAGCTGGAGAGAACTGTTGAGCTGTACGGACAGGTGAAGCGCAGCACCAGGGAGTGGCTTGCCGCCATCATAGCAGCCCCGGCTGCCTTCATAGCGTCTCTGTGCATTGGAATTGAGCCTCAGCATCTGCCAATCCGCGCGGATACCTCAGAAGCCACAGAAACCCTCTTGACAGGGCCCTCCGGGGGGCCCCCGAGGGCAGCAGCGGCGATGCCTCGTTCTTTGAGGCTTAGAATATTGGCTATGTCATGCTTAGAGGCGTCCACAGAGTCTTTGGTCTGAAAAAACTGTGTATTCCTGGGGTTTTTCCTACACGGATATGGCGACCAGGCCGAACGGGATGGAGGGCGCATGCACGCAGCTCGGGGGCTTCGAGATAGCATGAGTAGGGGGCATCGCCTTGCATTCGGCGAGGGCATGAGAATATTCATTGCAGTGAGAAATAGCACTTTGTATAGGGCTCAAAAGCAGCAACAACCGCAAGTGGCGGGAGCAACAGTGGCAGTGTCTGGAAGGAACAGCGAATCGCGCGACAGTTTGTGATACACAAAATGGCTATTGACGACTCCATCTCCCAGCTCGAGCCTGTCACCTATATCTGCGGTGGTGAGTACAAACGCTGAACCCTAAATCTAGAGTCATAGCTTTTTCTCCCCAGATTCAAGATGACCCTGGTACTTCGGTCCCGGTGTGATCTCCCCGCAGATTGTGGATGTGACGTCACGCTGCAACGGACTGCAGCGGTGCGCTGCAGAAGCTGTGGCAGCCGAGTTATGTTCAAGAAGCGCTCCCGTAAGAGTGAGTTTGACGCACTGCTTCTCCGCCCTTTTCAAACTAAATTCAACCGAGAAGGCTCTGCCCGTAGCGGGGTGCATGCAAAAACATAGGTTTGTGCCGGTTTGTCGCTGGCAGCGAAAATGCCCCCCCGCCTCACTTCTCTGCCTCCTTTGCTGCTATGGCCGTGTCAGTGATGCAGTACGAGGCGAGATGAAGAAAACGACACATGGCAAGGGCGCTGTTGCCGCAGCGCCGCAGCTGCACCTTCGCTGTTGCCTCTCTGCACCACCTTCAAGAGGGCCTTTTCGTATTCCAGACCAAGGAGGAAGCTGCGAGTCCCATGCGAGGCATTCATCAGTGCTGACTTTATCTCCGCTCGCTGTGGGGTGAAAGGACTCCTGGAGAGTGGGAAACACGCCTTGCATTTTCCTGCTTTCCCGAGTTGCTTACGAGGTGGGAGGCGGCTGTGTCTTCCGGTCTCTATAATGACGAATTCCGGGCTTTTTTATTGAATAAGAGTTGACCAAATCATCTATCTAACGAGAAACGGAAAACTGCAAACCATACAAATCTTAGCTATCTTTTAATTCCACAGGTGCAGGTCCTGCAACATTCGGTGGAGTTGCCAGGGCTTTTTAAGTTCCTCGCACGTGCTGTCAAAGTCTAGCCAATGAAGAGAGGTTTTTATATGCTTGTTGATGACGGGCCTTCATCTAGATCAGTGCATTCCAAAATTAACACAGGTACCAGATGTGTTTCTGCATGTTGCAACCGACTTTCGTTGCCAGTTTGTTTCCCAGAAGCGGAAACGGCAATTCACTAGGGGTATACGCCCTATGGGGCCGTCCACTAATTTCGAGACGCCTTTCTTCAGACACAATTGCTCCAATAATACGAGGTGGCGCTTACGGTGCTCAGACTAGGACCAGTGGTAGCTGCAGCAGCCAGGCCTTTGCCCCTCGCAGTTTTCGCTGCATGCACTTTGGATACGCGGTGCTGCTTGGGCCGGATGAAAAGCATCCTGCGCTGTGCCCCCTGGATGTTGGCCGCTACTCTGCAGCTCGTCGGCTTCCGTTCTTGCTGCGGCTGTGTTAAGCTACGTTTCGCGCACTAAGAGGCCTTTGAGAGGGCGGCGCGCCGTGAGAGGCACGGTATTACGTTCTGCCTGCAGAAGGGAGGACTCAGTATCGGTGCACAAACAGTTACACTCAAAGGTCTTGAAGAAAGCTCTTAGCGAGATGGCGATAGTCGCTTGGAGGTTCGCCAGTGGCGTGCGTGGTCTACAGTTGCAGGCCCTCAAGGACGTATTTTTTGGTAGTGTTTTTGGGGGCGACGGCCGCGCGGATGACATTCTAGCGCTCTTCTTCCCCTGCAGCACTGCCGGAGTAAAGCCTCAGCGAATGTTTGCTGCCTGCAGGATTTTTGGGTGGAAGCGGCAGAAGAGCAGCGGGGTGGGGGCATCTATGAGCGGAACAGAGAAAAGATTGACGAGGGCCTGTTGTTTAGACAGTGGATGGGTGAGCGGATGGGCTCATTTGGCCTACTGCTTTAAGAGCTTTCCAGATTCAGGAACGGGCAAAAAGCCCGACTTCTTGAGCTCATGAAGCCCTCCATAGATGGTGGGGAAGGCCTCGGAAAACGTTTTGCCTGGGGAGAAGGCACTTGTGCAAATCCAGAGGCTGCAGGGTCGGATGGATGTAGCAGTGCGGCGAAAACTACGGGGAAGATGGAAACGAAAACCTAATTCGCATACCTCCATGTGAAGTATAACAGTACACGTGTAGGGTCGACTAGAACCTCATAGCGCACTGTGAAAGTGCGCAACTGCCCTCCTGCACGTATTTCGCGCAGCTTCAGCTATGCTGTTGGCTCGTGCGGGCACCCTACAAATATTTTGCAGCTTTGCCTTCAAAGGCTTTGACTCGATCTGGCTGGGATGCGAAACACATGTGCTTAGGAATTTGTTTGGGCAAAGTTCTGTAAAGGTTCTTCCTGCTTGTTTCTGACTTCGACAAAGCAGATAGCCGGGTTTTTGCATCCTTGGAGCAGTTGAGGGCCGAGTATTCCATACCACGACTGCGCCAGGCTCTACCTGACATACCCTGAAAAGGACATTTGCTAGGAACTTGCAAGCGCATTCCCATTGGATTCCCCGATTGTACGCGGCATACTGTGAATCGCGGCACTGCAGGGATGATGGGAACATTCAGCTCGCGGTCCTGCAACAGAACCACGTTTCTATGCAGCTCGACTGGCTTTCAGAAAATGCGGCACGCGGGCTTCCCCGGCGCGGAATTTCAACGGCAGCACACGCACGCTATGCAGTATGCAACTACTCTTCGGCAGGTGCTGTACATGTCGTTGCAAGGAATCACTCCCATGTGCGTAAGTACTGGCAATATCTTATCGGGGAGCACGCGTCTGAAGTTTCTGAGATGCGGGATTCTGCAACCTAGAGGCTAATCGACGAGTGCGGTTGTTCACAGAGCAAACTTGCCGACATAGCGCCAAGCGAACAGAGGTCTGCAAACTTGGCCGCGCTCGGTTCGGTTGCTCGGCCTTAGCTGCTTGTACGTTGCACTCTCTCGGCGCTCGGCAGTTTTTCATTACCCCCTGCGGCACCCAACCTATCGTTCATGGCTTATGCTGCTTCAAGTAGCTAAGGCTGTAGAAAGTTTCGTAAAAGTGTCCTTTTTCCTGGACACCTCGGAAGGCCTCACTAGTAACCTGTCGCTGTTTCGGGGAGGCCCTCGATGGAGCATTCATTTCAATGTCAGGGTCACGAGGGGTATGTAGCAAAGAGCTGGAGGATAGAGGCGGCGCCAGTGCCACCTCCTGTCTTCACGTTCCGCCATGCTGGAATTTAGATTCGCAATACTGTGGGTAGTACGATGTAGAAAAGATCTCTACGTGGGTGAAACACATGGTATATAAAACTCAAAAGTTTCGGTGCGCATGCTAGCATATAGGCTAGCCCGACGTCGTGGAGAATTCAAGGTAAAGTTTGCTCAGCCCCGTACTACGCGTATATACCTCCGGTTTACGTACTTCAGAGCTGCCATAGGTGTCACTCACTCCCGTGTGGCACGCAATTCAGCAGTAAAATATCTTTTCCGTTTGTGGAGGTGTCATGTGCCTGTGACATTTGACCCTCACTTAATTTGTATTGGCTGGCAGCGCTCTTTTACCATTACCCCAGTTGTACACCTTTCGCCAAATGGCGACCTGATCATCTCGCAAGTTCCTGTCCTTCGAATGAATTTCATGAACGACGCGTTCTTCGCTGCTGGAGTCAAATACCAGCCAGACCCGGAATCGGCCAGGCACATAAATAGCGCGAGTTAGCACGCGTGCACCAAGCCGACCCAGGCCAACATCCCAGCAGCTGTTCTAAAACCGTCGCAGTATCCTTTTCCGCTGTGTTCCTGGACGAGAAAAAAACCGGTTGGTGCGTGCTGCGGCCGTATCTAGCGGCATTTGCACGATGCATGCTCACCAACATCATTCAAGTGGCGCTGAGCTGTCGTTCGGGGGAGTGCCGGAGCAAGCTTTGCTTGGCATTGCCTGCCCCCTCAGCTCCATTCCAACAGCAAGCCACCCCAAGGCGCAAAGAGTTGAGGCACTCTGAGTGTCCGACTCCTTATGGTATGCTTCTACGCGCTGTCTTCCGTTCTCTGTAGCGAATTGATATGATGACCTCAGTAAACGCAGATCTGGCGCCTTAAACATGTTCTCCAGAGAAGGTTCATGAACTTCACTAGAAACATGACGACGATGCTGGTCAAAGATACGACTAGTACGCCCCTTTACCAAAGAAAAATCGGCCACTCTCTATCTTGTCTCTCCAGTTCACGGAGAGAGCAGCAGATCTAAGCAGTTTCAGCTAATCATCACAGAAGTCCTCTGCTCCGCCTAGCCCGCGGCGGCCTGCGGAGATTGTCGCTTGTCGCTTTCCTGGGTTTCCATGTACTTGGTTCGCGGGTAATACTTCCTGAGAAGATCTTCCTTGATCTTCTTAAGCATATCTTCGGGGAAAGTACGAAGCAGCTCCCAGGCAATGTCCAGACTTTGGAAGATGTCACGTCCCTCATACGGGCCCTGCTGCAGGAAGCGGCGCTCGAACTTGTCAGTAAACTCCATGTAGAGCATGTCGTCGGCAGACAACGCCTCCTCGCCGACTACTGCCTTCATGGCACGTGTGTCTTGGCCAATGGCATAGTTGGCATACAACTGAAAAGGCAAGGGCACACAAGACATTTCACAACCCGTAACAGCGAGGCACAGCCAGCCAAGAAAACTCGCTGGGGCGAAACAAGATAAAAGGCGCAGCATCTGTCGGTAACATAGCGATGAAGAGCTCGCAAGTGCAGGCCAAAAATCGAGTGTGGGATGGGAAATACACATTACAAATCGTAACATCGAGCTTCCTACTAAGGAACGAAAACAGATATCAACAGTGAACTGTCCATGCCTATAGGTTAAACTTCTCCGTCACACGTAAAAGTCGGGTCACAAACGCAGGTTCCCGTACAACTGTATGGAATTGTACGTCTAAGAAGAACTGCATAAAGGGGGTAGCTTGCAGAAAGCAACTATTTGGGGCTCGCATGCAGAGACAAACAATCGTGCAGCAACTCTCTTACGACATGGACACGTTGTGTAGAAGATTACCATCAGCCCTCTAAGTGCGATGACCTCTGATTGGAAAAGCACTTCCTTACCCTCCCAGACACCCTCCCTAAGCATTCTGTGCATCCTCCTACGACGCTGGGGACTGTTCATGTTTGCACATCTCTCCGTACCTGATCAGACACCGCAGGGTGGTCCTCCCTGGTCATCCCTTTTCCGATTCCGCTCTTCATGAGACGACTGAGGGAAGGTAGAACGTTGATCGGCGGATATATCTGCCTGTTATGAAGCGACCGGTCCACGAAGATTTGCCCCTCAGTAATGTAGCCCGTCAGATCTGGGATGGGATGAGTAATGTCGTCGTTAGGCATTGTGAGAATGGGGAACTGTGTGATAGAACCATTGCGGCCCTCTACCCGTCCAGCCCTTTCATAAATCGTTGACAAATCCGTGTACATGTATCCGGGGTACCCGCGGCGACCAGGCACTTCCTCCCTGGCGGCGGAGACCTCGCGCAGCGCATCAGCATAAGCGGACATGTCTGTAAGAATGACGAAGACGTGCATTTCTCTTTCGAATGCCAAGTACTCCGCTGTCGTAAGGGCCAGCCTCGGAGTGATGATCCGCTCGATAGTCGGGTCATTGGCAAGATTCAGGAACAGTGCCACGCGTTCCATGCTGCCATTCTCTTCGAAATCCTGTCTGAAAAAGCGCGCGGTTTCCATGTTCACCCCCATGGCGCCAAACACGACTGCAAAGTTTTCGTTCGAGTGATCGAGGACGTCTTTGCCCGCCACAAGGCTGGCTTGTCTGCATATCTGGGCTCCAATCTCGTTGTGCGGGAGACCAGCGGCTGAAAACAGCGGAATCTTCTGCCCTCTGACGACTGAATTCATGACGTCGATGGTGCTGATGCCGGTTTGAATCATTTCTCTGGGGTACACACGGCACTGAGGATTGATCGGGAAGCCATTAATATCCAAGAAGTCCTCCGCCAGCACCTTGGGGCCCCTGTCGATTGGCTTGCCACTGCCGTTAAATGCCCGACCTAGCATTTCCTCGGAAATCGGCATCTTGAGAACATCGCCTCTAAACTCGGCATGGCAGTGACGGTTGTCGATGCCCGAGGTGCCCTCAAACACTTGAACCACTGCCCTACGACCCTTGATCTCCAGCACCTACACACCCGCACCATCACACGTGCACTTTGGAAATATAGAACAACGGCATTCTTGCAGCACCCGAAGAAAAATGATGCAGCAGCGGAACCAGTAACCGCATACTCAACTGCATCGCACAGATACGAATACCGCCACGAACCACCCCCTACAGCAGCGAAAGCTCCCGAATTAATATTCAATAGGCACAAAATGAACAAAAGCCAGAAGCACCACCTGTCGTATCAGCAAAAATGCCTCTCAGAATCAAGTATGACCACCGACAAGGACAAACAAAGTGGCACGAAGAAAGGCAAATCCAACACGAGGTAATCCACAGAGGGGGCTGGTGCTGTATGCGAAGCCGGTGCTGCGGGATCTCCCGATGGCATACAACAGAGAGCTATGGATACTTCAAATGGCATTGGGGGCAACGGATTCTGCGGCACGCCATACTGGCCGTTCAAAGAGTTCTCCGTACACTTGGTAGCCTCATAGCCAATGGAACGGAAATCAACCCAAGAAGCAATCACAGTGCAACGGCTAGCTCATCTCCCTGTGCCCTCGTTATAGACCCCAGATGCAAAGCAATCAACAACCGACACGGCCACCAGAAATGCCTCTCTGCCCGGCCTGTGCCCCTTCTTGCATCTTTCTGCACGCTATCACGTTGCAGTGGCACTCCCGGTGTTGTTCTTCGAGCCACGCCGTCCCTGAGTCCCTTGATTTCACCACCACACTAATCTGACTTTTCTCAGGCACAAAGTTCATGCAGCGGCTTTTTGCGTGCGTTCTATACTACAATGCAGCAGCGTCGCAGCGGCCACCCACCTGCCCTTCCCTAACGCTTCCATCCCCTAAGTGGATAGTGACGATCTCCGAGTATTTGGGAAATTTCACGTCATCCAGTACCACCAGGGGCCCCTCCACACCCGCAACTGTCCGGTAGTCAAGGCGAGGGGCCACCCTGTAATCGCGCGTAACGGCACGCACATGCTCCTTAGCCGCCTCTGAGCGGCTCAGGGTGGCCGGGCTCGCTCCCTTGTGAGCTTCTAGAGGCATTGTCAGAGCCAGATCAGGGGGGAAGAGGGCAGTGGAGAACAGGAACGGGAAGGAAAGAGGAAGGTGCGGTGGATGGGGCCCGACACCAACCGGGGCGTAGAGGACGCGGGTGCTCCCAAACAGCTACACGCTTTCCTAAGAAGCGAAAGAGGCGGACCTAAAGACAATTGTACGTACCACTTTAACAATGCAAATGACAAAAGGAGCAACGTGCTGTGTGGCGCGCCGCATGAGCAGCTTCCGCTGCTCATGCGGCCGCTGCTCCTGCTGCAGTCGTCGGCTGTTTGCTCGCGAACTAAATGGGCCTAAGACCACTTTCCCCCCCTCTCTTTCTTGTTAATTAACCCAAATACTCCCAGGCGTGCGAAACATAAGGACGGTGATGCGTCTTTCGTGTTGCAGCAACACACCAGAAAAGGGAGCAGAACCAGCGACTTGCACACTAGAGGAGGCCGAGGGCCTGCCGTGGCTGCTCGCGACGGGGCCTTTGCGCCTGTGATTTTCCTCAAAACTGCTAAAAGTGTTGCGATTCCTGGGGCAAAGGTGGGTGGAACTGCCGTGTGTGTTCGGTGGCTGTGCGGCCCCTGGCAGAAACTTGTAGCACTGCCCTTGGCTGCGTCTGCATATGGTGAAGAACCCTGCACTAATAGACATTTATCCCTGCCAGCAGTGTATTCCCTTGCACGCGTCTGCACGGTGCGCTCGCGAGAGCCGCCTGGCTACACAACAGCAACAGCTGGAGCGTTGCAGCTAGCAGCACCCTAGCTGAGAGCTCTGTACTTTGCTTACCGAACCCAGAGTATTCCGGGACCTACCTACACGGAAGCAATCCTCTCAGAACGATGTCACTCGCAACAGCGTCCTCTGTGCCCCGTAGGCCACGGGCCATCGACCAGATAGCTGCCGTGTGCAGTGTAGCGCAGCCCCTCCCGCTTTTGTGCAAGTGCAGTGGCTAGATTTCGCACCACATATGAGGGAGAGAAGTCATGCGAATAGCTGCAGATGGGTGTTCCTGCTGTTCTTGCATCGAGGGCAGGCAGGAGACATTGGGTAAAGTGTAGTTTTCCATCTAGGGTCTCCATGGGGTAACACTATTAGCCCCAGGACGCAGAAGAACTAACAAAAAGTTCCTGACAAAGCATTCAGACAAGCTCTTCCACAACCAGCATTATAGGGCAGGGTTCCGACATGTGGCGAGATAGAGCCAGTGCGAGCCTGCATGGGCATTGCTGAAGCCCCTTAGGTCAAGTCCCCGGTTGCACACGGCAGCCTATGATAACCCACACGCATGCAACGTTGAGTGTAAATAGTTTTGAGACAACTTGACCCACTATGCAACAAATAGCATACATATTGGACGGCCAAACCCGGTCGTCAATTCTGTCCTGAGTTTAATAAACAATGATGTAGCGGAAAGTGCCTGCACGGAGCTTCAGACTTGCTACATATGTGGCGTATGCGTCGTGTCCTGGCAATAAGCTTGGCTGTCCTTATATCAGCTACTTGCCTCAACGTAGAGCTAGTTATCTCGGGATTATTAATAATCGACGCTGCGTGCCTGTGAGGTAAGACCTGCTGTGCAAAAATAGTATATAAACCGAAAGCCACGCATTCAAATTTTATTAGTCCTGAATCTAGTATAAATAACTGATGCAGTGGAAGGTGCATACGCTGGGCTTTAGGCCCCTACACACGTGGCGCTCGTCGTCGTGCCGTCGGGAAACGACCCTGTAAGCAGCTGCGTTGTTTGTCATGTACCTGAAAGCGCGTTCGAATCTGCTTCGCCATGGGATATGTCCCAGGTGCTTTCTCTTCTCTGAAACATAAGAGCCTTCTGCCGACACCTAAAATCAAGCTGCCTTTGCAGTCGAAGCCGTTCTGTGTTATAAGGCAACTAAAGTGTAGACACGTCACAGAAGCACTTTTCACTACATTGATTAAAATTAACTAAAGGCTACAGAAAAAATTTAATTACTGGTTTGGCTCTTTGTGCTTCGTTCCTACTACAAAGCACTTTTGGACTGAAGACGACGCGATGTTTTGTGCGACCACGCTAGATGCACTGTACAACTAGCTGTGAGCGATCGGAGTGTTTGGAAAGTGTCGCTTACCGCATGCTACCTGTCTCGCATTCTTCCTGTGGGGAGCTCTCGGGGGCGGGGTCAAAGGAAGGAGGAAGCTTTGCAAAATACTCAATTACTCTGTTCTATGTTTGGTTTGAGTTTGACATTGAGTGTCTCCCTAGGGAGGCTTAGCTGGATCGTCACAATAGGCAAGCCCTACAGAAAACAGAACACATGGACACCCAAACTACAGATTTCCCGAAACTTGGCCATCCGTAGTGAGGCAGAAGTTCGTTCCTAATGATAGCGGCCTACAGGTAGCTTATCCATACCTGCGCCCTAGTCACTCATGGAGGTAGCTGCAGCCAACTTCGTAGCTCTGAAAAGAAGGGATTGTGAGGGCCCTAAGCCGACCTCCACGTTCGCTTTTTTTTTGATGTCGCGCAACCTGCTTCGTGCCTCTCTACTCGCTCTTCACCTCGACACGGCTGCCACCCTCCTGCATCGTTCCCCAGTCGTTGGTCATACAAAGCACACAACCCTGCCTGTGCATAAGGGGAAAGTGGGGCACCCTAAGCCACAACACTGGCCAAAGGCACGAAACCTCTGACAATGGCTTCGTAACAATGCAGCCAATAACCCAAATAGGCCAGAGGGTTCGATAGATGCGCCTTTTAAAATGCCCTGCTTATTCCCCGAAGAGTGCAAATCGATTTCTTTCGAGATGCGGTGGACAGACGGCAATTTGGCCGTACGGACGAATAAGCGATACAGCATCCTAATCATGCTATGCCCACTAGCTGATAAGACGCGGCCCACGTGTATATGCAGAGCCAGTGATATTCCACCAAGATACCACACTAGCCCATCCAACTAGCTCTCTGCGTAGTGGCTTGTCGTGGCTTACTGTGCTTTGCTCTACAATCCGATGAAACACCAAAAAAATAGCCTCGTGAGTCTGTGGCGAGCCTGTATTTGGCTTTACAGGGCTACACGGCTTAGGCTACATGATATTGGGCTCTTGCGCGTGTACCGCGATTGAGCTGAGGCAGCAAAGTGTGGACGGGGAATGCATAGTTTCGGGATGTGGGGTTAAGGAAGAGCAGCGAGAGCTGCCAGATGCTTCTACCAGTCAAACAACGCAGGAAAAGCCTCGCTCGGAAAAACGGGCTCCTTACAGCAGCAGAAGCGTCCCTACGACTACCAGCAGCAACATCAGCCGCAGTATCAGTACCAGTGGCATGCTGCCACATCAGTCTACACTGAGTTTGCGCTTCCTTTCCTCCAGTCTATTGCGCTGCTGCTGCTGCTGCTGCACCGCAGAAACGAGGGCCAGTCGATCCTGCAGCCACGCCCTCACATAACCCTTGTGCCGAATGACCTCTACCCCGTCTAGAGTCACCTGCTGCTGTTGCTGCTGCTGCTGAGGTTCAGCACCATCCTCTCCCTTAAAAGCTGCAGCCAAGGGCTGCCGCCGTGCCATCTTGTTGCTGCTGCTCTTGCCGCTGCTGCCTAGGATGCCTTCTACGGAGAAGTCGGCATCAATGCCCAATACATCTGCAAAGCAGCGCCAGCAGCGACACAACGCGCACAATTAAAGGCAGGGGTGTATCCCAGCGGAGGCTTGACAGCACTAGGGAAGAGGCCAGAAGGGCAGCAGCAAGAGCACAGCGGCAGCACCCGGTGAGTCTTCCTCAGTGGTGTGCAGCATGGGCTGCTGCTCGTCGCGTTGTGGCTGCAGCTGCAGCCTCCTAAGCTCCTGCAGGACCGACTCTGCCTGCTGCTGCAAGGCCTTTCCTCTAGACGCTGCTGCTGCTGCTCCCGTGCTGCTGCTGCCGCCACTGGGGTTACCTGGCAACACCCCGATTAAGGGATCTCGCAGGACGAATAGCCACGTGTTGTTGGTGCAGTCTTGATTCTCTGCCTCTGCGGACGTGCCTTGATCGACATGGTGATAGATCTGAAGCGGCGAGAAGACCACCAGCGATGGCAGGCAGGCACTGCGCTGCACCATCAGACGCAACAGCTCCTGAACCCATAAGCGCAACAACAGAGAGTAGCCGAGCATGGCGATCAACAAATCGGTTAAGAATACGCCCTCGACTGCCCCGCACCGCACAAGAGAGAGGAGCATCCATCTCGTAAGCACGCAGACACTAGGCGATGCCTCTCCCCACTAGTCCCCAGCGGACGAGCAAATGGATGAACAGAAAGCAGACACACGGCAGCAGCAAGGAAATGCGACCGCCACAGCACGAACAACACCAAAGCATGACACTAGAAACTACAGGACCACATGCAGCAGCAAAAGCAATGGCAGCAGGCAAAAGCAATGGCAGCAGGCAAAAGCAATGGCAGCAGGCAAAAGCAATGGCAGCAGCAAAAGCAGCAGCATAAGTAGCAAGGCACCCGTCTGGCAATGGTCAAGATCTTCTGAGCGCTTTCCCTCCTCACAAACGCCGCCGCGCTCATGCGGCTCAGAGCATCCTGAAACTCAAAACAAGACGGCACGTTTTAGGCAACATTCAGGCAATTTACGCACCGCCCCAGAACCCACGACGGCGAAAGATGAGACAACGCAGCAGGAATTTGCGTGGGACGCACATTGAGGGCTTGAAGCAGCAGACAGCCATCAAAGGAAGAGGCAGGGGATCCAACCAAGGAACGGCTCGCCATCAGCGGGCACTGCTGGTAGTGTTTGCTGCTGTCACAATGGCTGCTGTGCTCTTGCCGCTGCACCTGACGGCCCTACCTCGCATCAGGATGATGCTGAAGCCGCTTGGGCTGTTGACGCAGTGTCGGTAGCTGCGTCTCAAGCCTCCTTGCTGCTGCTGCAGGTGCTCGCCGCAGTGCGCTAAGCAGCCGCAGCTGCAACAAAAATGATAGACATGTATCTAGATGAGTACGGGTTTGCCTGCAATTGAGGAGTTAGTGAGTGGTAGAGTACCAGGCCCTGCTGTCGATGTGTCTGTCTACCTTCCTGACGCTGCCAATGTTGCTGTCTGGGGTTGCATGCGTTTCTCCGCATGCCTACCGTGTTTAACATTAATGAAGTGTGGTAGATACGAGAAGCGTTAATGCAAAAGGCTTATGAAGACACGGTTGCTACTTCTTCAAGTCGTATCATACTACCATAGCATGCAGTGGCGGCAGCCAGCTGCCAGTGCATGCTGCACGCCAAACTTGCATGGAGCCCGCTACGTGGACGCATATACCGAAGTTTCTGACTTTTTGTGTTTTTGTGCTGTCGTTGATGAAACGCAGCAGCGACACGAGCCGCTGCCGCAGCAGCTGCAGTTTCGGCTGTAACACCGACCAGGAGTAACACCCCCGTGCGTCTTCGCGCATAGCACCGTTGCTGCTGCCTCCGGTGCCGCCATCCCTGGCTAAGTGCCGCCTCATTGAATGCAGCAGCAGCAGCAGCAGCAGAGGGCAGTGCTAAGGGCTGCCGCCTAGCCATTTGCTGCAGCCAGGGTGCTGCCCCCAGCACAGCCGTCCGATTAGAGACGTATTCAGAGTGTGTGACACTGTTTCGTCTCCTTGTACAGCGGCGAAATTGCAGCGCCAGCAGCAGGAACGACGGTGATGCAGCCACTGCAGCTGCAGCGGCATGCCCGCAGCAGTGCCACAGGCAGGAATTCGCAACCCCCCCCAGCAGAACAAGCAGCAAGATGTGCAAATTCTGTGGCTCCAGTGCCTACTTCGCGTCTCCCTAGGCCTTCGCGAAGCAGCTTTGCACAGCAGCTTGCAGCAGCAGCCCGAGACGCTGCTGAACTCCTTGCAGCCGCTGCTGCCGAAAGAGAGGCAGCTACCCGCCTAGTTGCCTCCATCCCTGCACAGCAGCACCCACAGAGACGCCACATTCGTCACTCGTGTGGGCCTGTTGCAGTCGGAGCGGCGGCAGCAAGTAGCGATGAAGGAGCTCTAAGCAGCCGGAGGAGGAAGAGCGCTGGCTTGCCTGTAGCAGACTTTGGAGCGGAAGCAGCAGTGACACCAGGATCCCCTCCTGCACCGAAACCGGCCGCTACAGCAGATGTTCAGTGGCGGGAACAGCTTGTTGAGCGGCAGCAGAGGCTGCTCGCCCGCCAGCAACTTTTGCTGCAGCGCCAGCAGCAGCAGCAGCAGCGCCTGCTGCTGCGGAAGCACAGTACTTACAGGGAACAGGTACCCCAGCTGCAGATGCCTTCAGACGTTGTTTTTAATGAGCCGCAAGGAGACGATGGATTTGCCGCTTCCAGAATCCTTTGGCAGCAACATCAACACCAACACGATCCAGGAGGACTGCACGACCAGGAGTTACCAGGCTATGATTACCAGAATTACCAGCTGCAACACCAGAGACTGCAGCAAGAGGAGCTCAGGGAAGAACGTGAGCGGGATGGATGCTTGGGAAGGGGGCACGGTCTGCAGCAGAAGCTACTCCTGCAGGAGGAGGAGGAGCAGCAGCAGCCGCGGCAGCAGGAACCACTCGAGTGGAATGCGCATGCAAGGACTAGCAGCAGCAGCAGCAGCAGCCAGCCCTGGGGATTGAGCTGTCGCCGCATGCACGGCTGCAGCAGCAGCACGCGGTGCAGCAGCAGCCACAGCGTCTTACAGCTCTCTGAACCCTCAGCTGCTGCTGAATTCACACCGCTAGGAGGACCTTTGCCGCCGTTATCGTCAGCAGCAGCAGCAACACCAACAGCTTCTGCTGCTGCTACTGCTGCTGCTGTCGATGGCGCTGCGTTTCTGGGCGTAGAAAGCTCGACTGCATCAACCCTTCCGCTAGCAGCAGCTGCTGCAGGTACGACGCATAAGAGCAATCGGCATAGGAATAGAAGCACGAGACTCCCAGACGGCAGCGGCAGCAGCAGCGAGAGGGCTGCTGCTGCTGCTGCTGCTTACTTTGCAACTGGTGCAGACGAGGATCAAGCATCAACGCCACTAGCAGCAACCCCTCTAGCAGCACCCGCAGGAATCAGCAGCAGCAGGCCGAGGCTAGTGATCAGGCGAAACTGCCCTTCTGCTGCTGCATCTGCTGGTGGGGGTCCCCTGGTGGCTGCAGCCGTTGCTGGTTCCTCCGCTGCGGCTGCTGAGGCAACATCGGCAGCCGCAGCAGAGCAAACAGAAGCGGCAGACGGATCGATTCTGAGAGCAGCAACAGCGGCAGTGGCTGCTGCAGCAGCTGACAGTGCAGCAGTTTTGCGGCTGCTCCCTTTCTTGGTGCCTTACCAAACCCCTGTGGGGCAGCGACAGCAGGGGCAGGAGGCGCGAAGCTTTGGAACGCATGCATGGGGGGAATATCTGCAGGAAGTTCGCCAGCGCATTGCAGCAGCAGCAACGGCGACAGCAGCGACGGCAGCAGCAGGCGCAGACCTGAGTAAGTTGCAGGTTCGCAGCCAGGAAATCGCGGGTTATCTTCCTCCTGCGCTTGGCTGTTGCAGCGTGCAGTGTACATGCAGCTGTGATCGTAGCGGCAGCTCCGAGCGGCAAGACTGTCACGTGCCGCTTGCGGCGGGTGTAGCTGCCGCGGCAGCAACAGTAGCTGCTGAAGAGGAAGCCTTCGCGCTGCTGCATGCGGATGTGCTGGACCTGAAGTTTCATTGGTGGAGGGCCGTTGCCGCAGCTTGGAGGAAGAAGCAGCTGCCGCTGCTGCAGCAGCAGCTCTCCCTCCTGCAGCAGTACGACCCGCAGCAGCAGCAGCAGCAGCAGCAGCGACAGCAGCTCCAAAGCTACTCAGCGTGGATCGGCTGTCTTAACGAAGCCACAGCTTCTTTCCTCCCAAAGGCCCGCGAACACCTGCAGGCGGCAGCGGCAGCAGTAGAAGCCGCTGCGACACCGACAGCAGCCGCTACGCAGCAGCAGCAGCAGCAGCAATCAGGCAGGAGTGCCCTCTGGGAGTGGCTGTGGGGGGCCGCTGAGGCGTTTGGATTTTGCTGCAGCAGCAGATTCACTGCCTTGCGCTTACTGGATGCCTATGCTGCACATCCTGCCTTTCCTTTCAAGTGTACATGCAGCAGCACAGAAACCAGCAGTGGAGAGGGCTGTAGATGCTGCAGCAACAGAGAACTCGCACTTTGCGCGGCAGCAGCCTTGCTGCTTGCTGCTGCGCTCCACTGTCATTGGCGAGACATTGCGACCGATCAGTTCTTGCAACAGTTGCTACAGCAGCTACAACAGCAGCAGATACAGCAGGAGCAGCAGCAGCTCTTTACGCAAGATGACGTCATCATGGTGCAGGCCGATATGTTGCAGCTTCTGCAGCCGTGCCTATGGATGTCTCCTACACCTGCAGACGCCCTACTCGTGCATCTTGCTGGTCTAAGGGACTTCCCCCTGTTGCTGCAGCACACGCCGCATGCTGCTGCTGTTGCGGCAGCAGCTGCTGCTGCTGCTGATGCTGAAGCACGTGGCGCAGCGGCAGCACCAGCAGGCACTGCAAGCATGCCGCCTCAGAACGTCGAGCAACAACAGCACCAGCGCCAGCAGAAGCAGCAGCCACAACAACTTTGCCCCCAAATAGGATACTCCAGCAGCAACAAGGATGGTGGAGGGTGGACTGTGCTGTCTCTCTTTGATTTCTTCGTAGGCACAGGGCTTCTCGCGTGCCTGCACGACGTACTGCTGCGTTGCTGTTACGACGCAGCGGCGCATGGCCTCCTGCAGCAGGTGCCTGGCAGCAAGCTGATCGCTGTGCTGCTGTTGCTGTTGTTGCGTCCATATGCGCAGCAGCCGCAGCCAGCACAGAGGGGCGAACTGGACGTGCTCGAGTGGGAGCGCTGCTGCTGCTGTTATATTTTTAAGTGTCGTTACGATGCAGATATCTACTTCTGGCGCGTTCTCCTGCAGCAGCCCCTGCAGCAACTGCTACAGCAAGACAACAACGTGCTGCTCCTTATGTGGGAAGAAGGCGCAAAGCAGTGGCACCAGCTGCTGCGTCTGGGCTGCACCGCGTTCGCGAGCAGCAGCAACAACTGCGACGGGGCCATTGCAGAGGCATGCGCATCTGTTAGACGACGCAGGCGACACATGAGCAGAGACTTCTACCAGCCACGCGCGGAACTGGCGCAGCAGCCGATGCAGCGCCAGCAGCCGCAGTCTTGGCAACAAAAGTACGCAAGGGTCGATGGCGGCGCTGCGGATGCTCATGAATCAACAGCTAGACATCCTTCGCTGCAGCTGCATGACGCTAGCAGCAGCAAGGGATTCCTGGCTGCTGCAACAAGCATTCGTACAGCAATGCCAGCAGCACGGGCAGCTGCTTATGTGGACACAGCGGCAATGCATGCGGTTCAAGAGAATGTATGCCCGTTGCGCGCTAATTCAGCTGCGGCAGCAGCCGCAGTCTCGGGAAGCCGCCCTTACGAAGCATGCGCTGCAGAGCCACAGCAGCAGTGGGATCCTCTGTAACTCCCTCCTCAGCTCGTGCGCAACCTGAAGCTGTCACAGGGAGCGGCTTCTGGGGTGTGGCCTCGGCAGCAGCAGCAAGAGCGGCAGCAGGCTGTGCTTCTGCTTCGTACAGCTGCGCATTTGTGCTGGCGGCATGCCTCTAGACACCTCAGCAGCCAGGTGGCTGTGCCTCGTGTGTTGAACTCTAATTTGTTTATACTGTTCACTTATCCCCGTTGGTGTTGGCTTTCAGGGTTTGAGGCTAAGCAGGTACAGATGCAAACAATACATGAGGACTCTGGAGAGAACAGCATCTTTTAGATACTCTAAAGGCCCCTTTGAAAGAGCATAAAGCTCCTTAACGTCAAGCAGGCCTTCCGTGGAGCGTGCATTGCTTCCAGGATATCTAGCTAAACCCTACATGCTTCTACGCTGGTTTAGCCTTAAATTCTAGCTCGGCTTATTCAATTGGGGGGCCCAATCTTTTTTTCGCTTGACCTAAAACGCCCCTGTGCTGCTGAGTTGCTGAAAACGCGACCCCTGGAACCCCTAGCAGGAAGCGGGGGCGCCTGGTATAACATTAGGCTCAACAAAGGAGGGGCCTTCAGGCATCAGGAACCCCGCACGCAGCCAAATGGCATGTATTTTCCACTAATGTCTCCTCCTATCTAACAGGCCTAAATACGGGGGACAGGCAAAGGGCTCTCTGACGTGTCTACCGTCCAAGCTGGGCGAATAACGAACGCTGAAAGGACTCGAGAGGGAGATGCGAAGAGGGGCTAGCATGCCCCGAACCCCTGCAAAAGCCTACTACCTCAATCAGAGCACTTCCATAGACGCGGACTCCTACATGCAGCGCCTCACAGGACGCCTTTAAGGATTGAGAGTAGCGATTTAAATGGGAAAGGAGGGCTTTATATAATGGTCCCCCGATTCGTGCAATTGCTTCCGAAGCAGTTCTCTATCTTCTGCCGGTTTGCCACAAGAGCCTCAACGGGAAGGTTACGCACTGTGCTGCGCTTGTTCTTGTTGCGTGTAGAGACTGAGAAGCTCGAATAACAATTCTGGCAGTGAGCCTGAAAGAAAAAGCGGTAAGGCCAAGGAAATACTGCATCAAACGTCACGCCGAGAAGAACTATATGCCATAATGCCTTTTATATCGTCTTAAAAACCTAAGGAATATGTGGAACGCAAAAGCTAGCCAGTAACTGCAGCGGCTTCTCGGCTGTACATATCCTCTGACATTCACAGCTATTTTGCACGACGGTGAGAATGGGTCTATCTTCTCTAAAACGTCGGCAATTAGATCTTTAAGGTTTAAAAAAAAGAATTTAGGGATATTTCACTGCGTGACGGAGTTGTAACCCTTATTCCAGCAGAAAGAGCCCCCGATACAACCCGGTGAAGCCAAAAAGAAGTTAGCAAGAGTGGGCATTGCTCCTGACGTTTGCTAATAAATTGAGCCCTCAAGTGAGTTCCTTTTATTGCACTTTGTTTAGGTTCACAATTTCATCTAATTAGATGAGAAAATAAGCCAAAACGGTCCTTTTGGGAGTGGCGTAAATGTGGCGGTGCAGAAGCGGAAGCCAAACGGTGCAGTTGTGGATGCCAAGGAATTCAAGCCTGCCCTAGTAGCTGCATCAGTTGCTGTTCCTACTTTCCTTATCAAACACAAGTAAAGAAGAGCTTGTAGGATAGCCAGTGGCTGCACAGCAGCCCATTGTTTCTCTAACTGATGGGACCAGCTTCCACTGCGAGTAGGCCCCCATTGTAACAAAAACAGGAAATACGAAGGACGGCGATAGCTCTAGCTGCAGCTGCTGCAGAAACTTTGCAGCCACAAAGAAGCAGCAAAACGCAAAGACTGGGGACCGATAGCTTCCAAGATAGTCCCCCGTAGGCCGCACAACCCGTGTGGGCAAGGGCACCAGCAGCGTCAGCGGCTGCTGCAGCGTCAGCAGAAGCAAACGAGGAAGCGGAATCATCGGAGAGAAAGATAGTAGCGTGAGAAATTTGTGTTAGTAGGATAGTTATAAAGCTCAGCGGTGCAGTGGAGGGTCACCTATTAGCCCGAAAAAGGCATAACCAGCAGCAACCCATAATGCTGCCTTCTCACGCTTGTTCAAGGGAGAAATACTCCTAGCGCTTACCATATGTACAATGCCAAGCACTTACACTAAAGCATGGGTGCTACACTGCTGCTGCAAAGACCTTCGAGGCTGCACTATTTCCTCAGTGGGCACCATGTGTGCAGCAGCAAAGGGCAGCACCCTCCTGTCCATGGGGCACACTGTAAGTCGTGCACATGACATCATATTACTCCCGTCTAGGGTTTACGGCATAGGAGTCAGGGTTTGCTCACAGAGTTCAAGATGTCGGCTCCAGAATACGAAGAGTATATCCAGGCCAAGCTGACGCCCGTGCTGGAATCACTTGTGACAGAGGTCTTGTTGGCTCATCCAGAAGATCCAGTAACCTTTATGATATCGAGGCTCTGCCAGAGAGCAAAACTTCCAGACCCCACAACGCGTAGGCTTGTGTACTACCCAAGTGGAATTCCGATTGAAGGAAAGACCCAATGCACAGTCCCTAGCCCTATTTCTTAGTTGGATTTTGATATCCGGGAAAGAGATACTAGCTGCATATAAATATCTCTGTTCTGCTGCCTCGGCCCTCCCCTAGCGGCCCCTTAGAGCCTCTGCAGTGTTGTTGGTACGCACCGCTAAGGTGTAAATGAGTTACAATCAGGCATGGGCAGCACAAGGTTTAGCAGAAGTTTCAATTAGGCACAGGCCCAAACAAAGCAAAAGCGCGAGCAGTAGCGGCAAGCGGGATGTAGCTGCCACCTAATGACACCACACGTGGTTGCTTGCAGCATACTCAAAAGAAAACGAGGAGCTCCGGCAAGAGCTGGCGCGTCTGCGGGAGGACGTCAAGACCGCGATGCAGCAGCAACAACAGCAACATCATCAACAGCAACAGCGTGTTGTTGCTCTTGACACGAGTAGTAATCGCAGCACGCATGACACGGATGACAGCGAGGAAGAGGAAGAAGCGGATGACGAGGAGCAGGAGTCCTTCGAGGCGAAGTACGATAAGATAAGAGGCTTTAACAAGATGCGCCAGAGTGTATGTGCCGAAGTGTATGGCAACTGGAACAAGAAACAAAAATTTGAGCCTCCGGTGTATCCAAAGACCGACGAGCAGAAGGAACGACTACACGTACGTTTGCGGGGTGAAATATCGGAACGGGCTGGCCGGGGAAAAGTGACAAATCACCTCTTGAATGGAGCGAGACCAAACGATCGCTCTTCTCTGTGTTCACGCCTTTCGAAGCGTGCGCATGTTTGATGACCCTTGGCCAGAATATACATGCACGCTTCTGAGTTGGTCACGTTGATTCATCTATTGGTGTCCGTGTGTCTGGGCAGTTGCAGAGTCTCGTTATGGCCATGTTAACATTTAGAGGTGCACGGGGCAGACATTTCTGGAAGGCTAGCTGTATGAGCCACAGCAACCCTAGGCCGTTATTGCACTGATAAGCGCCTTTATTTTTCCTTTTTGTTGCCTGTGCAAGCAAAGCGGTTTACGTCTGGCAGCGGTTGAGGGGGGCATGCGCGCAATAACGGCCCTGCAGTGATTACACCGGCATGTTCTTCTCTAGTATTATTCCAATCAAGTATCTGTGCAATTTCGGTTTGCTCTTGAGTTGCATATGATCCTTGGCAACGAACATTCGTTCCGTTGCAGGGTATATGCTTTTCTGCTTGTGGCTTAGAAGGTATTGGGCCTTTCTTTCATGTTCAGCTGTCTCGATAACAAGGACAGGAACACCGTCGTTGATGCTATGAAGGAGCGGCAGATTCCGGCGGATATGACACTGATCAAGCAAGGCGCCGATGGCGACTGTCTCTATATCGTGGAGACAGGCTCCCTGCAGTGCTGGCGAGAGGATGGCGGAAGGGAAACAATGGTAAAGGTTGTGGGACCTGGAGATGTCTTTGGCGAGCTCGCTCTCCTATACAATGCTCCTCGAGCAGCAACTGTAAAAAGCGCCGAAGACTGCAAATTGTGGCGACTTGATAGGGACACTTTCAACGCAATCGTGAAAGACGCAGCCACGAAAAAACGGGAGATGTATGATGCATTTCTTTCAAAGGTATTTGTGGACCTTATAAAGAGTGCCGCTGTTCACGTACAGAATTTACTGGTGCAATTCAAGTTCGAGGTAATAGAGAGGCAAAAGCGCCTTCAGGTCTCTTATGGGGAGCTCTATGTTTTACGTATTCATCGGCTCGACTGAAGGCTTCCTTCTCATGCATACTATGTGTGCGGCTTCGGGCGCTTGAATTGTTCGTATAGGTGCGTCTGCTGGAGTCCATGAGTACCTACGATCGAATAAAACTGGCGGACGCCTTGCGGACGGAGGAATATCAAGGGGGGGAATTTATTGTGAGACAGGGAGAGCCCGGAGATATCTTTTACCTGATTGAAGAAGGTAGCGCAATAGCCATGAAAGTGTTTGAAGGGCAGACAGAGCCGCAGGAAGTCGAAACCTACAAGGTAATCCCCAAAAGCAAGCAAATGCGCTTCAGAGGCGACGGGGTAGTGTCTAGATGACCACCGGTCCAGAATCTGAAATTGCGCCTTTTTCCCGATGTTTTGAGCACTTCCGCTCGGTTCATCCAACTGCGTGCAGTAATTTGACTAGCCCTTTTGGGGTCTGCGGCAGTAGTTTTCCGGAGATCCGGATATATCTTCTAGACAAAAACGCATCTCGCTGCGTGAGGCACCGCAACATACCCGTTCATGCTGTGCGTTTACAGGCAGGAGATTACTTTGGGGAGCTCGCGCTACTGACAGGAGAGCCTCGCGCCGCGTCAGTGATCGCGAAGGGGAGCTGTAAAGTGGCAACGCTAGACAGGAAGTCCTTCAAGAGACTCATGGGATCTGTAGAAGAAATCCTCAAGAGAAAAGCCCAAGAATACAAAAAGCAGCCTCAATAACACACATACAAGCATCTCACACCACTCACTCTACTTTTAAGCTCTGAATTCTAAAGCCGGAAGCCAAAAGGGACCTTAAAGCTCACCTTTAGGGACCAGAAACCCCTCAGGCCGGCAGAGAGCTCCTGGTCATGGCCGAAGGAGGTCAGCCTTTCGGGAATCTGCCACTTGAGTACCAAATAATTCATTGTCTTGCACTCTCTAAATGCCGAAAGGATGGGTGCATGCGGTTTGTCCTGCAATGGGGGAGGTACGTGCATTTACTACCCTACAAAAAAAGAGGGTCTGCCTGCCGTATAATGATAGCGTTTACAGTCGCACAGTGTCTAGATGGCCAAAAATGTGCCTTTTTTAAAAAGGGGATTGCCTTGATGTTATTTGTGGGCCACCTGGCCGCTAGGAACCGCCGCATGCTACGTGTTACGCAATTTGAAATGGCTGCACGCTACATACACCCATGACGAAAAAGAGGACGCTCGAAAAGAATCTCAACCTAGTTCCAACCAGTCATCGTAAGCCGTAGAGGCCAAGCCTTCGTATCCTTACAACCAAAACCTTTCCTCATTTCGCTCAAAACTTTGCAGAAGTATCAGAAGAAAAGGCTCTGCGGGCTGCTAGCACCGCGGCCCGGAGGCCCCCTGGGTTACAACTCTCCAGGCGTTTATGAAGCACTCTTTAACTCCTCTGTTTAGTGGTTACTTCCTAGAAGCTTTTGACTGGCACAAAGGGGAGGACGATGATGAGGGGTACAGCAGCATAACCGATCTAGCAAATACGAGAGACGATAGGGGCGAGTCGAGGGGAGTGAAAAACTCCATCATGTTCATATCCCTGGAAGCTACAGATATTTTGATTCGTATATGAAGGAAGACCTTCGGGAAAACCTCTAGGAGTTGAAAAGTTGGTGACACAGGAGAGTGGTGGGGCCACTGCTGACAGTGACTATTTCCACGCACTGTCCGTCATGAGAAAGGAAGTGGCGCAGCATGCAGAAAAGCAAGCAAGCATGAGAGACGGCGACGCCGCAAGAACTAAAAAAGATACAGGGGAGATGCCAGAGAACGGCAAAGCAGCATACGTCATGCAGGGGGCCCAACCGAAAGTGGCAGCTATGATGAGTCAGTTAAGAGCCCTAGCATAATGCGAAATTAGCCCCTTGAAATCTAATTAGAAGAAAAGAATCCAATCGCCGCATACCCAACAGTGCTATCATTGGGGTTGACAATCTTGTTCGACTGCATCAAACATGCGACAAAGCAAACACAAATGGTAAAGCATCCATCTCAATAGACTTCGCAGACAGCCTACAGGACAAAAAGCGGAGAAGCACGTGGCCCACGAAACGAGCAGGGTGGCCTCTAATGAAGCTACTCGCATTGGGCCTCGACACAAACGAAGGGCAACGCGCCACGGGCAGTATCAGAGTACTCTCAGGCAGCCCATAGGCCCTCGGTTCACGAAAACTCTACAGTTAGCATATCTGCACGCCAGAATACATTAAGAGAGGCGCCTCCATTGAACAACGAGCCACACGATATAAGGGTGTTGTTCACGCAATGTTGCTGCCTGTACATTCCAAGCACCTACCTGCCCATATTTAAGGAGACCACTCGACAGCAGGTTTCGTGGCTGAACGCCCGACATTTCTGCTGTCCTCTCTACTACCTGCATAAAGACACATCGCAACTTGTGCAGGGTGCTCGTTTGCTTCAGACCCTTTCAAGAGTGCGTGGCTTGCCTGCACCGACACTATGGAGCAGTCAGGATTTTGAATGCAAGGAGTGTAGCAGGTTAAATCAAGGGCTTACAGTCAAAAATAAGCGCAAAGCATCATAGCCGCAAATTTGGTTGCGCGTTTTCTTCATGTGGTTCTCAAGACCTGCACGTGCAGCCAGCAACACACCAAGCACCACCCGGCTGGAGGGAGAAAGGCATGAATTGAAAAATACCTGAGACGCTCAATGTTGTACACTCGAGCGGAGGTCCCCTATTCCCATGAATTCGTCCGGATGAACCAGCACACACATGTACAGGAGATGAGCAACGTGACTCACGGGCACAAACTACACACTTTTTCAGCGTGGAGGAGGCCAGTATCATAGTGCAAGACGCACAGGTATTCGGGTTCAGACCATACTGAATGACGCATATGCGACCCCTTTTCTAATAACCCCTTCTGCAAGCGGCATGCCGTTTATCGCCTGCACTTTAGCGCTCGCGTATTGCGGGCTTGGCACTTACATGTTTTATCCAAATTAACAACACAGTCGATGGCCTCGCGGTCCAGCGCCTGCAGCAACACACCCGAAACTCCTAGCCATGGACCCTTCCCGCACAAGGCTTCGATGCCACACGCTACCCACTAACGCGTCAGCGAATGAGGCGTGTGCGGTGCAGATTAGGGCCTTTGCTTTGAATAGCGGACTTCGATCTGCTGATGGAGCGGCACCGGGGTGTCATCTGTTGGTGGAAGGTATGTGTACTTGAATCTGCAGCAAGGCCACAAGAACAAAGCTACGACTCTCGGGTGTAAAGCTCTCAATGAACGAACGCAGTGGCCTAGCCATAAAGAAGGCAACGAACCTATGAAAAACCCTACACCCCGAATGCCAATCCTGATCTTTCAGCAGCATGCACATATATAGAGAAGGGGGAGCTCAAAAAGTCTGTAATTTAGACCCTCGGTAGAGTGTCTGCCTGCCTTGGACCCCAGTGTGACCAGTCAGTCGAGATGATGAAGACCGTGTCCTGTTGCCACGCAAGCGCACCACACCCACACAGCCCATCAGCTAGTCAGATAGCCAGGCGCTCAGTGAGCACCGTCACTGTCTCGGGGGGTAGGAACTAGGCATGCAGATGGGGGAAAGACACTTACGGGATCCTTGAAGAGGATAGCCAGGGTTTCCGCTGCGGCACAATCCAGGAAACACTGAACCCTGAAAAGCTTGTAATATTCTGCTTTGCCCAAATCATACCCATAAGCCGCACCTCCAAGTACCACGCCGATAGGGTGTGGTTCGCGAATCTTGCAGTTTTCCCCTTAATCAATACACCTCCAATTATGAAGGGTTGTACGGGTGGACTCTCACCAAGACTGGGGAGCTCCTCGTCGATGAGTGACCCTACGTAGATGGGTAACAGAAGAGCGCCTCTGCAAGAAGCACAAACTCGACGCCCTAAAGCCCTAAGCCTCGCATCTCTTGAAGCCACCTATGGCCTCTTCAGCGCAGCACATCCAAGGCTTGTCCTTCGCAGAGACTTCCCCAGGAGCAGGTGAGCTGCCCCTCGAATTTCTCCTTTAATTTGCAAGCTCGAAGCCGCAAGCTCTTACTCTGGCAATACTCTTCTGAGAAAAGGGATCTGCACAGCGACCGAATGCTCTGCCTTCTCAAGGGCAAACGGAGCTATGTCATACCACCCGGTGTGGAGCAACGCGTTCAGCGCTGCAGCAGGCCGCATATACGCCACAAGCGACATGCGCCTAGCCCGATCTCACTGCCTCACGAAGGTCTAACACGAAAGAAAGCTGCGTCCGAACAACGCCCTATCGCGAAGGTGTATCCCGCACGAATGGCTCCCTCTGCTCGAGGGAGTCGCTTCAGACTAACCTTCCGTGTCAATGGGGACCGAATCGATTGGACTTCCGTATCCACTGTATTCCTGAGGAGGCACCATGAGGCCCGTCCCTTTCGCGTGCCAGGAAGCCAGCAACACCACATGCTTCCTGCACAAACCGTTCCCACACCGCAAGCCTCAAGTGACCCTAGCCCCCAGAGCCTGCTTAAGGCCCTCGCTTGCGTTCAAGGGAGGCCACACAAAGAAGACCACAACGACTCACAGCGTCCTTTGAAGCGACTGCATCTGCTTGAACGCCGCTGCAGCAACCTGACCCGAATAGGTGTACGCCGCATGACTGAGCGCACAGGGCACAAAATCGGCGCTGCCAATTCTCAGCAAGGAATAGATCCTTCGTGCAGCAGCGGGGCTTGCTCGCAGCCGCTGCCTTCGCGCAGGGGGAGAAGACAGGCGAGAGCGCAGTCTGTAGGAAGAGACTGCAAATGGAGAGCACAAGATTTGGAATTAAGGCCTCACGGAACGACAAGGGCCTTGACTGTGCCCGATGCTGCAAACGCGGCGTCCAGCATGGAATCTACGTCGGCGCGCAGCTCCGCAGCTGCAAGCGAGCAAGAACGCCAAACCTCAGAGTCTCAAAGGAAGGCCCTTCGGCAGTGTGTGGACTGGGACCAAGCTGGAGAGCTCGAGACCCCTCCAGCATCTAGCAATTAGAATGTGTAGTTTCGCGCACCCTTGCCGGGGAACCAGACGCCTGCCTGGTGCGAAGTTCTTAAACCATCCTGGTGAGACTGCGTACGCACAACAACACCCGAGAACCCAATTTCTAGAACTAAAAGACAGTCCTTGCATCCACAGGCCAGGAGAAAAGGCCCCGAGGCGACGGTCTGGTCCAAAAAATGACTTCTGGTGCTGAAGGACGGGAAAAACGAGACGCCTTCCACACGGCACCTCCCAGAGGATTCCATTCTGGAACGACCTGAAAGGTCTTGATAGGCCTTGGGACGGCTTTCTGCAGGCTCCGGCAAGGGAGCGCCCCTTCGAGCAAGTCGAGTCGCAGCTCACCCGAGCACCCGTTCTGATGGGCAAGTACTGCAGCACCAGCTGCAGCAGCAGAAGCAGGGGGAGTCGAGATGCTGCCTTCATCTGCAAAGAACAAGACCCGCAGGAAGCCTCGAAGGCGTGTGGGGTAGCAGCCGCACCAGCAGGGGGGTCGTGCAGGGGGAGAGCGAGATACACTTCTTCCCCTTCAAGTTCCTAAGGGTTTGGGGTGCAGAGGCGGCTGGCGCACCGTGAAGGGCAAGGAAAACGTGGAAGAAGCGCCAGGCGCTGCAAAAGCATGAGGATCCTCTAAAGAGAGGCAGCCAAGTGCACTTGGCCGAAATGCTGAATCCTGAGCCTCGATCAATGGAAGACAAAGGTACCACTACAAGTAATAACATCACACTGGTTTTACGTAGTAGGGAGGAGGGGGGGCCCTAAATGCCCTCTTGCCCGTGAAGCCCAGCCCTACACGCTGACCTCCAACAGGGTTTTGCCAAAGCGAGGCCACTTTTCGTCGAATCTGCTTACGTCTCCCCCATCCTCCATGCACTGCTTAAACTGATATCTAAGTGCTAGCGTTAGCGTCAAAAAAAGGGGCGCGGCGTCTATATATTTAGTTGTACCTTTAAGAATCCGCGTCGCCTTGGTTCCAGCGGCTATGACGTGCGACACGCCGTCGGCAGTGCCAATTAGACCGTTTCCCCCTAAAAACCACGTATTCTACCCTCAGTTTGATGCCTCAAGCGAAATACGTTGTTATCAGATTTATTTACTTGTCTCCGCAGGCGCACGGGGTTGTACCAGCATCCGCACGGTGCCGCGGCATCAGTCCCCAGACCTTGCCGGCTGACCGACCGCGCCGTCTGCCCTTTGCTCATTTCTTTCCTGTTTGCTCAATTTTTCATCGCTGTTACTTTGAATTTAGGCAATTGACTGGAAGCAGTGTCTCTTCCTCCCTTCCTTTAACTGAGCCTTCCACTTCGGGCCCTTCTTCCTCGGAGCTATCGATGCGCCCCGGCGGCTATACTCCTGTTGCGACCCTCTTCCACCTTTTTGCCTAAACTGCAAACCCTATGCTCTGCGCCATTTATGTGCAGCATACAGCATACGCGGTAGTTAGCTGCCTGCGGAATCTACCTCCCCCCAGCGTCAAGCTGCCTAGCGCATGGAATCGGTGCAACCTAGGGAGATTTCGGGCGTACACTTTGCCTCCACCGTAAAGCGAGGATACAAAGAGCCCCCGGGGCGTATCGGCGCCACTTTCCTGCTTGCTTCTGGCTTTCTCACGTCACCGTCCTACTCTGCATTAGCTGCCTTCAAAAACAGAGATGTACAACCCTCCGTTCGACGGCTATAGTGGGGTCTCCAGGCCCTACTACCCCGCCCACGAGCAAGTCTACTTCTCCACACCACGGCACTACGTCTATGTGCAGCAACAGGGACCTCCACAGCGTCCACGGAAGTGCATCTTGCGGCTTGCAGCCGAAGCAGCGGGGTGGTGCATCTCAGTGGCAGCTTGCATCCTCTGTTCAGCAGTAGGCGGAGCCATCTCTTGCTGCCGTGCCGCTGCCTTGGAAGCCGATGAGTTCGTGAATCACCAGCAACCCCCTTACGAGACCCCATACAAGCAATACCACCTGCAACAAGTGCAGGGATACCAGGAAGCTCCAGGGCGATCCCCCCAGTACACCGCAGAGCCCTCCTGCAGCCCCTTAAAGCAACCCTAACACAGTGTGTGCATCGCAAGCTCCTTGTAGCAAGCCTTCTCTACTGCTCCACAGCCACCGGCAAACGGAAACGGCAGAAGCCGCAGCAGTCGCAGCGGAAAGGCTCCTCTCGACGCCAGAGAGGAACGACTGGAGACCATGTGTGGTTGCTGATGCAACATGTTCTGCTCCTGCCACCTCCTCTTTCGCTGCCTCTGTCCAGAACGGAACGCGGCAAACGCATCAAACGCTGCTGTTCAGACCTGTTGCAGCCATTGTTCGCAGGTTGCAGCTGCTGTGTCACGAGGCATGCACATCAATGTGCACCTGTGCGCAGTGGAGGAGCATGTAGCGGGAAAATGCAACGACCTGCGCAGCCTGCAGGCGCATCCTAAACGTGAACCCTACACTCCATGTTAGCGCTTTGATCAACTTGAACTCTTGCAGATCGGATAATCCTTCCTGCTCTCTGCTTTTCCCGCCTCTGCAACGGTGGCGTTGTCACATGTACGCTGCAAGTCCCCTGGTGAATGCAAACCGCATGTAGCAGCTGCACGGCTAGCGGAGGCACCCCTTAGACACGACAGGTGAACCTGACGGTCTGCCGCTGGGTGGTGTGCAAGCTGAATGCCTCTTCCTGAGCTGTCTATACTGCTGCTGTCGGTGCTGTCGTTAAGCCATAAGGCGCCCGGAAGCAGCCGCAAGCAAGCACCGGCTGCGTCAGCAGCATCAGCAACGGGGGCCCTTCTAGGGGGCCCCATGCACCCGCATTGGCAAGCAGCTCCAGTGGGGTTCAGCGGTACTTTTTACAGGAGCGTATGATGACACCGAATGACAACGCGGAAAACGCGTGCATGTGCATGCGGGACTGTGATTCAGCAGCAGCAGCAGCAGTTGCTGCAACACACTTTTGGCCATAAAGTGCACGTGGATCAGCGCTTGACGCCTCTCCAAGTGCTTCCGCTTCCCTGCGTCTGTTTCCAAACAAGCCGCCGCTGCTGCTGCGCGAATGCAAGCCGCAAACGCGGGCTCTCCGCTTGGTGCTGCTGGTGGGCAGGTATGGGCCCCGGTGTCTCTTTGTGGTCTCCCGAGGGCCTCCTAGGGGGTCTTGACTGCTGCTGCAAGGTTCCGGAGATTAGGAAGCTTTAGAGGCGTAGAACGGCCAGCTGCGGGTGAAAAGGGTCAAGTTAGGCAAAAAGACGAGAACTGGGAGACCCCACCGCAGGAAATTCGAGGGTTTGGGGAGGAAGAAAATGTCGCTGTTGGGTAAAGTAGAGCTGTTCATGCATCCCAGAAGGCCCTGAGACAGACTCGTAGATACCGAGAAAGTTTCGCTGCTGCCCCGTACAGAAGCCGGCAATAAGCTGCTGCTGCCCGAGGCTGCGGAGGCACCCAGGGAGGCCCCTGAAGAATCCAGAGGTCCTTCAACAGAGAAACATGAAGGCATTGGCGCGCAGTACGCGCGCTGTCGCCAACCGAAGCCCATCGTCAAGAGCTGCGGTGTATGATGGATGTGTGTATACCCCTACGGCTGGGGAGGCAGGGCTGCGAATAAATTGCGCACCTAGAGAAGTGTAGAGGATTTCTGCACCCGAAAAAAGGGCCCCTAGGCATTGTGCTGGAGCCTGTCCCCCGCCACGCCATCACCATCAGCAGCGACAGCAGGGCGCGGGTTCGATGTGCGTGGTCTTGCATGCAGCCCCAACACGGGCAGACGCTGTATGCTGTTTTTTTTTAAATTTGCAGTATTTGGCAAGCTTTTGTGGATCCGCGTGGCCGAAAAACATTTAGAGGTGAAGCGTGTGATCTGCGCACATATAGAAGCGGAGCCGGGGTCCCCCTCCCGTTGCTTCGAAGGCTGAAAGCGCAAACAAGGCGGGAGCTGATGCCTTCGAGCACCGCAAGCGTTAGACTCTCTCTACGCATGCATCCCTCAGCTTTCGCGTGGCTAAACCCGTTTCCGTCTTCGTGGAAGTGTCGGAGAACTTAGGGCGTGTAGACCCCACAATGCCCGGTTTCACTCTTTCCAAGAGCACATACAGCTCATGAGAATGTGGGTGGAGGAGGATAAGCAGAAGAGCCGCAGCAGCAGCAAAGTGGTGCTGCCCGGGGATCCTCTGCAGCTAGGGGAGGGATATCTCTTGGGTCTGAATGCATACGTCGACAACAACGGCGTGCCGAGAGCTTCCGTCTGCGGTATTCTTCAAAGCGTAAGACTTTCAAATTTCGACCTCTCGTGACTCTTGAATCTCTAGACTGAACAGCAAGCCTTTTTCATCACCCTGCAGGTGGAGCACACCTTCCTGCCATGCAAACGAACGCGTTTTCCCAGCGTGTAGCTGCCTTGAACTTCGCGAGGGCACTCGTGTCTGAAAACGAGGCTTGCGTGGACGGTACACTTCCGAATTTTGCATGCAGGTGAATCGCCTCGTGTATGTCCGGCCCCTTAGGAGCCGCTATGAGGCGAATGTTGGAGATGTGGTTGTAGGCCGGGTCGCTGAAATCTCGAACGGCAAAGTAAACCCTAAACCTCAGAAAAAAGAGCGTCTCTCTATTGTTGCTATGCCTCTGCATTGTGTATGCTTCATTGTTTCTCGTTATATTGCACGCATAGGGCGCGGTTTGCATGGGTAGATGTCTGTATATGCAAATGTATATATATACATATATATATATATATATATTGTGCATGCTGCTTGTGGCTTGTTGTGTGTAGTGGTTATTGGATGTTGGGGCGGCTCGCTTGGCGTACCTTTCCTTGGGGGCTGTTTCGCTGGATGTACAGCGGCGAAGAGACGATGCCGATCTGCTGGAGATGAGTCGCTTATTCAAACCCCCCGACCTTCTCTGTTGTGAAGTTCAGAAGACACAGGCAAGCCCGCAGACCAAGCCTTTCACATCTTAGATCGTACTCTCGGCGAAGAAGGGCTGTAAAGGGGCGATTTTTTTTGCGTGGCTGTTAGACTACGGCGGGGGGACGGGGTGGGCCTCATCCGACATGCATGCAAACAGACTACGCATGTGGTACTGTTCGAAACCGAGTCGCAAGCAAGTGCAAGTGTGCATGTTGGGGGCTAGGCCAAAGCAGCCGAACTAGTGCTTGGGGTGGAGCGTTAGAATGCTGTAGTAAGCCGTTGCGGAGGAAGGTGTTCCCCTCTAGATTCGCATTAAGCAAAACACCACACCGGGACCCCGACGAAATCTGTTATGTGTTCATAACGTTCGATTTCAGAGCGATGGTCTGATTCTACTCCACACGCGAAACGCACGATATGGCAAACTTTCGAGAGGATTAGGACTGCAGGTGTCACCGCAGTTGGTCAAGCGGCAGAGCAAGCATGTTGCTGTTCTCAGATGCGGGCTGCAAATTATCCTTGGCGTCAATGGTAAGACCTTGAAGAGTTGGGAAAAAGGCTTGCCCAACACGACATGGGTTTTGAGGAAACAGAAGGGAGAGGGCGCCTCGTGAAGGGTTGTGAAGGGTCACGTGTCGGTGTAAAGTTTCTGGATTTTGTGTGATACAGGGTATTTGTGGATAAGTGTTCCTGGTGTTTCTTCCGAAGCAGATTCCCAGCAGCAGCAACAGCAGCAGCAGCGGAAGATACCCTTGCATTTGAGGCGTCAGCTAGCGATGGTACGAAACGTGGCTAGCTGCTTGGCTAGTAGGGGTTTGAGCCTTACGGCAGAACGGATCGACCATGGTGTGCAAATTGCAGCAGAGGCGCGCATGCAGCCGCAAATGCTGCTGCATAAGGAGCATGCAGACGCGTTCATTTTGAAGCTTGTCTCCGCAACCGAATGAGCTTGAAACTGCGGACTTGAATGAGAACACACTGCTGGCATCATGTTTTTTCGACGCACCTAGGGAGAGTATCACTTGTCTTTTTGATAAACTTTGTTTCTTCCTTTAAGTGGCCTGCTGGCCCGGCTGTTGCTTTGTAGCACGGGATCGCCTTTAGCGTGAATCTGTGTGTCTCTGAGTCGCTGAACTGCCCCATACAACCTGTTTGCGTCTGCCAATCCCCCTATTGATGCCTTAGTTGGTGACATGGCCATCCTCCTTCACAGCGCCCCTCCTGTGTCTTTCCTTTATCGGTCTGCTCGGAGTATGCACGAGGCAGTGAAGCTGTGGCTCCCTTGGTACACGTGGGTCGCGCTATAGAGTGCTAGAAGGGCTTTTGCACACCGGACGTAAGGTGGGGTTGACAGCCAAAAATCAGAGGTGATGTACTGTTCCCCTAGGAACTCCGTGCGGTGCCCTGTTGTTCACATCAAGCCCAACGCAAAGCTGTATACGAAGTTTGTGATTGGGTGACCTTCTGAACGCAATACTGCCCTCCTGCCCTCCTCACCCCTCAGGGGTTCGGCGTGAGGGGACGGCGAGGGCGACGCTACGGTGTGCGATTCAATACCCTCTAGGCACTCCGAGGATCTCCAGCTAGTTGCACGGAGCAACTTGTGGCGCACAGGCACGCACTAGTGATCCTTAGCGCATTGAGCTTACTCTGCTTTGCAAGCAACAGGACCACAGAGTACGAACAGTAAATTAGATTGTCAGCTTGTTGTTGATTTTCAATTAATTACAGAAGCTCGTGTAGGGGGAGGCGCTTGGGTGTAGCTCTGGTCGCGTTCTCACAGGAAACAACTTCCAGGCAACCGGAACAAAGGCAGCTTGCTCTAAGAGTGCGGTCCCTTTCAAGTGACCCTGCGGGGGGAAGGCCCCTTCCCTAGCCTAAATTTAGATCTGTGGCTGTTATTTGCACTCGGGGATCCCGCATCAGCCTGGTGCACTTTGGGGTTGAGCTGGAAGGCTGGGATCAATGAAGGTGTGTGGAGAGAAGGCGGCACGAGTTGCGCCGGCAGGGGTTGCGCTGAGCCTCAAGATCCTCCTTCAGGGGGCCTACGGTGCGCTTTCTTTCGGTTGTTTTTCGTCGGCTTCTTGTGGGCAGGAATTCACGTTTTGAGTGCCTTTGGTAGGGTGTTTTCTCGCAACACATGCACTTGTCCACCGGGCAGCAGAACGAAGCGCCTTGCCATGGAGAGGGGGGCCCACAACAGGGGCCCCCTCCAGGGGCCCTAGTAGCCTGCCTTAAGGGCCGTTTAAAATTCCTTTCAATCGGTGCGTTCTGAGCAAAAAGCCTTTATCGGGGAGGCCTGTAGATGGGGTTTCTGTGCAAGCGATTTCTGTACGAGGTGCTGCGCAGTCCTCAGTCTCCGTGTTTAGGAGTTGACGGTACATGCCGGCCCCTCACAGCCGAGCAGCCGTCGACTCGCGCTTGTTTAAAGCTTCGTGTGCGAAGCCTTATCCCCCAGGAGAGGCCCTCCCTACCCTCGATCCACACTCCGCTATCCAGTGTGTATCGCGCTGTCATGCAAGGCACTTGGATACGACGACCAGCGGGAGGGAGCTAGCCAGGCGATGGCTTTGCTCAGGCTTGAGCAGCAGCGTCGAGCGCTGTCGGCGCTGCTGCTGCTCTGCCTCCTCCTCTGCTGTGGGCGGGAATTTTCCGAGGCTTTCCAGCTGTCTCCTCGGCGTGGTTTGTCCATATGGGGAGGCAGAGGCCTTCCTGGCAGCTGCAGTAGTAGCAGCCGCTGCGGCAAGGAGAGCAGCATGCGGGCAACTGGCTCATTCGATCTCGAGAAGGAGCAGCAGGCAGGCGCACCCCAATCTATCTCCACGAAGCCTCCCACCCAGCAGCCTCCTGCCCAAAAGTGGAGCCACCTGCCCCGTCTCTTGCTGCGTCAAATCCTTCTGAGGGAGAGGATTGAAGCGACACGAACCAGCGGCGAGCTGCTGCGGCTGCTCAAGCACCAGGAAAGGCACATGAATGCGGTGGCTGCCGCGGCTGCAGTGTTGCAGTTCGCAAAACTTCAACAGCGGATGCAGCAGCAGCAGAGACAGGACCCCGCCGAAGGCAGCAGCAGCCTTCGACGCCAGGCACTGTCAACCGAAGCTCTGCTGCAACACCCCACGTAGGCTGTTAAGAGGCGACGGCATCGTCGGATCTGTCTGCTCCTCCCGCTTTCCCTCCCTGAGCGAGTCTTTGTGCAGTGTATGCCCCTCTCTCTTCGTGCCGTTCTAGCGTTTTCCCGTCTCTTCTGCTGCTTCTAAAAGCTCCCGAGAGGACGCTATTAGCCTCATTCAGTGGCCGCTGTCGCAGGGCATGTCTATGCTCAACGCTCTGCTACACCTGGTAAGCAGACTGCCTGCCGCTGCGTGGGGTGGTGCAGGTTTCACAAAACGTTGCTGCTGCTCCATTTGCAGCTGTCACTAGGGATGCCCGTGCGTCATTTGGACCTTGGATTTCTTCCTTGGGCATTCGCCAGACTGAGGCTACACCGCAGCCAGCATCGCGAACTCGCTGAGGAGCTGCTTCTGTAAGCAAGCGCGCAGGCAGCGTAGGCCGCGTATGCACCAGACATCCGCGGGAAGAGCTTAGCAGGGGTGTGAATTCTGCTCGTGGCTTGGAGGCTTGGGGCTTTCTGTGGGTGCGCCGCAGCCGAATTGAAAGGCGACTCTTGCTTGCAGAAGAGAAAGGGTCAAAACAGGAGCAGTGCCTCCAGCAGCACACGCAGGAAGACGCGCTGCTACCGCTGCAGCGACTGCGATGCAGCGGCTTGTGTGCGTTGGTTTGGGGGGTCTCGAAGGGAAATGCCAGCGAGGAGTTCTGGCGTGCGGCCGTCAAAGCTCTCCGGACGAAGATCTCCTTTTTCAATCCCCAAGTGAGCCTGTGCACTACTACGGCTGCGAGTTGGAGTGATTTCCTGCACAGAAAACTGCCGTCCTCCATACCGCACTTTCCTGTTGCGCCGTACTGCAGGAAATTTCGGGATTACTCTACACTTTTGCACGAACGCAAAGCCCACGAGCCCTCGCGGCAGCAGCTGCAGAAGAAGCAACCACAGCAACAACAGCAGCGGACCGCATAGCAGCAGACGCGGCACCAGCAGCAGATACACCGGCAGAGGAAGAGGCCGCAGCAAAAGCAGCTGCATCTCCCACAGCTGAAGATACAGCCGGAATTGCGGCAGAAAAGACAGCGGCAACAGCGGAGAAAGAGACTGCAACTGCAGGGGCTGCAGCTCAAGAGACTGCAGCAATAAAACCTGGAGAGACAGCAGGAGAAGGGGCAGTGGCAGCAGCAACAGAAGCGACAGCAGCAGGAGAATTAAACCAAGACCTCAGCGAATCCTTGGTTTCGCTGCTCGCTCAAAGGGCTGCAGAAACAGCGGAGGCCATGGGAGCCCGTAGCCTCAGCACTGCAGCCCTTGCCCTATCTAACATGAATCACAGCGGCAGTAGGAGCTTGGCTGCTAGAAAATCCGCCTTTATGGCGGCCGCTGCCTCTCAAGTCATTCGAAAGGCTCACACGTTCGACAGTCAGGTCAGCAAAAATGCAGCTGCAAAACTAGCAGAGCAGCTTAGAAATTAGAGGTCGTGATCTTGCTGTGCAGTGCAATGAGCTTTCTGCGTGTTTTCTATGTTGCAAGGCCCTTACGCTTCTTTTGCACTCGCTTTCTATGGAATACCATCAACTTCAGCAGCGACGGCCGCGGCAGCAATTGACTCAGATGCATGCAGCTCTCGACGCCCTCTCGAATGCCCTGCAGAAGCAACACCACCAGCTGCAGCCGGAGGGTCTTTGCATATCTTGTCTTGCGGCTGCGCGCACAAAATGGAAAGACAGCTGGCGGCTACTTGCTGTGATGGAAACTCAGGTCTTGAACCCCCAACCCTCACCGAACAACTTTACCTGCATCCCCTTATCAGGAGCATGCTTAACCTCCTCAACGCTGCCAGCGCCCAAGGTTTGCGTTCAAGGGTTTTGCTGTGGCTGCAGCTACTGAAGCTAAAAAGCTTCCGCTGCTTCTCGGTGCAGCAGCTTATAGTGCTTCTGTGGAGTGTTGCCAAGCTGAAGCAGAGAGAGCAGCAACAGCAACATCCCAAGCAGCAGCAGCAGCAACAAGAAGGCGATTGCGCACTCGTGAGGCGTATCACCGCAGAGATAAGCATGAGGTACTTCTGCGAATAGGCCCTAAAATCCAAATACTCCGGGCGGTAGTATGCTATATCTGTATACTTTATTCTATACTCGTGGCTATGTATATATTGTTTGTGAATTTTGGCCTGATCTTACTCCTCAGAGCCGATGCGGGAGCCCTCGGACCTCTGGATGTCGCCATGACGGTTGAGGCAGCCGCATCCTCTGGAGTTTGCGCCCTCGAGTTTCTCCAGAGTCAGAAATCATCAGCTATGGCTTGAGGTTCACGTAGGCTTCGTGGCATTCTGCGCTGTAGGCAGGTGACCACTGGGTGTAGGGTTGAGGGATGACGGTTTGCGAAGTGTATGTTCGGCCTCAGGAGTTGCGGAGACGGCTGCGTCTCTGGCAGCGGCAGGCCGCCTGAGCACCAAGGAGTTACTGTGGATCTCTTCAGGATTCGCGCGACTTGGATTTGCTGCTGCGCGACCGTTCTATGCTGCTGCAGCGAAGGGCATCCTAGACAGGTCCTGGTGTCTCTCCTGCTGCTGATGCTTGTACATGCATGGCATGTGTCTGCTGAGTCTGCTTCTCTGCTTGTTGGGGGAGCAGCTCGTCGCGCTGATGCTGGCTGCGATGTTACTGCTTCTTTGGTTGTGCTGGCGGCTGCCACTGCTGCTGTGGTGTAGGGACATAGCCGTTGCCACACGTCGTTCTGTCCGCATGGGTGGCCTTGCTATTAGGCCCTTTAAGGCGTCTGGGCAGGGTGTCGAATTCCAGCTCTTTTGCGTGCCTTGCTGCAGGTGGGAGGGCGCTTCATCGTTGGCATCTGCTGCGTCCTTCCTGGTAGCTGCCAGCAGGCTCTCCAGCTGTCATGACACTGCGAGTCGGCAGCTGCTGGAGCTTGCTGCTGCGGCAGTGCGCGCGTGGCCAACAACATTGCAGCAGCAGCAACAGCAGCAGCAACAACAGCAGCTTATGACTGATCCTGGATCCCCATTCTCTGCAACTGAATTGTCTGCACATCCATTTCGGGTGTACCTGCAGCTTGTTGTGGCCCTTGTGCGTTACCCCCTTATCCACATAACCACTACCACCGTAGATGCTGGAGCCTTGCTGTCTGATGTTAACGCGCCTACTCTTGTTAGCTTTGCACATTCAACCGCTTGCTTTGCTGCAACGGCTTCTTTGATACACTTGGGGTTTGTTTGTGCGTTAATAGGCCCAAAGCAGCAATAAGGAGCTGCTGGATATTCCCAGATTCCTTGGGACTCTCGAAGCCAACATTGAAGCATGCAACTGCTCAGACTGGGCAGAGGTGTAGCAGCAGCAATAGCAGTCACCGCAACAATGACAATAACAATAGGCATCGCAGTAGTAGTAGTGGCGGGGCCATCCTTTGACCAGCAGCACCTTATCGCCTCCTGCTGTGTTTTTTGCATGAGGCCATCACTAGGTCATAAAAAGTGCCCATGCTGTTGTTGCGATGCTCCTCAGCTGCACCACCTCGCTGCCCTTTTGGAAATTCAGCAGCATCCCCAGTGGTTGAGTCTCGCTGCTAGTGCTGCTGGCCGTCTCCACCGCCAGCTGCTGCAGCAGAAGCAACAGCATCAAAGGCCTGAATCCGGACGAAGTGCTCCGCTAACAGGAGACAGGCTCGACGCAGAGGACTTCCTGGAGAGCCTTCGCCTGCGTTATGTGAGTCGAAACTTCGACCAGAACTTCGCGGGCCCCTAAAAGCCTCCAGCTTAGTCCATGTAGGGCGGGTACTTGCCTTAGTAAGCCGTTTCCCAAACTGCGCCTCTCCGTTGGAGAATCCAAACTTCGCGGATTCAGCGGGACAGAGAGGAGCCACGAAGGGGTGATCCATCAATAGTTAGAGGGGGGTGCTTCGGTTGTGGTGCTACTCAGGGGTCTCCAACGTCATGGGGACGCCTCCCTTCTACGCGCTCTTGACTAGAAATTTCAGGAGCCTCCGCGAGGAACTCCCCACCGTGGCAGACCCTATGAGGAAGGGGAAAGGCCCTTCTGCCCTCTCAGCAGATCGTTGGCCACTTTGAGCTTTTTCTACCCACAGGATTTACGCAGTCGTTCTGTATCCAGTGGACTGTAGGAAGTACGCGCAATAGGTAGAATACTGGGCGCTCGCGAGCAATTTATAGATGATGCGTATCGACAGCCAGATGAGCCCGTGTGGGACTGAGGAAAAAGAAGAAGGGAGAATCCCTCTAGGGCTTTCTTGGTGCCCTCTCTTCATAGTCATCTACAGTGACACACGCAGTATATTGCTGTACAGCAATCTACGAGGCATTAGGTGGTGTTGTTCTCTGTATGCCCCGAAAGGAAAGGGAGAAAACGATTGTTGCTTTCTAAGAAGGGTTAATGCCCTTCCATGGCTCGAAACTTGAACTTAATAGGAGCCACCAACCGTGTGAGAAAAATGAGGCAATGGAAATATCGGTGGTGTCACTTTGCAAAAGAGTAAAAGGACGTGATGCGCATGGCGCTTCAGCTGCCTGGGAAGGAAGGGGGATTCGTTCGAGCATTCTTCCTAATTGCTGAATGGGTTGCAGCATCGACGCAGTTCCCTGCTTCGCCCTGACCTGAATGCATCTGGCTGCATGGCCCTTTGTCTATATTGGGGCAGTGGCGCGTGGTACGTACACACATGCGAGGGACATGACTGGAATTGCAAGTGCTAGCACTCTGCCCCTGTGACTCCATGACTAGCTTCGTCGTTGTGCATTCGCACACGAGAAGAGCCACTGTGCGGCGCAGACAGTTGTGCTTACCTCTTCGAGTTGAATGCAGCAGTCACCAAAAGGACAGGGTCGCTGTGGGGTCAGGAGAATTGGGGTATTCTGTGTTTAGTGCGATATGACTGTATTAAGACTCTCTGTTGACGCTGTAGAGGAGCTGGGGCAAGCGTTTCTCACCAAGACCCGTCAACGTCGATCTTCTTGCATCTTGGAGCACAGGGGAGTCGACAGATAAAGATGCCCGTGCAACTAAGGGAGTGAGAGAAACCGTGGGATCAAAAAGACTAACACAATAATAGAGAAAGCCAGAACAGTGCAGATGGAATAGCCTCGTATCCGCACTTTTACTCTACCTGGTTCGCCTCTACCGGGGCGTCGATATCCCACAACATAGAAACGACAACCTACAACTGGACAGCTCTTTGATTCTCGCCTACCCCTTTGATTACAAACCTTCAATAAACTTTCATCCTTCGTTAGCTTTCATATAAGAATTTATGCCACCAGCTACTTTTCCTAGAGCAGCACCGATATTTGGGTACTGGGGACCACACTCCGGACCCTTCTCCTGTATGGGCCACTGCGACTGAAGTTCCTTAAATCTCGTTGCAAAAGAGGGGCATTTTACCCGCGTTTATTAAATTCGTATATTAAGATCATATTCTATATGCAAAATATGAGAGGTACGCATTAGGAGGCCTTATCTTTCGCTCCTTTTTGTTCATTCTTCTTTCCCTCCGAGGCGGGGGAGAACAAGCCACAGAGGACTCCGCGTCTCAGGGATGGCATCGTTCCGCTTCCTCGTGTATGCAGCTTGTTTTGGCTGCTAAAGCCTTAAAAGCACACGACGGCTTACGAATCAGGGCTTCGGATGCGGCGTTTAGAGTCCTCGTCTTGAGTGTAGCACATGCCAGTCAAAGTTTTAGGGCCTTGCCCACCAGCGCTGAGTCAAAAGAAGGTCCTCTTCAGCAGCTTCTTTTCGTTTTTTCTGAAGTAAGCTTCCAGTTGAAGCTGACACTTGATGCGTTTTCATCTAGGCTCTGTTTCTGTGTATTACCCTTCCGATTCTCCCCTTTTCTTGCGTAAACACTTAACTGAAAATGCGGCCTGTGCGAAGAAGTCTGTGGAGTTTTGTCCCCTTGGCGACGCTGATGCTGAGCCTCTTCCCCGAGGCTTCAGCGGGTGGCAGCTCTAACTTTCTTCACCCCAGAGGAGGTAATTCTGGAACCCCAGAAAACTCTGCTACTCCCTCTGTTCCCTATGTTGGGGCATCTCAGATGGACTTGAATACAGCGGCTACTTCTAGTGCTGACAGCGGCATAACGCATGACGCAGAGAAGGCGAAAGAAGGCGAGCTAGAGGATGTCGAGCAAGTATTGACTGAGGAAGCAGGAACCTCCCGCACAAGTTCGCACGAAACCAAGGCAGATTTCACTGCTACGGCACTTGCAAAAAAGAAAATGACGCCAGAACAGTACGCAGAAGCAGAGAAGGAGGTTCTAGAGGAGCTGCAATCCCTCTTAAGAATAAGCCCAACGACAACTACTACAAAACCTCCGGGAATCTTCAAGGAGGTCAGGCCAAATTTCTTACCACAGAGCATGCACATCAATACAAGCATAGACCGTGAAAATCTACTGGACACCCTTTGCCCATGGCTCTATTTCCGCATTATTTTGTATCACTTTCAGTCCTCCTCTCTCTGTTCACCTCGATTTCTCTGTCTCATGTATGTGTGTGTGTGCATTTGTGTATGTGTCTGTGTCTGCTTCACTGGTGCCTCGTGGGGTGAGTACGTGAAAGAGGGGCTCCTACGAATGTCGTTCTTTGCCCCAGAAACTGAGTTCTGGGATTGTGAGCCTTGATTGCTTCAGGTACTGGACGGCATCAAAAATTCGGCCCTTGCGCCGCTTCGTGCGACCCGCGATATTTTCACGAAGCCAAAAGAAACTTTGAGAACGAATAGTGGCAGCGCGGACCTTATGTTCTCAAAGCTTGGCTCCGCAATTTCAGGAGAGAAAGGAGGGTGGGGCGCCGCTCTTCGAGACTTTTGGCGATTATTAACCATGAATCCGGGCAGGCAGAAGGAGGCAATAGAGAGGAAAAAGCAATCAGCAATCAATGGAGAACAAGCAGCGAGAAACATAATGCACTCCGATGGATTGCCTGCTGAAATTTTTGGAGAGGCACTTCGCCAACAGTGGGAATTGGAGAAGAGCCGTAAGGCTCTTCAAGAAGAACAGAAAGTTGAAGAAGAGCTTCAGCGTAAATTCGATGCCCTGCTGGAAAGGGCTTCCAAAAACGATGTGTAGCTCATCAAAGGGCAGTTTGGGGAGTATGGAGGCGTCCAAGGGGGCAACGAGGCGTGTGCAGCGCAGTGCCAAGAGAGTGAGAAATCAAGGATTGGCCCAGGCGAATAATATACGGTCAAGCAAAGCCCTTACAAAGACCAATTCCAGAATACAGATCGCTCAGACGGACTTGCTCGTGGGATGCAATAAGCCGTATAGAATCCTTCATTACCCATGCGAGTAGCGCTAGCTGCCTGCTCCACGGCCAGAAGAATTACCAGTGACCTAGGGACCGGCTTGGCCACCTGTATCAAGCTGAGAAGGTTTAAAGGAGTACTCTGTAATAGAAGCATGCCGAGCATGCAAAAGCACCTGTATATATGTGTATGCGGGGCAGCTATAAGGGGCACTTTCTCCTCTGCGAAAGCCCCTTGAAGCTACTCTCGATTATCTCGTTTTGATCAGAGCACCGTGTGTTTGCTCGAGAATTGAAGAACACGTACAAATCTATGTCTTTATTGCATGCCAGCAACTTAAAAGGTCCTTTATTCACCTAGAGTTCCCGTCGCACGGGATTGTTGCAACAGCCAACGCTACATAGGAGCTAGCTTTGACGGTCACCGAAAGAACCATACTTCCCGACCCCTCAGGATGGCTTGCCCCTCCTCAGCCTCAACGCGAGGTTCTACAAGGTAACTTTGCCAGCCTGATGTTCCTCGGGTTCTCAGATCTCTGCCTCGCTAGAAAGTGAGAGACCTAGCCAGTCACAGGAGCACGGCCTGGCGCTGTGTAGCTAGCTGCCTGCTGTATGCAGCGATCTGGCACGCAAGCACGTAAGTTAGCTGGTCAGTGGCTGGGCTAAAGCCGTATGCGTAACTTCCCTGCCGCCCCAGGTAGGCACAGAGCCTCCTTCTAAAATTCGGAACTTGGAAAAATGACTTTATGCGAATGTGAGTGGCTCTGCCCTAGGGGCCGTTTCTTAGCCGTCAACACGAATCCTTAGCACGCGGATTCCCCAGGGAGAGGTGAGGGGCCCAGGACCTCTTTTAGTTCTGAGAGTTGCTGCTCTACGGCAGTGCACTCTGCAAGCTTTGTGTCCTTAAGACGTCTGAGCTGCTTCAGCAGGAAAGCCTTCTGCTGAAGGGCCTCTTGCTGCTGCTGCTGCAGTGCCTCTACTTCAGCTGCTGCTTGTTCCTGCTGCTCCCGGTCTTCCTGCAGCAGCTGCTGCTCCTGCTGCTGCACCATTCGATGCAGTTCGTCTTGTTCCTGCTGGTACTGGTGCTTTGCCTCTCTAATGCCTTCAAGGTGCTGTCGCTCGGCTTCTTGCAGCTGCTGCTGCTCGACCTGTTTCTGCTGCTGCAGCTGCTGCAGGTCCTCGTGAACGAGTTGGATGCGCTTCTCCAAAGCCTTGCGGTTCTGAGCACAGCCCGAAATCGTCAATAGTCTCTTTATGCGACGTATGCAGAGACTAAAATATGGGCCTCGTGACAAAGGATCGCATGAGACACCGTAAACTGTAAAATCACGAGTGCCAACTGCACTTACAGCCAAGAGGTCTTTCATGGCCTTCTTGAGCTTGTCGATTTCCCTTTCCGCCCGCTGCCGCTGTTGGTGGGTCTGAATCAGACAAGATTACCACGGGTAAGGAGAACGCGGAGAATTGGATGCCGCTATGTTGCCGCACGCTTAGCCCGCAAATGCGATAGCTAGCGAAGGCCTGACAGGGTGTGTAGGTAGCACTGACCTCTTCCTTGGCCGCCTCTTCCAGCTGCATTAGCCGCAGCATTTCCTTCTTCATTGATGCCCAATCCAACCCGAGCTGCGGCACCAGCAACAGCCGCACCAGTGCCTCCCCTTGAATTTCCCTGCCAAGCAGAGGCTTAGTGACCAGGAGAATAGTCAACGGGAAAGTTTCCAATTTCAAGCATTCGAAGGGCGCGTGTTGTTCACTACCACGCAATTATGCAAACTCATACAAACAGTGCCTGCTATGTGGACCCGTATAGAAGGAAATAACGCGGCGGCGGAGGCAGAGGGTACTGTAGATACAGGCAAGGAATCTGCAGGGCATATTCCCCAGATATACACACACAGTGCGGGCTGTAAGGCCGCTAACTCTACAGCAGAAGGGGCCACGTCAACTGACAATTCCGTTTGTTGCACGCTTCACATCGCATGCGGCAGCGGCCGCTGCCGCCTCTGCGATCCTGTCGGCTGCAGCTGCAGCACCCCCAGCGGCAGGCGTCATCCTTGGGAGCGCATTCCAGGCCTCTGCAGTTGGCAGCTTTACAGACACCGCGAGCTGGCTCATGCTGCTGATGCATTCGTTCACCTGCAGAGCGAGAAACAGAGAGCCCGCAGCACCAACCGACTTCTTTTGCGCAGCAGCAGCAGAGTGGCACCGACCGCGCATGCCCCAGCAGCAAAAGCAGCAACAGTCACCGATTGGCTGGCGATGCGGAGATCTTCAGAGTCGTTTGAAACCTGCAGCAACAGCAAGAGACGCGGCGGCAAGACCAATGCAAAACATTTCGGAGGTTTTTTCCGCATCCGCAGTGTGTCAGCAGCAGCACAGTGCTCCTCCTCACCTGATCGATAAGGGCCTGGACGGCCTCGTTGAGGGATTCTATCTCCTGCAGCACAGAGCAGGAGCAAGCAGCAGACGCCACATTCGTGGAGACCCCTAGAAATCCGGAGCCTTTCTCCACTGGCCTGTGCAGCACCCCGCCGACGCCAACCCTAGTCTCTGAACCCTTTGAGTCACATCAAATGTGAATGCGCAGTTTCCAACAAGAACTATTGCAGCCGTCAGTTGGTATGTAGGTGCACACCGGCACACGCTAGAGTGAACAGAAAAGAGTGGCAGTTTTTTAAGCTCAGCGGTAATTTGCTTTGGATGCGTAGAAAAAAGCATGCTTCTTACTTTCGTTCGGTGAGCAAGACCCTCCCGCAGTCTGGAGATGTCGTGTCGAATCTGCTCGACTTCGGCCTTGTCGATCTGCACAGATTTTAAACTCTAGACCCTAAACCGTTAGCTTAGCATATGCAAGGAGAGAGCTATTGGTTCCACTGCTTTTAGGGGAGGAATTTTTAAGACATGGGAGGGGATGATCTTGCAAACTCGTGCTTCTCACCCCCTGAGCCTTGATACGTTCCTCCAGTTGCCTCACTTCCGCAAGAACCCCCTTCTGCTGTTGGAGCAGCAAATCTCGCTCTGCCGCAGCTGCTGCAGCGTGCCCATCCTGAACCCCCCCACAGCAGCGGTCGCATCCACGATTAATTAGCCACCACAGAGGAAAGAACTACAACAGGAGGCAAATCGACATTAAAAGCGCAAAACCTTTCACAGGCCCTGGACGCCGTAGCTCTCCTGTGGAGAACACCCCGGAGCTCTGGATTTGCCACGTTCGCCTTAGACGCTGAAACTTGCCTGGTGAGAAATTTCGGCTTTCGTTTCAGCTATGCTGGCGCGCAGGTCGTCAGCTTCTTTAGTCAGCTGCTCTATGGACTCCTGGGTGCAGCACGCACATGTATATATATATTTTTATATATATTTATTCATTTATTTATAGACAAATGTGAACACGCATATAAACACATGGATATGAAAACATGGACCCACAAACACACATGAACAAATATACAAACACACACATGTGGAAACATGAGCACGCACACAAACAAACGCAAACAAACAAACACACACACACCCAGATGTTCACACCAGCAAGCCCTCCGTCAAATAGTTGATTTGGGTTGAATTAGTACCATGAGCGAGGCGTTATCACGGAGCTCTCCTTCGACTCTTGCGAGCTGCTGCTGCCGCTGCTGGAGTTGTTGCTGCACCTGCTGCTGCGCTGCCTCCGCTTCAGCGTTCATCGTATGCAGCTGCCTCACTGCAGGAGCACCGCAAACATCGCGTCGCCAAGCAGGGTGCGCAAAAGAGATGCATCAGGGCAGCCAAAGGAAGCAGCCCCTAGAGGGGCCAGCCTATGCCCAAGTATGGAGCAAGAAGCAGTCACATTTTTTTCGCTTATCGGAGTCCGTGGAGGTGCCTCTTAGGAAGCGCAGCGCATCCCAAGAGGCGGGGAGCAACAGCTGGATCATTGTCTGACACTTGTGTTTATCCTCGTCTTTGGAGGGAAAACAACAATGGCTTACACACAGAGGCCTTTAGGCCCTGAGGATCCCGCCCGAGTTGCGGATATGCGGATGCCACCAAGCGACCGACCACGTCACCGCGACCCTGTACAGACACCCCGTCGAAAAAGCCTCGAATTTTTTGCCGCAGGCCGTAACCCTTGACCTTTCAGACCCAGTCCCTGAATTTAAGCCCCTAAACACCACCCTTGACGTACATAAAAGTCTGCGATCTCCTCTTCTTGGAAAAAAAACTCGTTCTCGTAGATGAGCAGCTCGCAAAGCCAACTCAAAGCTGCGAGGTGATGGGGCCATTGGTGGCCGGTCCCTGGCGCTAGCATCGCGCTCTTGCTGATGGGGAACGGATATCTGCAAAAGACAGACGTGCAGACGCCGAGTAATGTGCGATACGATGCCCATAGACACACCAAAGCGAGATAGAGAGAGAGGCAGAAAGCCCTCCAGGCAGTGCGATAGGCTCTCAGTCCTGCTGTCTACAGGTGTCGCTAGACCCTCTAAGCTTCTGAGGGGTCTAGGGGGCGCAGGGTTGCATGCATGTTTTCTTTGCTGTCGTGTTGCCCCCTTCTCCCAGTGGGTGGTCAAGTGCGTACCCGATCTCTTTGAACAGTCTGGGAACTTCGTCGTTAACGTTCTCTGCCGTTATTTTCACGGAGTCATCGAAGCAGCGCCTGGGAGGACATAGTAAGGGCAGCACAAGAAGGTCCCTCATCTCGCTGAGCCGTTTTCCCTCTTTTTTATGCCACTAGCTCGTGTGCTGCCTCTGGAGGAGCAGCGCCTCCGTGTCTGTCTCTCTGCACCTAAAGCTGGCTACGAAGCGCCCAACACCTCCGCTGGAGATCACTCCTAGCACTGCAGTCCTTCGTCTGGGGAATAGTGCAGCGGGGAGGGGGGGGTTGGGGGGATCGGACCTGAAGAGGTGTCCCCAAATGTCAATTAGCAACGAGCGCTGAGGGCTGCTCAACGCCTTTGCGGAGAGGGGACCAGGAAATTCCGAGAAGGAAAGGAACCTGCGAACAATCACGATATCCCAGGCCCTATAGTCTGAGTTCTTCTTGAAGAGGCGCTGACTTGCGATCAAAATAGAGGCAACCGCCATCACGAGGCTTTCGCGATGAGGACACGGCAAGTCAAATGCGCAGCAGCGGCAAAAAGGAGACTGCACTTCCTGTTCTACCGGGCCGAACTTGTTCAGCTGTACGGCTTGCCTGGTGATGGTTCGAAGGGCATCGCGCTTGAAGCTGTCTTGAGTTTGTAGGGACTTAAGCTTTGTCGCTTCAGCGCTCCTCTTTCGTCTTCTGTATGTGCTGTGGAGAGCTTTGTCTGCTGTAAACGCGCATAAGGTGTGGGCTTCATATTTCACAGCCTAGGCCCCAGATCTCGTTCCTAAAGTTGCAGGGGTGTGTAGCAACGAACCTGGATTGACTGCCTTGTAGAAGGAAAACTCGCTTAGCTCCCGTGGCTGCTGACTCTCTGGAAGAATCGAAGAAGCAGCCGCTGAAAAAAGCAAACGGGCACCCCAACGTACAAACCCAAACGTGCAGGCACGCGAACTCGTTCGCCGATGAAGTCAGTGAAGGCACTCTCTGGCCCCCTTCCTTCGCCTTCCCACCCTCTGTCACAGCCGCTGCGAGCTTATAGTGCCGGCGGAAGGCTTACAAATTGCATTCGCGCGAAAGGGAGAAGTCGGACCCCCAATGAGGGGCTCCATGCTCAGTTACCCGAGGTAGGTGTGGGAATTCGCGTGAACAAGCCGATAGGATGGGCTGGATGGCTGTACGTCTAGAGATCCGCCATGCACATTCGTCAACAGACACTGCACGACTGCTGCCCTCCTACTGTCGTTGTGATCCCTTCGTCATTAACCCCAAGCTCTCAACCGTGGACAGACAACCTGAGTCCTGAGCAGGTGTATTCTTTACACCCTGGCCTGAGGGCTGCTGCACGTCTTGCCGAAGAAAGGCTCCTCTTTAAGAGGTCTAGAGAGTTCTCGCTGCCCTAATAAAAAGTTGGAGGAACAAAGACTGCCGAGGATTTTTGTAAGCTGCAGCAGGTGGGTGCGGAGTTAGAGGGAGGGGCCCCCCAATCCTCTGGGCACTATATATCGTGGTAAGGTTGCGTACAACCGGTTACTGAAGGCACTACGAGTATTTAAAAGGTAGTGGTGGTGGCTATTTAACGCGAAATTCGGGATGCGGTGCTCCTTTCTTGGTGTAATGCGCGCAGCCACCGATCAGCTGTATAAACACACAAGCCCCAGCAAAGCATGATCTTTGTCCTAATTGTGGTGTTTAGCCATATCACAAGTGCCCATGGTGTTCGACGGATATACAGCTGTTTTCTGTGTTTCTGGTCTCTTTGAATGGCTCGGCTCATCCAGATCGAAAATCCCAAGGGGGCCTCCTCTCTCCGGCGCTGCGTCGGGTGGGGCCCATCCAACCCAGTAACCACCCCCATCCGATCCTGTGAACCCCTCTTGCTCTCTAAGGGACGAGCGAAAACACAAAGATATCAGCCGCTTGCTTGCTGTTCGGCACACTTCGTGCTCTTTCTGAGTTCGTCATCACAGTGGCATCGAAATCTGGGACCTGTAACCCAACCAACCCGCAAGACGCTAGATCTAGCCTTCTTCCGCTTTTACCCTCTACGAAGCCACAAATCGCAAAATCTGCGCCCGCACCTATACAATGTCGCTGAGGAATTGCATGAGAGTTTCTAGAATCTAGCGTGTAGGGTTCGGCGTTTGGCCCCGTGCATGGGTTTCGTTGTGGCAAGATGACGGGTGAGCTCAAGACGCCCCCTCCTGTTGCAGCCACTTGGCAGCGACTAGTGATTTGTAGCGGATTGTGGTAGCTCTAGGGTGTAGCGGGCAGCCTATGACTTGGAGCAAGGCCTACGGCTTGGGTCCTATGCTTCCTACTTCTCTCCGTCTGTTTCTGCAGCCGATCCTCTAAAGGTCAAATGCGATTGCGTTTTCTTGGACGGGAAGCAGCTTGACATCGAGTGTGCTTCATCTACGACAACACCCTAAGCTCTAAATGCTCACGAATTCAGCCCTCAACCCCTAGCAGAATTGCGTGGTTCGGGCTTGTCCCCACCAACAGACCCCTAACACGCGATTTTTGTGGAGCAGTTGTTCTACTAAAGTTGCAATTCCTTACGAGCATATTCGGCTTGCAGAGTTTGAGATTTCGGGTTTGGCGAGGGTCCGTGGATGCAGGAAATGGGCCTTGCCCTTCGAAGAGGTTGCTTGTCGGTTTGAGCGGCCAGATCTGAAGGTTATTTCGCTGCAAAAGACATGCAACTGTGTGAGTCTAGATCGTAGCGAAACTTTTGAGCGCCTCAGCTTCCAATGCCCAACTGTACTAATGCCCAACTGTGAGCACCAAACCGGAGCTTTGAGACCATAGTCGCTGCAGCGATCCGCCCCGTATTCTGCAACACGTGTGTATTATTTGTCATGTCCCTTCACCCCAGGCTACACAAGGCGCCTTCAATGCGTTGAAGGGTGCAGTGCCACACGCGGCAGTCCTCGGCGTCGTGTCTTCGTTGTGTGATCCCCGCGGGGCAGCCAGTAAACTCTAAAGCCTCTGGCCTTCCTCCTGTAGCTCCACCTGAGGCGCTGTCTTGCTCTGAGAGCCATGCACGGTGCTTTTCTTGAGAAAGATTTGAGAGTTTGCCATTTTTACGCATGCTCAGGTGAAATGAAGTGGTGGTGGGTTCTGTGGGATGTCAAGTGAGTCCCTCTTGATGTCGGTGTTGGTGCACGGGGTGTTGTGCTGCTGTCAGCTAGTTTCTGGTAAGGGGCGCCTAAGGCTTGTATTGGTCAGTGACTGGGGTTCAGATGTTTGTGCTTTTTTGCTACTCTAGGGAGACCAACTTGTTCCTCTCTTTCCGCGGAGAAGAGTTGTGGAGCTGCCTCAGGTCAGGCGCTACATCGTTAGGGTTGGAGGTTCCCACTGTCCCCTCGCTGCAAGCATTTCTTTCCCGTGCTTTAAGGCTTGACGTCTGGCACTGGTGGTGTTGGGCCCACAGGAAGAAAGGAATCAAGCGGGGAGACCTCGTGGCGTTGCTCAACCCTTCCCTGCTGCCTAAGTCAAATGGAGCAGACTCGCGAGCGGCCACTGTCGAGGATGAAGATCAAATCCTGCTGGTCCTCACACTCACCTCGTAAACCCTTTGGAAGCCTATAAAGCCGTGCCTATGCTTGCACGCGCTGTTCTATATCCAGATACGCTACACCCCGCAGGCCGCCCTACTTGCCGCCAGAGAGTTCAGGAGGTGACGTGTGTATATGCAGATTGGAAGCGTTAAGGGCATCGTGCGTTGTGGAGCCATGACTCGAAAGCAAGCGCAATGCCGTCAAATGGTGCATGTGTAAGGTTTAATTCCGAAGAAGCCTTCTTCTTGGCAGCTCTGCCCCCCATAACGACACACACCTCTTCAAATCTGTTTCACCATTGAGGAGACACTAAATCAGCACCTAATTGTATTCTGAGTGGTTTGGTTGCGCGTGGGAATTCCATGTTGGCTGGCTTTTTGCCTGTTCTGCTGTCCCTGGTGTAAATACAGTCCGAGCATGGGGGAGTACTGTCGATTCCACGTGAACGTGAAGAACCAAAGATCCACAGGTCTTCGTGCCTCGCTTGTTGAGGAATCTATTGACGAGCTTTTATGCGGCTCCAACAAGGAAAAGCGCGCTGAAATACTCCGAAAAATCGCTCCTTCTGCTGGTGCCCACGCTGACGCCGCAGCCGATCCTCGGAGTGCTGATCTCGCTGCTACTAGTCTTGCTCCCTTGCAAGTGGACACTGCACAGCAGAAACAGATCAAGCAGCAAGCCATGAACAGTGAGGCTCTCTATTTGACCTCGACCCTTGCTGAAAACGTCAGCTGAGTTCTGCTTTATACTCCTTTTGCCACCTCAACACTATATCGTGGCTCACACAAAGTTGTTTTATGGCTCCTGCTGGTGTTTTGGCCTCTGTTCTCGCCATCACCCATGCAGAGCTCCTTCAACAAAATCTTCTTCTGCAGCAGAGCTCCAGCAAATCCGCACCGCCAGCGAACAGTTGCGATGACCAAGGCAGCGCTGAAAAGCCCAGTAAAATCGCAGCTGCTGCTACCAAACCTATTCGCAGCACGATCACCAGCACAGCGAGAGGCGAACCTCCGGAAAGCAGCAAGCCTTCTTGGAACATCGCCAACTTGGGCAACGCAGCAGATAGGGAGCATCAGGCCGTCGAGGCATTTGTGAAGAAACTCCAGGAGATAGTGGCTCTCCCGGCAGTATGTAAACCTGAGACGCCGTACCCTGCTGCTGCAGTGTCTTGCTGGACAGCTACAGGGAACTACTGACTGGCTCGTGGTCATGGCTGTGGTATCTGTAACTTGCGGTGTGCCGGGTGTCTATGCAGAGCAGCAACAGAGATATGGCCCTGGCCATACAGCTGTCTCTAGCGAAGCGCATGCGCTTCGACTGTGTCCCCCGTTTGGCTGAGACCGCCAAAGAACTCCACACGCAGCTATTTCTACATCCGAATTCCGTAAGTTATATTTCTAGGGTATCTGCTGATAATGCCGGTTTCAAGCGCTTGCGCTTTCTCACGTGTATCAGAGACAGACTCAACCGTGTGCCGCTCTTCCATTCGCTGCTACTGCAACAGGATTTGGCTCTACTGGCATTCAAGAACTATCGGTACATTCATTGTATCGCCACGATCACGCCACGACCTCAGAGAGTCCATGAGCAGACGCAGGTTCAGTCATCCACCAAAGTGAAAACAGCAGCTGTAGACTCCGTGGCAGTGGCCTCAAGACGCCACAGCGGCACAGCTGCAGCAAATGAGCAGTGCCAGCAGCTTCCGCCTCCACCGCCGCTAGAGTCCGCAACAGATGTACGACGAGCCCTCCGAAGCTTGCAGCAGAAGCAGAAACTAGTGTCTTCGACCGTCAGTACCTTAAAGCAAACAAAGAAGGCAGGAGACGTTCTCCAGAATGTAGTGGCGGCGCAGCAAAAGCGCCTTTTGAAGGAACAGCAGCGGAGTGAACGGGCATCAAAGGCACTACGTACAGCAGCAACAGTGCCTCCTCCTGCTGCTGCTGGGAAGCCAGCGCTTACGGAAGAAGAAAAGAAACAGCTTCTAGAAAAGATTCTCCAGCTCAAATCCTCCGTCGCTGATATTGTCGATCAAGCACGTCAAAAATGCACCGCCTTTCGCCGCTGTTGTTATTTCCTTTTCATGCGGTTTTTGCGGGGGCACTTGTAAAACTGTAGCTCAAAACGTGGTACCTTTACACTGCAGAAATGGGAGGACAGGTGGTGCATGTGCGTTCATCGACACACCATTGTGGTCATGAAATTCAAGTGTCGAGTTTAGAGTGCGTTCTCAGGAGGATGGTCAGAGACACCTTGAGCGCCTCCGTTCTCTGGAGGCCGCGGACATCAGCCATGAATTCAAGCAATCAATAAAAGAGACGACTGTCAATGCTTTCTTTTGCTTACAGGTAGGCTTCCATGATGCTTGGGAATCAGAGGTTTCTGTTTGACTTTGGCTACAGGATTCTGGGAGGTACTAGTCAGTCCGCAGATGATGCGGTTTGGATCTTTCGGGGCTGTGTAGCAGCACACCTTAGAAGCTGAGGGCATGCAACTTATGGAAGTATCTGTCTATTTTCAACCAGCAGTCCCTCCTCTCGTGGCTGGCTGCCGTAAGCTGTAGCGCATAGATGTCTTTCCGGGCTTAGGCTGTGCTATGCTGTGCAGTGCAAGAAGTATACAGACCGCCTAAACACTGCGTGTGTTGCCCGTAACCACCAGCAACAGCCACGCAGAGCAACAAAGCGGTTTGTACAGTGCGAGAACTGTGGCCACAAACCCATTCCCACACTGAACAACCAGCTGCCAGACGGATGCCCAAAGTAATCTGGTCCCTAATAAGGAAGCCTCTGTGACAGGCAGAAGTGCACACTGCTGCTACAGCATTCAATACACCTTAAGTTCGATGGTCGCATCAAATGTCTGTAGGGTTCGAACCCGGAACAGTGCATGCTCTGTGGTGCAGATGCAGAGTTGCCTCGAAGGACATCAGTTTTCGGCTGATTCCGTTGTATACTGCGAAGCCAGAGAAGCTTCTGGAGCAAGAAAAGCTAACTATCGAGTACGCCCACGTGCGATTAGAAATGTGCCCTGGATACTAGATCTTTGTAAGGAATAAGGGCTTTCTGTCTCTGCTTGGCGAATCAATGTGCTCTGAATCCCATGATAATGCCCGTGGCTCTTGCCAACCTGCCTCTGCGTCTCAGCGGCACGGATGTAGGTCCTTATAAAAAGCAGCAGGAAAGGCCACCGCAGTGCAGAGATGAAAATTCAGCAGAGGGATTCTTCGATCATCATGACCTTCCAGACACTTCCTAAGACAGTGGGTTTACCATAGGGCCTATGCAGAACTACTACGAGTGCCCTAAGGGCCGCCTGATGGAGCCTACTCCAGGACTAGTGCGGGGGCTTCCTGGCTAGAGTCTGAGGTTGGCTACCAGGGATGACTCCTATAAACGTTCTCATGACATCTCTTGGACTGTTTTACATCTACGTCAGTCTTAGGACATGCACTCCGGGTTGAGGAGATCGCATTGCCCGTCCAGGGGCTTTGGTACAGTACCTGAGCAGCAAGTTGACTGCATGCGGCTCCTGATTTCGTGCAACTAGTGAAAGGGTATGTACTCTAACAAGCAAGCTGCCTGTATCCCCCAGTACATCGCATGGAACAGCAGTGGGGCAAAGTTCAAGAACTCGTGTCACTGTTTGTAAGAAGAAAGAAGCGCCAAGAAGTTGGGTAGCCATCAGACCCTAGTGCATTAGAGTGACCATTCAACTACGCCTCCGCGAAACGATTCAACACGGGCCATAAACGTGCCAAGATTTATCATTAGGCTTTAGTTTTGTTCGTTTTCCTAAAAAAATTTTATCTGAAGTGGCAGGCCACCCTTGCTCTGCGTACGAACGCGTTCCATGCCTGGCTTATGTAAGTATCATAAGTTATGATAGTTTTTCAGGTCGCACTACTTGCGTGTCATTGTCGTAAATGCAATACTCTAGCAACCGTAAGCTGGAATCCTAGAGGATCAGGGGAAACGTGGCGCAAGCCAGAACTAGCTGACAAGTGGGGTTACCTCGAGTTTCCGACACCTGTAGGCAGGCGTGTCATAACGAAAGTGGAGATTGGACCGGCAATGAGCAAAGAACTGCGCTTTGAGACCGAGTGCTTGTTGGTGTAATGAGCTCTAAGTGATCCTTGCTGAATGCGACCCAGTTGAGACAGATGAATGTAATGCAAACGAGCGCATGCTCTAAAGGCGCATGACAGCCGGAAAATTAATGCTTCCATGAGAAGAGTATGGAGAGCCAAAGACCTTTTCTGGGCTGGGCATCCACAGTTCTCTGGATACCGGAGAACGGAAGTCCGGGTCATTCGTAGGGGTGGTTCTGTGCCCACCTTATCGATATCCATCTGTTTAACACGCTTATGCAAGAAGCATCTGTTTATTGCTGTAACAATATATGAAGCATTATCCAGCTTTTTTTGTAGTGTATAAAAGCTGGGTTTTGCATAGTCTTAGATGTACACGGGTTCTTTGAAGCTCTTCCTGCGCTGTCTCGACCGTGGCAACACGCCTCCTTTGGCAGCTGCTGAAACGAACCCTAGGAAGGACCAGTGTAGCCGGCCAAACTTCTCTTTGGTATTTTGGACACTTGCTAGTATAATAGGCGCCAGCCTGTTTTTCATTTGCTAAGCTCCCATAATTCATAATAGTCTAAACCCTTAGCTGTGGGTACTTGCTTGTGATAAAACACGTTACCAACAGGGTGGGGGGAGATTGTTGTGGTGGTATGGGTATGGGCTGGAAGAACAGCATCCACTCAATAAATATGCCTTATTTTGCTTTGATTAGAGCTAAAAAATGCTTTCAGTATTATTCCAACCAAATACAACCAAGAATATCAACGATACGTCGATCTGTAGATGGAATGACCAAAAAATTAGAGCGCAGCATTCTTGATGCTCTAGTGTGGCAATGTTCCTGACCCAGGATTCTCAAGTGGAGTACACTAAACATTCGCAGTTGATATCCCTACGCCAGAGAGTGTGTGGTAGTTACAGAATATCTAGCAGATGAGTGTTCCTGTCGTATTCTCACAGTGTGGAACTCTAACCTCGCATTGGTCGATAGGTTCTTTGAGGATTAAAGGTCAGCTCTCGAAGTTTGTTTGCTCTGGAAGGCAGCCTCATGGGTATCTTCTGATGCGCAAATATGTTGCCTTGGTTTGGTGGAAACCGATTGCGTGAACACCTTGTGTGTGTTCCGGCATACCGCAAGGTCGGGCTTGCATGCCATCAACGCCATGGCCGTCGGAATAATTGGGTTGCATGCTCTTTAAAGGTTATGGAGATGCTCATGGAGTTTTAGGGTACGAACAGAGCTTTTTCTTAATTGTTTGCAGCACTGTGAGTTTCGTACATCTTGCGGCGGGTGCTGCAGGTGAATTATATTAAAGGTGGACAAAATATTAGAAGGTGCGGGGCAGAGCGTAGATCTGGTAGTTGTTAGCTTTGTCCAGGTGTGTGTAATTGACACGCGTATATGCACATAATACGAGGCTACCTTTCAAAAATTATACTGCATAGGTGCCTCGAAATAGGTTTGTTGGCTCCAGTTGTATACATCTCGACTTCTTGAGAATTCCGGAATATTGAAGGGGGTGGCTTCGTTAGGTGAGGCGGGGTGGACTTGTGGGGTAGTCAATTATAAAGCTTTAAGGGCTGACTCCAAGCCACCAAACCCCCTAGAATGGTGCCTAGAAGGGACTGGAGACGGCAGATTAATCTTGATTCTATGCACCGCAGGTGCGCTTATGTTGAACTTCTTTGCCAACTTTATGGGGCGGGTGGATAGCTTTGTACGGTATTTTGGAAGTCTCTTGCGACAGCTGTGTTATAAGACAGTGCTCTAGGTAATTTTTAGAAAAACTTCGAATCTTTATGAGTGTAGCTTGTTTGCTTTGATTGCAGTGAGCGTGTTCTATATCCTATCCCGTTCAAAGGGTTTTGAGTGGAGGCAGTACAGCCCACTCCGACCGCTTTCCGTATGTCCTGCAATCGTGCACTTCCTTGAAATATATACTCTAATGAGAGCTAATTGAGTCTTACATAGTATCCATAAGAGATGCTTACGCGATTATTTGCCTGATGAACACAGTAGTACATCTGCGCGCCGTTCAACAGTCTCTCTTGTTCCACGTCTCCATGAATGCACTTTCCGGGGTCATAACTCACCTGGCTTGCTTCACGGCATATGAGGGAACATTTTAAGTAGCTCCTCATGTCTTTTGGCCATGGGCAGCTATGAATTCAGAGCTACCGCACAGGGGCATAAGCCAAGCTTGCTCAAAAATGGGGCAATGGAATAGGTTGGGAGTTTGTGTACCGTGCACAGGGTCTGACCTAGTGGTAACTCGATAGAGATCATTAATTTTGGAAAATGTAGACTATTTAAAAGTCAAACATAGAGTAGATGTAGGGCACCTTGCGAAAGCGCCAAGTTTACGGAGTCACTAGTTCTGCATGCCAGGACGGGTTCCCCCTAGGGGCTAAGCTTTAGCCCGGAAGGAACGGAAACTACTGTTAGTCGCCGCTCACAACGTAGACAAATGTACAAACAACGCACCTGCTTCAATTGCAGGAGATTGGTCGTACAATCTGGAACTGTAAGGCGTTTTGTATCCGGGTGAACGAGCAGCCATTTTTAACTGGAGCGTGATCTTCTCTTAACTGCGCTTAAAGTCCCTAACTCGAACTAAGTCTTTTTGACAGGCACGACATTATGCGCGGGTTTATTTTTGCCCAGTAGTCGGAACCCGTGGTTCAATACCAAAATTGTTGGGCAGCCTACACGCTGGGTACTTCCTCCGTCATAGTGCCTGATATACGGACGCCTTAAAGGGACTCTAAAGACATGCTCTGGGTATTAACCACCTGATCAAAAGAAAAAGGGGGCTGTATGTGTTGTTGGCACACTGACGACCTGGTTGTCCGTGCGTTGAGGGAAAAGTTTTCCAAAGACGACCGCATCTCGCGCTGTGGTGTTCCTGGCCTTGTGCTAGCTTTCCCTCGGAAGACCTAAAACAGGAAATAGGCGCTGCAAAACTGCGAATGGCATAGCTCAGCGCTGCCAGTCGTTGAGAAGTCCTAGAGTGCATTGAAAAAACTGCTCCGTGCAAAGACGAGCCAAGAACTTCCACAATATACCTTGCAGGGCTTCTGCCATTGTGTCTTATTCCTGATGAAAGAATACTGATTCAATCTAAGGAAGGAGCATGAAGATTTTAGTTGGCTGAGCGGAAAGCTGCCGGTGAACTTGATCACATGGGCGACCTCAGTGAGCCAGATGCATGCTGTCCCCCCAGAGGGGGACAAATTCGTTTTGAATGGAGGGGGTTTTCAAAAGTCTGGAGGGTTTTATATTGACACAGACACTCTGAATCTAAATTTCCAATGAATTTTGAGCGACTACGCAAAATTGGTGAGGCTTCGCTACAGGAATGACTTCGGGGCTTAAGTGTGGCAGGGAGCTGTATCGTGCCGTAGGCAATGCAATAGCCAGCAGTCTCACAAGAAGTGTCTTTTCATTATAAAAGGTACTTTACCCACTAGCTGTAACCACCATCTCGTCCTTGATAAGTATCGAACGCCGGAAGAACCAAAGGGGGCGCTCTACGCCGCTCATTTTGACCAGCGGCATGGGTCTTTGCTGGTCTCGTTTGTCCTGGTGGACGCAAGATTTGACGAACACCACCAAGTCTGAAGATTGTCATAGCAAGCTGAAGGCTGCCTCCTGAGGGCGCCACCAACTCGGCTGACGATCAGCTTGAGGTGAAGGCTGTCCCCCGTAGTGCGCCATGGGAGGCTGTACGGGTTTGCCTCCCGTGAGCCTAGCTAAAGGGCTCATCACCCTGGTGGTCGGGGTATGAATTAGGCCACGCACCCCTCTGAGTGTCTCGTGAGGTTCCTTGCGCTAGGGCGGAGCTACTAGAGTAATGCTTGGTAGGTTGTGGCGTGCTCCACGTGCTCTCCCTGACCCCATGCATCTATGCTGGTGACCTCTCGCGGCAGTGCTGCTGGGATTTATCTTCTCTGGATCGAATAACCATGGAGGAACCCACATCTGTTGGTAAATTCAACCCCTCACCAAGCGCTCATTGTTGTACTAGTGGAATCAGCGAGACCCAGGCAACCAGGGTGGAGCAACCGGTGCATGCGACCGCGACCATAGTACCCCAGTGTAGCGATGCTTCAGATAGCAGCAAAAGGTGCTATAACAATGGCAGGAAGATGAAAAATAATGACTTGGCAACAGACAGGACATCCTCAACAGATCCCATGTTCCATGGGGGTCCTTTGCACGAATTGCCTGCGCCTTGTATCCCCTTGCGGCCAGATACTGGCATGACCATATCTCTAGATGAAGGTCCACTTGATACAAGTGCCGAATCATTGCGCACCGAAGCTGCCTCATCTTCCAACAAGTCAGAAAATGTTGAAATGCAGGCACGGGACTCTTCCCCTCCGAATCGTGTCTGCAAAGGAGGAGGACAAGAAACGACATTAGACCTGGAGGAAAACAAAGAAAAGTGCCGCAGTGCCATCTCCGCGCGCCGTGTGCATCCGCTTACTTCATGCGCCTCCTCCATGTCCGTAAACAACAAAGGAGAGAACACTGCTTTGCCTGAAGCGCAGGATGCACCAAGCGGAGCCGAGTCGAGCCCTATGAACGGAGGAGTCTTACCTGCCTCAAGGGAAGACAAAGGGACTTCAGAGCGGCTGGAGGAGCTTTCGGTTCTTTCATTTAACGCAGGGCTACTGGAGTATAAACTGTGTGGCCTTCGGATCTACCAGAATCCCCCCTTCACCCAGCGCCGTCTCCACCATATCCCGGGTAGTCAAGATAAACATTCACCCTGTCTCCATGGAGTCGCATGCTTTATCAGTGTGCATGTCTATGGGTTCCGTTCTGGTAGTGTTAGCAACGTCGAAGTGGTGTTTGGCGTTTCATCCCTGAAAAAGGCCCTGAAATAGCATGCAGCCTGCTAATAGCATATCTTTCTGTAGTGTATGCATTATACTCGTTTGGCTGGCGGTCCGTAAACGGAATTTTTGTGTGCTTTGGTTATGGTGTAATTAACAGCGGCGCTGCTATCCACTGGGGCCGACATCATTTGCCTTCAAGAGGTTTATGGCGAGAACCACGCAGATTTTATCATTGAGAACACCCGCCACAAGCTGCCCTTCGTTGGTAGGTAATCGCGGCGGCATTTTTCAAGGCATTCGTTGTGTTTGGTTTCTCTTAGCCAATACCTTTTGATTAATTTCATGCGGCATTGTGTCATTTCATGGAGATGATAGCTCTGTGGAGCCGTATCCGTGTGCGGGGTTGCGTCAGGGCGCCGGACGTCTGGAGGCCGCTTCTCTCTCCACAATGGCCTCATGGTCTTGAGCAAGTATCCAATTGTCCACACTCATTTTCACAGATTCGAAAATGTAGGCTAGTGCAGGCGGAGCCCAGAGTCACGCGTTTGCACATCACCTTGGCACCCTTGCTTGTGCTGTTGTAAGGACATCTTCGTTCGTAGGGCAATTGTCCGCACTGCTTGCACAATAATTCTGCATATTTCGCAGGTTACGTATATCGAGCGCTGTTTCGCTTCAAAGGGAATGCTGGAGGTCGCCGTGGACGTGCCGTCGATCGGTGTCAGTGAGTGCCTGGCCGAAAACATCTGACGATGCGCAGCTTCTGTTCGTGAAACTATGTCAGCCAGCAGCACGAGTGCATTCTGAAGCCCCACGTGTACAATTTCGATTATGTATGTTGTATGTATATGCTGGACGATGATACTGCAGCGGTGCAATTAAACAGAGCTACCTTGCCTTTGCTCTGAGTAGAGAGAGTACGGGGAAGGTGTGCCTGCTTTTTTGCATGTGGTCTTGTTTTCCACAGTCGCTGTTTTCAACATTCATTTGGCCAGTGGTGCGGTTGACCCGGAGTCTCGTTATGTCGAGGACGTACGGGCGGCAGAGATCCGCCAACTGTTGAAGGCGTGCGACGCTGCAGCAGATAGAGGCCATGTTCCTCTTGTCATAGGCGACCTTAATGCCGGTACGGAAAACCGCTTTTTTTGTTAGACATACATTAAATAACTGTAGGGGTGCTGCTTTTGTACCAATATGACTCAGTATGCATGATTCTCGACGTTCTTTGCATATATACAGGCATTGGTCGAGGATTCCCCTCTGAGACTGGCCTCGGGCTTCACCGATTACCGTTTTTTTCAATGGGGCCTTTTGTATGCATGCGACAATTTGGGGACTTTGTGTGGGTATATTGGGCGCATGTTGCCAGTGTTTCAAACAGTGTTTGCCGGCTCTGCAGCTCCTCATCTGTGCGCATCGAACTACAAATCCTTTGTCGAGAAGGGCTGGCGGGACTGCTGGCTGCATGTCCATGGACATCAGTGGCATTTACTGCAGCATCATTTGCTGCATCAGCAGCAGCTGTTGGAGGCGCAGCAGCTAGACGACCAGGGCATAGAGCTCCACGACCGCCACATCAGGCGTGACTTCTTTGTTCGTGTTAGGAGGCAAAGACGCATGCAAATGCACGGCGGATTAGGATCAACAGAACTACAGCAGCCCCTGCAGCGTCCTTCGCGAGCATTACAAGGATCGTCAACCCCAGCAGCGATTCACCGTCCCAATCCGTATGTCAGGATGCCGCTCTCTCCCCACAGGGCCACTGTTGCTTCTGATGCGGATTGCAGCGATATGGAGAGGGAGCAGGAAATACAACTCCTGGAGCACCAACAGGCACAAGAAGCTACATCCTCAAGTGGAAAACGCGGATGCACAAGTGAATCACCCGAATGTGTTAACAGCAGTCTGCGAAGAAATAGCAACTTCTTTGTTGGTGCGAACAAAGATTATCTGTCTTGTCCTCATGTTGAAGATGGCGAGACTCCGAAGCGCAGCAATAGCCTACGCCAGAGCGGTTCAGTGGAGTTGACTAGCCGCATTTTCCACAATGCCACTGTGAGTGTTGCTACACGACACTCTTTGCAGAGAAGCAACACGGTGCTCATCGGTCGTCCAAAGCGGGATAAGGATGACAATCAGCCCGTTAAAGGTATACTCGGGGGATTTTTGAGCAGGGCTGGGGGCAGTGTGCAGCATCCTCTGGCGTTTGAACTGCCGGCTGCTGCGGCATGGGCCCACCGCGAGTTCTTTTTAACAGCTAAGCGGCGGCTTATCGAGCAGCAACGAAAGTGGCTGGGTGGAGGGGACAAGGCTCCAGTGTTGGACGTGCGGCTTTCGCTCTCTGCGCCGCAAAGTCATCAGCAAGGCGTGGACGCCACTCCTCTTGCCAGTGACTGTTCTCTTGGATCATGCAGTACCGCACTTTCAGCGGCACAGAACGGCGACTCCACGCTTTTGAATACTGCAGCGTGGGAAACTGGCGGCCGTGTTCATGCTGTGCCATGGTGCCAGTGGCATAACGACGAAGCAGATGACTGCGTGACTGATTGGCTTCTGTCGGATATCGATGATGAGAACGATTCGCGAGAAGAGAGCGATGTCGTTATAGCAATTACACCCGATGGTGACACGCCTGTTCCTTGTTCAAGAAGAGACTTCACTTGGGATCCTGGAAACCCACTCAACACTATCGGGCCACATGCAGGGTGCCACGGGCTACGCTGTGACTATATCTTCTTGCCTCCGCACCAATTTGCTGGCGGTCTATACCCCTTTCTGCCCGTAGCCGCTGACATTCTGATGCGGGATCCTCGTGTTCTTGTTGACGCCTGCTGCTTCGGCTGTTTCGGGGAGGTTATGCTTGTAACACTTAGCGACCACTACGCCGTGCGTGTTACTCTCCGCCGCAGCACGGACAGGGACATTGCTGATTTTTGGGGCTCATGTGCGGCAGAAGCAACGACTCGTAGGCCTCCTGCTGCCTAAGCAGTGGTTCCACGAACAAGTTTTCCTCATCAATCATAAACGCAGACGATGGGCGCGCCGCATCACCAATAAACAACTTGAGGGTCGTGACGCTTTCTGAGTCTTAAAGAGGCTAGTGGTGTGGCTTTTGTGTATTTGCTGTTTTACGCTAAGTCCGGAGAGTAGTGGACAGCCAGAAAGTTGCTGCAGCTCGCAGGTACCGGGCAGATATACTTCCATCTTAGCCATCTTTTGCCCAGTGTTGGTTGTGTTTAACAAGAAGAACATGGAAACGCGAAATCTATTTTTGTACATCTCATTTGTCTACTGATGCGCTGATGTGGCGTTTAAACTCTGGGCGGCTGCTCGGGCACGGCATGTAGATACCCCTTCCAGCGATCTCTTCTGAGTTAGGCTAACACGAACCCATAATGAAAGAACAGGCGTTTATATGCACGTCAGAACTGAGCTCGTTGTCCTATGTACAGATATTTAGCAGTGTTATGTCAATACCATTCATATTTGTGGAATCTCGCAAAGAGAGGAGAGGTGCAGCAATGTTGATGCTAGCTCTGCCCTGACGGCCCCAGTGTAGGGCAGTCTGATGGGTGGCGCAATAGATAAACGCACAGGTGCATAATGTATATCTCCGTAGCAAAGCTGCTAAAATGCTCCACAGAGGATATTCTCACAACACCAACTAGTCTACACCCAACTATCAATAAGAACTTGCAGCATAATGCCCCCGACCTGACCCAGAGTAGGTTGGATTTGCCGTGCTAAGATCCGCTTTTCAACGCCTTCTGCTAATCTTAGGCATTTGGAGACCCGAATCATATTCATGAAATTTTTTTTGGCACAGGAGACGCTTTCTTTTGGGCTGCCTCGGTGCTGCGTGACAGCAGTACTTTCTACTTTTATTTTTCCTTTCCTGTAGGCTACAGAATAGAACAGAACGGACCCAAGCTATCGTATTTACAGCATAAGAATCGCCAACATAGCCTTCAGCTACTTCAGTAAACGTAGTACACACTCCTGCATGAAGCCATAAACAGGCCTTCTTCGACGGCAGTGTCATTGGTTGTTATTGCTCTGGCATCCCCGTTGCCTGGAAGATGGCTGAGTGTCGCTATTATCAGGGGAGACTGCCATTGAACAACTGATAGGAATCATGGGTAATCCATGATAGGGCTTCTTTAGTCAATGGATATAAACTGATCAACCCAGCCTTCCCTCAACACTTCCATTGCCCATGCTTCCGGATTTTTCCCTAATGATTACTGAGCCTACTTGGAGGCAGCACGTTCAAACTTCGTTCTGCAATAAATGCAACGGGCTAGAGTATACCTGAACAATTGATCCTTCTAAATCCGGAATAACTAGTAAAGTCGAAGTGGTTTGTCTGTTTGTCTACTTTATTTAATGCAGAGTACCGTGAGCTCGATACAAGACGCGGTGTTATGTGGGCACGGTGCTATTTGCAACTAGTTGTGAGTGATCGGAGTGCACAGAGGGTGCAGCCAAGCTCATCCCAGCTGTCCCTCTCCCCTCGTGTCAGCAAGTCACAGGAGCGTGGGCAGGGGAAGGCAAGAACTCTTGCAAAAAAAGAACACACTCGACGACTTTCGATTCCGTTTCTACTGAGTCTGGAGCGAAGTCCTTCCCGACGGAGACCTTTGGTGGACCCTTTCAGCTCGCACCACCATGTGGTTCGACGCAGTTGGTTTGAGCTAACCATTGACTGCGGATGCAGCGGGTTATAATGCTTTCCCCAAAAGTTGTCAACGGTTAGGAAAACCCTCTAGCTGTCGAGGTTGACGGGGGTGTAACGCGTGCTAAGGCGGCAGAGGCTGGCCTGCAGCCTGATGTGGACGCAGTAGCTCCACAGCTGGTAGAAAAGTCAAAGTTTGTCCGCCGCTAAAAGCGTTTTTGCATGTATTGATGAGTTCAAGCTACCAAAGAAGTATGGTGGCCGCAGGGAATGGCAAGTTCTCAAATATCCTAGCAGCCGCTTGAACATCCACCTCGAAGTGTACCCTTCCAAATATAGATAACTAAGTTTTCCTTGTGGCATGTGTACTGAAAAGAGCAACACTTCTTTGGTGGAGTCTCCATGCAGAGGAATTGTGTACATGCAAGGATAACTGGTTCAAGCCTTCGTACAATCCCTCACCCATCTGTTTGTGCGTAGAGAGGCTCAACGGCAAGCTTTAGAACTGAAAAGGCATAGGGGGAAAACTGTATTGATAGATAGCTATCTAAGAGACTGTGATAACTTTTTTTGCAAAGCCTTAACGTAAACTAGCAGCTCCAATACCAGTGGGTTTACTTCAGGCCTACCCAAAGTGTGACCTTGACCCCTCGCAAGCTTAGCAGTTAGTCGTTGATTGAGCAACGAACAAGTAAAGCTTTTACAAATGATGAACCAGTTGAGGTCAGAAGCACTTGAAAACAACGCGTGTGTCTGTGGCGAAAACAAACGAGCCCAGTCGGGAGTTGGAATCTGTGGGTGTCCATCAACGTGCCTGCTTTTATTGTGGGGATTCGGGCTGCGTAAGTAGGAACTGAACGCGTCTGAAAATGCCAAGGCACTTGAACAAAGGAGCTGAACTAAGTGGAAGCAGGCGGCTTGAAGGACAAAGAAGGTACGTCCGGAAAACGGAGAGCCTCCCATGTAGGCTGTGGTACTGTAGAGGAGGCCACAGAGAATCCAGCCGCAGATGCGAACCCATCACGGATCCCCTTGATTATTCCTCTATAAAAGCCTACATTGATGCTTACACACTGCTAGAGCTGCTTGACGCCAAATGCGAAGAGTATTTGTAATCCAAGGAGACGGCGTAGAAGTGCAACCTGTCTGCGCACTCGGCCCATGGGAGTCAGGTGTGTTGAAGGGCAAACGGACCCAAAAATTGGCAGAGGAAAAGAAATATATTGCTGATTCGGCTCTATCGGCATGGTCCTTTACTTCTATGCTAGCCCCGTGCATCATGATAGAATCTTATGGCTGCCATGGGCAACCCAACGGCGGGCGCTTATTCGGCAATAGCTACGTGGTGTAAAGGTAAGCTTACCGGAGAGGGTCAGGAAAAAGCAACTCCTGGCCTTCTTGAAATGCACATTTCAATTGTGGTGAAGGGTGTAGAGCTGGTACTAAGCTGAGGCTGTCTTGCTGCAGGCCGCTCTGCAGCTCATGCAGCTAGTGTTGCCAGGAGCTAGAATGGCAAAATGATGAAGCAATAACACGTTAAGGATGACCTGCTGTGGTTCAAGCAAAGCGGAAAATCCGTCGTTTGTACATGGTGGCTTTGCCATCAGTTTTGTTCTGGGCAAAGCACGTGCTCATGCTATCTCAGGCCATGGTAGGATTCAGACAACGGTGATTTATTGCGAAGCATCTTTCTGGTGGTATGGGATGCGTTTAGCGGCAGGCCCACGCAATGTCATGCCCATCTTGCCAGTAGCTGGAGCCGCGCAGTGCTCCTCGGCCCGGCCTTTTACAAAGCCCCCTGGTCCCTGAAGGATTTGAACTGATCCAAGTACGGGCGTTATTGGTGGAGTGATGATGTCATGGGTTAGAAGAATGTCTAGGACGTGTTCGGCAGACAAAACAACTAGGCCACTTCATCTCTTGCTCCAGCTGTGTCATGGATCAGGAAGTCGGTCGATTATCCGCAGTAAATCTCTGGAAGCTTCACGAATTCTCCAGGAGTATCACTGCGGCTATAAAGCTGCAGTTTATTAGTGAGTTTGAAGTTGCCTTGTATGACTCTTCTATTCCCTGACCAAAACTGTGACCATTGGAAGCCGCCCTGAGACAGAAGGAACACAGCTAATCAACCGCCATCTTCTGCAGTACTTGCAACTCTGTGCTCGCAAAAATCCAAGTGTATAAGCTTGATTCTACTCCCTGTGGTGACTAGGTTTATAATTCAACAGTATACTCGTCTACCCCATAGCTGCTATGCACCCCAACTCTACTGAGCCAATCTTCAGTCTGGGCCAGGCGCTCGTAGCCCTGGATCGGCAGCCATCCTTAGCAGTGGACAGATTTAGATAGCATCTGGCGAGTGCACATAAATGTATGTTCAGACATAAACATAAAGTGGAGATGGGGGACGGTCACCTCTGGGTTTCTAGCCTGGGGATTTGGTTCTGGTGAATTAGCAGACGCACTAGAAGATGGTCAGACAAAGACGTTTGCAGCCAGATGCTAGGACCAAATGCCGTTTGCTTATGAGTTGAAGCAGTTTCTTTATCGACTTCAATAGTATCTGGAAGCTATATAGAACCAGGTATACTGGTTTCCTTCAAGAGTTCAATAAGCGCCTCATTTCCTCGCGGACTTTGCCGAGCAGGCATGGGACCTGTATGGAGGCGGAGGATTTACAGGAAGCAGCACAAGTGCCGGATTTTCAAAAATCCGAGCTCTGAGGACGCTAGACGGAATCATAGTTGAAGGGGTTTAAAACCAGCAACCTCAGTGCTTGACGGACGAGTAGATGCGGGCCTCGTTGCTTGCGTGATAATTTGCAACTCTGCTAGGTTCACAAAGCTAATCGCCATGGACGATACCTCCCACGTGACTTGATAACTGTCCTTAATTAGTGCAGTTTTTGCCTAAAACGACGACCTCCATCGATAGGCATTTCTGGAAAGGCTTCCGGTTATTGTGAAGATGTTCTCTACACTAAGCTGTATGCGTTGCCACTCTCAATTATGTTGTCCCTACAATCTTCCTTGCTCCTCTTTTGGGCTGTCATATCGTATGCTGTCTGCACTGGTTGTACAGGCATCCACATATTGCTCTACGAGCAGCGGAGGCATTGCTGAATTCGAGTTTATTGTGATTATCTTAGCATATCTTATTTGCCTACTACTGTCTCGTGGCAAAGAGCTTACACACTTTAGCGCTCCGATGACTTCGGGCCCTAGCGCCACCTTGCCCGTGTTAGTTTGGCCAGTGGCTCGTTGTTTGATCCTGTGTGCATCTTTCTTCCTTTCTAGATGACTACTAGCGTGTGCCACTTTGGCCCTCAGCTTCATTGGTCTCCGCGTGTCTACTCTCTGAGAAGTGACAGTAGAGCAAAAACTTATCCTCTGTCATTCACGCATATAGTCTCTATGGAGAGGCACAGAATACGACGGTATGTGTTTGAGATAGGGGGAAGGTGAAGCGAGCACAGCTACACGAGGGTACTACCTGGTGCGCTAGTTCTAATTAAAAGTTGGTGGGGAATCGCCCAATTAGTTTATCTTTTCGTATGCTCTCTGTATTTTAAAGCAGTCTCATCTCGATTAAGCACGACTCAATGTTGTGTCGTGCACGCTTTCTGCTGTATGTACTATCTGCAAATGCTCAGGGTGCATAGAGGGTGCAGCAACTTGCACGCCATATATCTGTCTCCCCCGTTGTCGGGAAACCTAGGGGGCCATGGGCAGGGGAAACAGTGAACTGTTCTAGCAAACACTTAACAAGCTTTGAATAAAGCTTATGTTGGTCTGGAAAAATGTGTCTCCCAACGTAGACCTGTGGGGCGGCACCAACGCGCACCTTTGCCCGTTTGCCCCATGTTGAAACCGTTAGGGAGAAGGGCACGAGAAGAGAAAGGTGTTTCAACGGGAACTCAATAGCTTTCCGTATAGATTTGTATTGGGTTTGAGGCTAGTTGTTTTCTTTCGGAGACTCTAGAGGGGCCGTTACACCGGGCAATCCGTACCCTGGATATCAAAGAATATCTTACCCGTAGAGTTACCATAGTTTTGTTCCAAAGGTACATTGTTCCTGCATACCCTGAATCCATTTGAACCCAGCCCAGGGAGAAGAGCGAGGGCCAGGCTATAGCGAGTGACAACCGCAGAACTGTTAAGAGTGTCAATCTCACAGGTGGCACCACAACGAAACGCACCCACGTTCCTGGAAAAAAATTGCTTAGTGATTCCCACAAAAGAATTAGGTGCAATAAGATCTATAGCATACAGTGAAGTGTAATTATGCTTGATTTTGCTCATGCTTTTCATGGTATAGATCTAGGGGTAGTGAAGAGGACCACATACGCCATTCGGTTGAAGTGATGAGGTGATACAAAGGCTATCGTGTCCTTTTATTGTAACAAAAAAATAAATCACCATATACCTGCTGAACTAAGGCTAGGATGCAACGTTAATCTGTTTTTGTGGTCCCTCTCTGCAAGGAGGCAAGGCCACCACTGGGATCGACGACCGAGGAAGGTCGAAGGTATAGTCGCGGCCCTGTCTCCTTCTCCATAGTTAATTCCAGCTAAAGTACACACTCCCTTTATCCATGCTCCGTAGTAGGCCATATTCGTTCGCTTCCCGGATTAAGAAGCAGACCTAGTCTGGGTCTGCCTGCAGCCGCTTCCTCCAGTCCTGATTGCAGAGGGCGTAAAGCGCCGCCTTCCATGACTCTCCCATCCTAAGTAACACTAACCTGTCTTTTGCTTTAGTAGCGTGGACCCATTAACCGTACCCCCCCCTACACCTTTGGCAGGGGACGTTGCACTCACGGGGGATTGGAAGCTTTGCTAGAGGCGTACTACCATTGGCTGTGGGTCTTGCAATCTGACTAAACTCACGATGAGGAATGCTCAAATAGTCCTATTTCTCTTGCTTCTAAGTGGTTCCTGCGCGTCTGAGGCCCCGCCTGCGGTAGACGAAGCTCTACCTCAAGCACGCGGGGAGCCTGTGCCTTCCCGCGAGCTCCACGGCTTTCACGATTTGCTAAGCAGCAGCGAGGAAGTTATGGAGGGTCCATCTTTCTCGGAGGCTTCCTTAGAGCTGAGGAGGCTTTCAGCGGTGCCTCCAGCTATTCCCCGCCGAAAGGGGTTCCCTGCCCTGCTGGGCAGCTTGGGATTGCTGGGCCACGCGGGGTACCAAGCATCCATGAGCTGGAATACCGCTGTACTCCCGGCACCCCTTATGTCATTGATGATTGACAAAGCACGCTTTGACACGCAAAACCTCGCTCTTTTCTCCCTTGCCATTGGTCTCTTCCTACTATACCAAGGGATCAAGCGCAGACTGAGGAGCCACCAGCAAAGAGCACGGTGGAGGGTCGATGAATTACTTCGGCAAGACCGCATACGCATGGCCATGCTTTCTGGTGCGAGAGGCAAATAGAAGATTGTTTCCAAGATGGTAGATGCCTACCTCTCCCCCAGCAGCCAGCGGAGACAATTCAGGTTGAGGAGAGTGTTTTCTAGGAGACGATCAGCAGATGCTTACGGGAACTCACAGGATACTACTGCATGGTAACCAATTTCTTCATGAAATCGGCCACGAATGTTTCACGCTTTTAGTTGTCAACTGCTGTGTACTACCATCGCGGCAGGCAAAAGATTTGGGCCCTCCAGGCCTGTGACTTGGGCAGATAATATCTACAGAAGAAAAGGCAGAGGATCTGAAAGCTGGTATCTGTCGCATCTGTAGAGTAAGACCTACCTAGCGAAAGGGGGATGATACATGGCAGTCGCCTATACCGTCATGTCTGCAAGTGTATTGGTTGCGTCGTTTGATCTATGGTCAACGGCGTTTTTTGCATTGAGCTTTGAAAAGTGTCTAGGCTTTTTTAGGGCTCAGAGGGTGCACACAACTAATACATGGGCGCGTTGCAGAAGGGGTGGCGGGAGCGGAAGCACCGCTACAGCCCTCCTTGTATACTTAGGTAAAGTAATTCAGACTTGACTTTTTCTTTGCTTGAACAGCAGCAATCCCCTGCACAAAGTCTTCGTGCTGCAGTTCCGACGCGTTTCGGCGTAGAGCAATCATCCCGGCTTCAACACAAACAGCTTTCAACTGTGCTCCATTGAAATCGTCCGTGCTCCTTGCCAGCTCACGGAAATTTACATCTGTCGAAAACCAACATGCAATATTTTCGATTCATTAGTCACATGAGGTAGATGAAGGCCGCGATGTGGTATCAGCACAGCCGGCACGTCGCTCACGCGGCACAGTTTTAATGAACTAAACTCCTGCCTGAAACACTGGAGTGTGCACTTTTTTTTCACGCCTTCTTCTCACCTGCTTTATTGACTGTCATCTTCCTTGCGTGAATCTGAAGAATACGCTCTCTGGCATCTTCGCTGGGATGCGGTAATTCGATCTTTCTGTCTAGGCGGCCTGAACGAAGCAAAGCCGGGTCTAGAACATCCGGACGGTTAGTCGCCGCAATGACCTGTATAAAGGACAGAAACGAAAGCGAACCATGGTAAAATAATAATACTTTTCTGCATTACGCCTGAATTTGTGCGGTGGTCTTCACAAAGACCACTCTGAACGGCTCTGCTTGAAAATATAGACTGACAGATTTTGGGTGCAACAAAATCGCCCTCTAAGGTACAACGAAAGATGCTGGCGCAGCCACGAACACTGTGCTTTCGGTCAGTTGTAATGAAATTACTGACTTTGATGCGGTCGTCGCTGCTGAATCCATCTAGTTGGTTGAGGAGTTCGAGCATTGTCCTTTGAACTTCTCGATCTCCGGACAATTCACTGTCGAAACGTTTTGTCCCAATGGCGTCCAGCTCGTCTAAGTGACAGCACAAGACATAAGGGATACAGCAACACATGTCAGGGAAGTCGCCCTTGGATGCAACGACTTGGCAATAATAGTCCATCGACCGATGCCATAGAATTGCACGCGTTGCCAGCACCAGGGCATCATAAAGTGAGCCAAAAACGACTCAGAAAAGGGATGTGACCAGTGGCAGAAACACACCAATAAAGATGATTGCAGGAGCCTTCTCCTTTGCCAACTCGAACGCATCGCGAACCATCTTCGCTCCATCCCCGATAAACATCTGTACGAGTTGAGGCCCCGCCAATTTTAGGAACGTTGCCTTCGTCTGCCAGTTCGAACATGTACATGCAAGTTGTGAAACGTTTTGTGTATAGCCACGAATATAGAGCACGTAGGCAAGAGCGATTATGGGGAAAATGCAAAAGTGGCTGAGTACATGCACACGCCTGCATCAAGCACATCATTTTACATACCACAGCTGTAAACACGCGGCTGCATACTGATCAGCGGATATGCATGGTGATGCAAGCGTTTCATGCATGTAAAAAGCACATAGGTGTTCACGTGAATGACAGGAATATACGTGCACATGGGTAGTCATTCACAAACAAATCCAGATAAGCATACACCGGGTGCATGCCGATCCACAAATGGGCAGACTCTGTACATGATCCCAGTAGTGTACTCGCACGAATAAGTTAGTAATAGATATAGGCGGCACAAAGCAGAACTTCAGAGGAAGGTTGCTATGCAGGTACCCAGTTAGACGTGTACAGGCTACCAGGGGATCATGTACGTGGATACTGCAAATGCTCATAAGGTGCCAACATATCAGGTAAATTACAATACAACGACATCTCAGCGCTATTGTGAACAAGTAATTGGATACGTGCTTAAAAAGTTGTGTAGAGCTTTTAAGTAACAACTCGAAGAATAAGTAATGAATGGTACCTGGGCTGCGCAGGCCCTCGCAAGAAGAGTTTTTCCTGTGCCTGGGGGGCCGTACATCAGAACGCCTGCAAAACAAACAACTAGGTGTACAGGTGAACTTCTGTAGACTGATCTACCTACAAATGCATATTTGCATATGCTTTCGTATCTGCGTATGTGTTCGCAGACATGTGCATAAATACTCAAGCATATAGAAAAGGCTCTTAAGCTGGCCAACCCTAGGAATATGCCAGAAACTGAGATGATAACTTACGCCATCCCATCACCTAACACAACACGTCCAAGAAATAAGGATACACGAACAAATTAAGCGCGATTCTGGAAGACAAAAAGAAGCGAGTATGGTACGAAAAAAGGAATAGACAAAAAAGTGTGAAGTAATAGAGGTAGCTCGCCTTTCGGGGGCCGAATGCCAATCTTCTCAAAACGTTCCTTGTGGGTCATCGGTAAAACTATATCACACGTACAACGCAGCAGGTATCCCCACACAGGAAGTGTAACATAAACAATCGTCGCCAATTTAGAGATATTAAACAGCCGTTCGCCCCATTGGCTCGTGGCTCTTTGATTTCTGCATCGGAGCCCTCGTAGCATCCGCTAAAGAGGCAGGCCCTGCTGTTTGCTGCTGGGCTCTATGCCAAGCACTTGGGCCTACAAGAGCAGCACTCGTTGCAGTACACCATTACATACATCTATACTAAAAACATTGAAGAGCATTGGGGTTAAGCAACACACTTAATACTTGTTAATATTTATCCACTCTTGCAGAGCAGCCCATTTTATCCCTTCTCATCCCTCCCAACAAAAATCGACAGTCTGTTGTAAGGCTCCTTCTTTAGTGTTGTGACTAGGGATGAGGCTAAAACACTCGGCGCAAGTAACTACAGCACCCACCAATGGCCTCTATGAGTTCCTGAATCTGTTTGTCTAGGCCACCGACATCACTATATTCTTCGGTTGGTCTTTCGTCTACCTCCATAGCTTTCACTCTTGCATCGTATTCCGCCGGCAGCTTATCCAGCACAAGATACGAGTCCTTGTTGACCCCAACCTTGAGAGCAACATGGAATTAGAAATTACACATATTCAGACGTATCAACTGCGGAATAGTAGTCAGTGCATGTACGAAACAGAGCAGCCGTACCAACTAACAGCAACAGCTTCTTATACGACAATAGAACGGAAATCGAGAAAAGCCGCACCAGGTCTCCAGGTTTTAGCTGGTCTGCTTCTACAAGTCCAATGACTGGCAAGAAGACGGTCTGAGGAGAGCGCATAGTCCAAACCAGCAACTTTTCAAGCTGAGTCCTACATCAAAAACTGGAAGTCATTCAAGAACCGCCGCCGGCTGTTGCAATTTCTAAGTAAAGGGAACCGGTTTTTGTTGGTGGCTCCGTGTTCGTGCCTGTCTGGTAGAGGTTTTAATGACAATGCATTTTCCTTTGCGCTGCAAGTCAATATCCGTGACGGCCCCATCCTCCTCTCCCTCTTCCTCGTTATCGAATAACTGAGAAAACCCGCATGTTGGCTTGCTTACTGCTCCATTAGGCGCACAGCTAGAAAGATGCAGTACAAATAATTAGTTTGGCGAAGTACTATATGATTTACATGAATGAGGTTTGGGAATCCGCTGTGATGCAACTACTACGTTTCGCTGGTCAACAAATTGCAGATACAACGTGAAGAGTGTGGACAGCGAGGGGTGATGATACACGGAGAGGGCAGAAGCGAGAGGAGAGAATGCGGATGATGAACAGGAGATGGGAAAATAGATTTATTAGTGGCAGAAATAAGTTTTGAGACGTATAACCCCTGCACCTACGAGGGTCTACTCATAGCCATTTCCGACTTATTACGGGGTACCCTGACATTTGCTCTTTCTAAAAGATATGTATCAGGGCATTTGTAATAAAACGTGCATTCAACCAAGAAGCTGAGCGAGAGGGCGCTGCTCCACGTAAAACCTACCTCCACGACACTTCCCACCAAATAGGGCAACTGTTTATTAAGACGAATCTTCTCGATGGCGTCTTTAATTCGCTCCTATAGCGCAACGCAGCCATGGGGACAATTCAGGAAGGCAGAGTATAGCATGTGCACACTGATTTTGCCTCAGTGCCAGAAGATCAACGTACAGCCATACTCACATGCATGTGTGACTACACAGATCTGCTCACATATATGTTTAACTTGGCATGGGATCAAGGAGTAGTTACTGGAAAAGAGTCGGAATAAAAGAACAGAAGCCCAGGTGCACCTGTATCAACACTTGATTGATTCGCATATTGCATTTGCTAAAAGTGTGGCTATACCTGCATGTTGTTCAGCTCATATTTGAGCTTATTTGTTTCGCTTTTGAAGTACTTGAGTTCTGAATCTATCAGGGATGTCCGCATGCGCAGCTCCGCCGCTGTGAGGCTTGCAACCTCTGCCGTGACGCCCTCCTCCTCACCCCAGACATCTACTGAATCCATTTCCTGCTATATGGTGACTTTTCTACGCCTGTGTCTGGTGTGAATGGAAACAGAGAGGGAATAAACCCGCGGTGGCAGGAAGAGGGGTAAGCAGGGCTTCGTGGTGAGGAAGGAACTACATACGTAAATGGCACAGGATTTATTGGTGAAGCAGGATCCTGCAGAGACACAGGTATGCGATGCGGATTACGGCAATGCCTTCGTGGTGTTGCCTAATCGGATGTGCCTGCTGGTTTGCAAAAGGGAGGGAAGTACGGGAAAAGGTAAGGGAGATTCTAAGCAAAAGGACGCCCCGCCTCTAGATCCACATGGACAAACAAAATTTATCTTTATAGTGGGGGAGCGTGGGGCATTACGTCAAGAACAGTGAATTGCATGGTGTTCCGGTGTACGACGAGCTCCACTGGTTGCATGCAGGGGTGGCGCATACCATGTATACAAAAAGCAAGTTTCGGAGGTTACACAGACCTAAATAGAATGTGACACCGCTCAATCCTCATCCCTTTACTTCTGAAAACAATCGAGTAGAACCAGTAAGCAGCAACAGCTGCCAGTGCCCTGTTCCTTGCTCTCGCTCTAGCTACGTAGGCGGAGTCGTTTTGGCATGGTATAGTTGCTGCCTGAATGAACCGTTTTAAAAGATAACCTTGCAATTTACTCATGAGGTGAACCAGCTCAACATTTTTGCTTCATGTGCATTGTTAATTTATAGTGTTTCTTTCCCCATCCCCTATGGTCGTAATCCTGCGTCTGTTCTACCACAATTGATGACGCGTCAACCCTGAAACTTTGCAGGCAAAACTGAACTTGCAGGATGCACAGGGCGGATTGAAGGAGGTAAGGAGCGAGTAAACACTGTAAGAGGGCAAACGCTACAACATTCCAACCAAGGCCTCTGTGAAAAGAGACTTAGCGCCACACTCTTTATAAACTTGATTTGGGCTGTTGAGTGTTTTGAATGAGGTATTCCTTCCATGCCGTGCCTGACTTAGTCCTCGACACGAATGGGGAGGGATTGCCACGGTGCAAGTTACTGCATCCTCCATGCACGCCGAGCATTCAGAGCTACTCACACGGCATCCAATGCTCATGTACACTTTTGGGGCTTTTGTGTCGAGCCAACAGTGCTGTGCAATAGATAAAGTATAATGAAGAGACAAACCCATTAGTCAATTCTTCACCAATCCCTGATTATATATGGCTTCGGAATTGCCTTAGTCTAGCTGAACCCGCTACAGCAAGAAGACAACTCTTGTCTAGAAAAGGGCTAATTTTGTTCCAAGCTTTATGCTCTGTCACTTAGTTCCTTAGGGAAAAACTAGGAACGCTACGGAGATCCTTAAACGGCAAGCCCATAGTCACACAAAAGGACTCCCCTGGCCCAGGAAAAGAGCTGGCCTCCTCTTGCTACCAAAGCACCCTGCCTGGGCTACAAAAGGGGGGGATGACTTAGGCACAACTGTCCGCACTCTTGCCATATTCCAGACGGTCGTTCTTAATCCTAAATAGCGTGCCACAAGCTGTACAGAACTGAGTCCTTTATACATGGCATGAACACCCCAATCACACCTTACATTCTACTATTACAATTTCACAAACTGTCGCTTTTTGTTAAGCGTACAGGGGCGGCAGCCTCTGAACAGAAAAGTAGGGTCTGGAAGGCGAGCCCGTTAGACTGGCCCGTTTAACAACTCCTGGAATTGTAATCGTAATGCCTCCAGCTCATTTCTCTCAGACCAAGTCCCCGTTTGGTATACCAATGGTTGATAATGCATTACTCCGGCTGAAGACCTTGTCCAAAGCCGCTAATGGGACGGTGGCTTTCACCTGAATTTGCCAGCGAATAAAGATCTTTGTACATAACGGGGCTATATGATGTCAAATGCTCTCTCAGCTGTGAAGTCAAGGGAACCCGGAGCAATTCACTCTCACATGTTCCGACACAGCCCTCAGCGCCCGCGTATCCTAAGACACTATTGTGACCAAATTATTGCCGGACATACACCACGCATACTAGCCTGTGAATGAGAAATCACATGATTACTTAATAACACATGTATGTGGATATGCGCACACACGCATCGCGTAAATGTGCAAATAGTGGAAAAGCTACATACGATGTAGATATGTAATACGTCGACTAGGACAGTGAGCACCGCGCTGCCACGTGAAGCGACTCTTCGCACCGCGGCGTTGTACTGAATGAGAACAGTAGAAGGCGCCCGCTGCTGATGATGCAAGTAAGTCCCTGCACAAGGGAGGAGCCACCAGAATAAATATGAAGCCGGCAAATGTAACCAGCTAGCCAGCATTACGAATGCCCTGTAGCTGATCACCGGCTGCCTTTTGGTCTTAACCCGTTGAGCCTTCTACTGAAGATGCAATTATATGCCGTTGTTCTGCCAATGCTTGCGGCTGCACCTGTGGCTGCGTGCGACCCCCCGCGTGTTGCACTAAGGTGATCTCCCCTTTCTTGACGAGGCCAAGCTTCACCCCTTGCAGCGTTTCCTTCATATTTGTATGTTCGAAATGGCCGTCAACTTTCCTTTTGCCCTTTGGCTCCGTGCCCTCCTCGCAGATATCTAAGGCTTTTAGAGCAGCCACTTCGTCCATATCCTCATCTAAGTCTGAAATTCCTGACTCTTCTCGCACACCCTGAACCACCTGAGGTGCATTTCATAGGCAGATTGAAACACAAAGTCATCAAATACAACAAAATTTACAATGCAAGGTGGGAGAATGTACGTCTCTAGGACACGTTACACTGCATAATACTACATGATGCACTAAGATATAGCACAGTGGAATGAAATAGCCTGAGGGTACGGCAGAGTTAGGCCGCACACACAGCTGTAAAAGCAGACTGACGCACAAGGCAACAGTCATGAAGAACAGGGACCGGTGACACAAAGATTTACGTTCACAACCAGGCTATATGTACCAAGCCCTCTAAGCATCTACATATTTTGATGACACATGAATTCGCTGAGATCAGACAGCTGCACAAATGTAGTGTACATAGAAAAGGATTTTCATAGCCCTCCGCGTACATCTGCACACGCACTAAACCATTTATGTGCATACCTATCTATACAAGTAACCGGAGGTCCTTGTGCAACAGCATGTGGATTCATTGTGAGCATAGAATATGCAGACATCCAGACCAGCTGCCCGTACCAGATATTTCACCCCTTTAAAGGGAGTGGATATGGCGTGCAAGCTCACGTTAGCAAGCAAAGAAAGACAAAAGTTTATGATGGAAGAATGAGACCTTACCCTAAGAGCCGCAGCCCGTGTCTCGACAAACGGATCACTGCCCCTCCGCATTTTTTCTCCCAGCTGAGCGAGGGGTCTGTGCAGACACCAAACAAGGACTTTTAGGGCTTAATGTCTTCTAATATCCGCATGACGAACAGAAATACTTCACCTTCAAGGGACATGGTAAGGAAAGCCGTATGTTTTATTCAAAAGGTCTTGCAGCGGTTTGCTTGGACAGTCAGGAAAGTGAGGGTCAGAATCTCAAAAGTCAGGAAAAGGAGAAATTTTACAGCGAGAGTGCGGAAAGCAGGCAGGAGTTGTATAAATGTACAGGTATACTTGACACATCCATGCTTGTTTCAATACCTCGCCAGTTTATTGTACTTATTTTCGACGTATATAGCCCATTAAATTATCCAAGTACACCGCAATATTCTTATATTTACCAAAGAACAGCCTTACAGGGCACTTGACACTGTACAGACAGGAGCAAGCCATTTCAACTCGAGAGCAGTGGGGTGACATCTTACCGGTTGGCTTGCTCCTGCCATAGGGCCCATTTCTGATGCTGCAGCTTCCTTAGGTTGTATGCCGCAGCCAGCGCAAGCCAGAGGATCCAAGGTACAGTAAGTACCATAACAAAGCTAATCCAGCATCCGAAAAAAGTGAAGAGTTTGGGTACGAAGAGACTGCCTATCCATAGGGTAAAGACGGCTATCCCCACAGTAAAGATTAAAATAGGCAACCAACGGTCAGTACTTCTGTACAAAAGCCACACGAGGATCTCGAACCCTGTGAGGATCAAATACCCCAGTGCGAAGGCTATAGCCACCCCAGAAGTATACACCATGGCATCAGGGGAAACAAAATGTACACACAGCAGATATCGGTGCTGGTCCAGGATCTGATCCGCCACCTCGTCTATCCGGTTGCTTGCAATCTCCTTGAAGGTAGTGCAGACGTTGGTGGGATTAGCATAAAAATCAAAGAATGAATGGTGGTGTTTGAGGCCGAAACAGTCGCTCTCCCACAGCACACAGTGTAGATACAGCTGAAGGGGCCCACGGGGGTGCGAGAAGTCTATGGCTTTGTAATTCAGCACGCAGTACTGCCAAACAAAGCAAAACATAACAAGAATAGCGGCCCTCAACATCCAGATGTAGAGCATGCGAACCTTATGGGCCTGTCTCCCCGACGTGATGTCCACGTCAAAACAGTGCATCCTGCGCTTCTCCAGAGTCACCATGCGGTAAGCTTGAGGCAAAATCGAAACAGTGCGGGATATAGAGTACATGACAAAAAGGCAGATAATAAATATAGAGCTGAGAACTAACGTCAGCAGGTTGTATGACTGAAAAGACCAACCCAAAGGCTGGGGGGTAAACGGAAGATACTTGGGCAAATCCATCTGGCCCAGATTGTCACCCCTCTTACTGCTGCTGCGATGGCTATGCTCAGGCTGATGCCGTATCCGATAATGGCCCTGGATGTCTTCCCTTGTCTTGCTCTTGCTTCTGTGCGCAGAGACGAGAGTTCCGTAAGCTTCTCGAGAGTGTCGTGAGGCAAGATTACACTGCGGGGTTAGCCGGAAAGTGCAGCAGATGCTTCTGTTCCAACTTCCCCATTTTCGTCTAGACCTTAAACCCCATGCTCTAAGCCCTCGAGTGCTACTTATCAGCGTAAAGTTGCCTTAGTATAAGCATGGGGGGGGACCATTTCAAGGAAGTCAGCCGTCTATGCCTTAATCACGCCATATTAGTGTTTCTAGCTGCATAAAATCAAGAAGCACACAAAAGTACATCTATGAAAAAAAATTCCAGGAATGCCTGAAGAGAAGATGGACGAGGGGCTACAGCATGCATGGACGTGGCTGGCCTCTTCCTGGGTAGCCGCTAACCATGCCGGCTATTCCTCGAAATAAGAATAATTTAGCATTTGTTGACGAAACGAAGGCTTCAAAAACATGAGGGCGAATACTGCAATGAGATGAGACCCCTCTATTTGCAATGGCGCCCAGAGAGTAGGAGCCAGCCGGGAGAGAGCAACGCACCCGGGAGTACAAAAATCCCCCAACAGAACCAAGAAGAAAATGCTAAAATAGCATTCAGTAGAATTTTATGTGCGCAAACCTCTTGGGGTGTATCTACTATTATGGTGATGTGCAGTGTTACAAAGGCAAACGCTCAGGGCTCTTCCTATGGCCGTCAGCGTCATTCGACCTACCCATCTCCGTGTGCACGGACTGCGCACATGCAATGCACAATTGGTCGAAAGTAATTAAGCTCTCCTTTAAAAGAGTTCCTTCCTTTCCCTGCCCTCGCCCCTTATTTAAAGGAAGAGGGCCTATAGAGGGCTAACGTACGCGTCATCAATTTCTGCTCCTCCAGTCATAGTTAACAAAAACGCGCAAAGTATTGATCAGTTGGTTCACATGCTCTTTTTGCTTATTTATTGCACACTAGTGCTATGTCCAAATAATCCGACCCAATTTTGGATGCGTATGCGCTTGATACTATGTGCAACTAGCTGTCATTGCTTGGAATGCTTAGAATGTGCAACTAGTCGCAACTTCGCCGAATCTCTCCACTCATGAATAAAAAAATCGCAGGAGATCAAGCAGGAAAGGAGGGGATTCTACTGGAAAACGCTTAATAAATTTCTATTTTGCTCGTAAAATGTCTGGAATTCGATGTCGCCACTCGGAGACCTTACATGGGTCCTTATGCACCGCGTGCAGGACAACGGAAGAGTTCCTGCATTATCACCACTCCCCAGCCACTCAGATAAGCAAAGAGCAGTGCAAATGAGAAGGACAAAGTGGACATCGAGCAATATAGAAAACTGGAAAGAAGAAAGACACACACACCAGCCAACAACGAGCGAAAGTGCCAACCTACAAAGCTGTAGTAGCAAGGTGGCTCGACGTTGTCAGAGCACTAAAAGATGTGAGCGTCTTGTGTCGCGGAAACAGAGGGCAAGTAAAACATGTGAAGGGAATCAAAATACCCAATATCTCAGTAGTGCCTCCGCACTTCATAGAGCAAATATGTGCGTTGAAATACAGCTGGTGCACGCAAGATGGTCGATTTCCAAGCCAAAAAGACTCGTAGGCAAGAAATTCGAGACAATATATGGAAAAAACTCTGCGAATAAGCTCGAGTGTGGCGAGTTCCTGTACGATGGACGGAAATGTTTCCGAGGATACCCACAGATCAAAGTACCTATTTCAGGAGGAAGCTGGACAAGAGCCGGCAATTACCGAACACCGTGAGGAATTCCAGTCAGGGGGACTACCCTTGCTAGCCAAGCAGAGCCGCGAACTCTCACACAGGCAACGAAGCCCACCACTGCTCCTTTCTCACGCGACGCACTTACTAGAAACTCCCGTTTGGTGTCTTCTCGACGCGAAATAGCACTACAGTCCAGCACCTCTACAGCTGTTTGTAGGTCGTCACCCTCCACACAGATCGTCTTGTTTCATGGCACAGTTCGGGAATCACTTGAGACGTTCTACAGCTCCTATAGAAACTCAATTTCGATAGTTCTTTAGCAGCTCCAGCTTTCAGGGAAATTGAATGGCTAAGAAGGTACACTGTTACTTGTAGAATTGCAAGCAGTGCAAGCTAACTGGCCACAAACGACTTTGTCTGGTCACCTTCTGCACCTTGTAAAGCCTGTCAATCCACAAAAACCAAACCTTCGGGCTCGAGCCACACAGCCTCCTGCCGCTTATTGCAATTGTGCTAGTCTTTCATACGCTTTGTTCATACATCCGTGCTCACTAGCCAGATGCTTTTTCTATTTCTACCCGCTGCTGAGAGCAATTCTAGATCCTTGAACACCAGTTTTAGGCCCGAAGTTTTAAGATGAGCTCTTTAATACCCCACAGATGCGGGGTAGCAATGGGTCAACAAATGTTTTTAAAATTATAAGCTCACTTAGCACGTGGAGGGGAAACAGGCGATGCGTTCACATCACTGTGAGCATAGAGTCTTCAAAACCACAAAAGTGTGCCCTTGGTGCGCCCGATCTACCCATCTATATACGAATGGCTCGCAGTGGTCATCTTATGGTCGATGGGTTGCGGGGCCATGAAGGCACACCGAAGCAAAGTAACTAACTTTGGACACCTATCTGTGATGATACTCCTGAACAATGCATGAAGCTTAAAGAAATGCGTTAAGATTTTGTAGCGACCTCTTGAGCCGTGAGAGAGTCGGAGCAAGGCATGAATTGGGCCTATGTGCCAGGTCAAACAAAAACAACGCAGATGCTCTCCCAGCTGTTGACCTTGAGCTGCTCAACAAAAGTTCATCGGCAGATCACACCAAATCCTTCCATGGCCAGAAGGCTCCTCAAAAGGTGGGTTTAGGGGAAATGCGCAGCTTAAGCCGCTGACAATTTGGGCATGCGGTGCACACTGCTCTTTTGTGGGACGCATGTCAGGCCGACAGAAAGGCCACAACAGCCGTTCCATTGTAGCGTAAATCCGACCATAATCCGAAACATAACAATGGTGTTCTTTGCGCAAACCAACACAGTGGAACAAAGTTTTAATAAACAAGCGACGGAGTCCGAACTTTGCTTTAAATCTCGGCAGGTCATTGCTATCGTGATAGTGCTTCACCTTTGGCCATTTTAGGTTTTGGCAATCGTAGCTGATGCATGGGTCAGAGTGCACAAGACTTGCGCAATTTCGATAGCGATTGTAGAGCATCACAGACAAACGATTGCGCTGCACAGTAATGAATTGCTGGGATGTCGCGAGGACTTGTCCGCGGCCGCGTTGGTGATGAACTCTGCATTCTTCGCCGTAAAGTTGTGCTGTGAGAGGCATGCAAGCCAACGGACAGCTCTAAGAACATCAAAGGATTTCTCTAAATTGTACTAAAGGCTGGTTGGTGGGTACAGACAATAAAACGATGCCCGTATAGATAGTTCCGGCATGTCTCACACCCTACCACACCGCACAGAGTTGCACTTCCTGCACTGAATACCGCTGCTTGGTTTCGGCGAAGCGATAGGAATGCTGAGCAACAATTAGGCATTTTGAAGAGCCCCTATCTTGTTTTGTGAGAATAACACCCATTAACATGCCGCAAGGACCAATTGTTTTACCTTACCAAAAACGTTCGAAGCGCAATTCACTTCCAACCCGCAGGTGAGATCTTCCAGTGCTTGCCACATTTACGGCCGTTATACTTTTCTGATCTTCATGACCATATCGATGTTTTTTAACTATGCAATGACTACGGATCCATCCCATTTTACCAGCTATGGTGCTACTGCGTAAACTTCAGCTTTCAGGCTGGCCTCTGCCGCCTCAGCCGGTGTTGCGACATCGCCGACTTTACATTTCCAGGGGGCTGTCCTCCCATAGTGGTGCCAACGAGAAATGAGTTATCAAGACATCAACGCGGTTGATACAAATCAGACAGCCGCCCTGGAATACTTGACATCCAACTGCATCCAGCGCCAATGGAGGAGTGGGTAACAGCTGTATCATATCTTCCAGTGCTATCATCTTTGACGCTTCACCTGATGCCTGTGTAGGAAGCTGATTGGCTCTAGACTCAATAGCAAACTAGGAGAAATTCACTGAATTCTTCAGGAAACAGTTCCCGCCTTCCTGTACCCCCGCCTCAGAATCCCCCACAGGAGGGACGGGGGGCAGCTAGGGTGCAAGTTCCTGCACCTTCAACGCACTCCCAGCATCCACAGCTAATTGTTACTAGCACCTAGCCCACGGGCATATAACACTGCATCTTTTTAAATTGAGTGAAAGCTAGTAATTTAAGAAGATATACGAACAGGCAAACCAATTGATCAGCTCTTTACTATTTCTTCACTTGATTCAGAGTGTAGTAAAAAGTGCCAAAATCGAACCTAGCCAGCTGGAGGGATCAAATTCCTGCCAGCTCTCAGCCTATGCTCGAGAATCTTGCTGCCGTATCCTGCTAAGAAAACTTTGGACCGCACTGGAAATGTTCAGCAGCCACATTTTCCAAAAGGTGTCGTCGGGGGGTTCTGCAAAGGGAGGCAGTAGGCGTCATTTGAGAATTCCTAAAGCTTGAATCCCTGCCCAATAGTGGTTATTAGGTAGGGATTTCACACTTCACCATGCACTGCTTTCACCAAAGAATTACTCAAGACATGACTGGTTTGAATGTTATATCATGCTACTTTCTGTATAATCGAGCTAACTCAGCATTTAAGGCTTGAACACTGTGTGCATGTGCACTGAGTTGTTATGCTCTAGGGGATGTACAAGCTTTAAGGGCTCTGGAAGTGCGGCAAAGCGCACCTTGGATGTCCATCTCCTCTTTTCCCGGAACACTGAGAGATGCAGTCAATGAGAGGGTGGATTCGACTTAAAGCTTAAGTTATATAACATGCTAAATCATCAGGCCTTGAATGGGGCTCGGCGCTATCCCGCTGACCCGTATGAAGTGCTACCCTATTCAGGTTTGCCAAGTACTGCTAGACAATCCACAGGCGCACTTCAATGAGCTGGGAAATGCGTCTTTTGCTGCTCCCGGAATTCACAGTCATAACATGTAGGTACAACTGCAATTATGGGCAACCCAAGAAGCAGCGGTAAAGGGCCTTAGGGGGGCTGAACGCCTGTGGTGACATATTTCTCAAACCGATATTACAATATGCAGAAATCGAGCCGCAAGCAGGGTAAATAGGCCCTCTGATTAAATAGTACAAAGCCAGTGCATAATTCTAAAGACAGGTTGCCCCTGGTGTGGCCTCCAGCTGACCATTCAGTACTGGAGCAGTTGACGACGTACGTGAAACCCAACATCACAATCTCTAAGTGTCTATATAAACTGTAAAAAGCTTTGAGGAAAAATCTATACACCGCAGGTTTTACACGTGTAAGGCATAAGGATAATTGAACTCAAGCTATAGGAATGAAACTCGAGGCTCCCTACGTCTGAGCTAGAGGGGGGCTTTTTCGGCACTCACTCACTCCTGGGATGAAGCTGTTGACCCCCAAGCCCCATTTCTATGAATTGAAAATTGAGCAGCTACATGATGAGGGTATGAATCTTCAGATATGCACACGCTCACAATTGTCGTCGCCTTGAGGCCGTGGCAGCTTAAGCACACCCGATGAAGCACACAGAACTTCTCTGAGGCCTTTTACCAACAAGGCACGAAACTCTTTGGTATATTTTTGCTGCTAGTCAACGACATTATCGACGACTTGGTCATAAATAGTTGCAATGCCCGCGTACACGGCTGCTGGGTGACGTTCAAAGTCTTCCGGCCCTCGCAATTGCCCGACCTCTGTCTTTGCCTGATATCTCTATGCCACATTCAATACAAGTATGCTCTCTTACCACTCAGCTAGCTTCTGTTATTTCCCTAGCTGTATACGCTCTATCTTTACGGGTCTATTTCAAGCTGGCTGTCCTGCGCAATGCTATCCTGGGAGTCGGCGTTCCGCAAGGAATACACTGTAGGTCTGTCCAGAGATTTGTTCACCTTGCACGATGTGGTAGAGGAACGATTGGCTGGCCAAAATGCCTTTGCCGAGGACCACGTGCCAACGGATGCGTTTGATGCAGCGATTAAGATACAACAGCAGAATGCCGAAGACGATGCCGGAGAGGATGAAGAGAGAGGCCAGAAACAGGAGTGGCATCGTAAAAAAGAGCTCAAGGAGACATCGGAAATCCTTGCGCTGCAACGAATGTTGCCAGATTTGTTACAACAGGGCAGATTACAGGAGGCAGAGGGAGCCATTTTGTACTTCTTGGACAGAAACCCCAGAAGCGCCGACGGTTTCGTCTTGTTAGCTGAGGCTTGTGGCTGCCAAAAGAATCAGATGGGAGCCCTTTCTGCAGTATGGGGGGCCATATATAACAGCCCAGGGAATAGACGACTCCTGCGCTTGCTAGCACAGTATGAGGAGAGCTTTCTCATGGAACGGTGTGAAATCCCATTGCAGTTCAAAGTAAGGGCCTTACAGGCCCCAGATTACGAGGCCATAGAGGAGAGCGGGCAGTCGGACACGTCTTCATCACTGGGCTTTGGACAGCAGGAAGCCCCTGTGTTTGTTGCGAAGCAGGGGTGTCACACTGTAGCCTTTGCTAACAGGGATATGAATCCTGGGGATCTAGTGTTCAAGGAAAAGCCCTTCGTGTGTACTCCGCTGATGCTGGAGGCTGGTCAGATTTTCAGCAGCTGTTTTCACTGTCTGCAAGAAAGAGAGGATCCTGGGAGGGCGTTTTCTTGTCCGGTTTCCCCGCATTCGTGCCCCTTTGTTTTCTGCTCTTGGGACTGTCTCATGCGGAATGGGCGACTGCATGCTGTAGAATGCAAGTGCATGCCCATGATACATGCAGCAGCGAAGGAGTCGGGCCTCCACGTGACATCTGTACTCCATGTATTTAGGACCCTCGTTAAGTCTGCCATGCAGCGAGAGTTACTGGGCCCAAGAGATGAGAGTGCAGAGTTCACGTGCACCACAGATGTAGCCACACAGCTTCTCAGCCTAAACTCTTATGAGGCCGCAGTTAGACAAGCCCAGCCTGAGCTGCTAAAGAGACTGCTTTTGCTGAGCAGGCGCCTCCAACAAGGTCTCCCTTCATCTTTGTTGCTATACCTTTCAGAGAAGGAGTTGGTACACCTCATCCTCGTTGTGCTGCAGTACTCTCTTTTTGTATCTGCCACCTCAGCAGCAGCGGCAGTGGAACGCAAAAACCCTGAGTGCACTCTAGGACGCATTTTGGCTCCAGCAACGGCTTTGCTCCACCACAGCTGCGTTCCCACGGCGACTATCTGCCTGCAGGAGGATGGACAGGTTGCTGTGAGGGCCCTGACCTTTATTCCATCGGGAGGCTTCATCTGCCTCTCAGTGGAGGAAGACTTGTTCAAGCCACAAAAAGAGCGCAAGGCCATTGAGTCCCCACCTAGAGTATTCGGTTGTGGCTGCGTGCGCTGCACAGAGAACGATGAGGGGGGACGCCTGCTGAGGGGAATCAGGTGTTTTAAGTGCGTTAGGGGTTTCCTATGCCCTGCTAAAGGAAGAGCAATTCTGGACCGCCTCAAGGCATACGAGGAGACAGGTATATGCCTAGTCCCTGCGAAGCAGACAATGAATGCCCCGGTTAAGCTCACGGTGGCTAAAGCGGGGGGTGTCTCTTTCACGAAAATTATTCAGAAGAAATCCGAGGAGAAGCAAGGGGGGCAAGAGGAGGTTGTGGAAAGGCCTGGTGAAATGCAGAGCAAAGGCGAAAGTTTAAAGCCTGCGGACGAGCAATGGCTCTGCAACAGCTGCGGTCACACTAGTCCCAAGGTGTCTAAGGCCTGTGATGCCATGGAAAAGGATATTCTTCGGAGACAGACCCAGGCCGAAGCCGACTTGGTAAAAGGATCCAAACAACTTGCTGCCAAAGGATACGGTGACCTAGTGGAGCACTACGGCAGCAAGGTGCATCCACAACACGCGGTTCTTTTCAATGCTCATACTATCCTCGCTGGACTCTTAGCCTCCCAAGGAGGCAAGGGGCTCCCACGGGTGCGGCATTTCTCATGAAGACTTTGCTGTGCACACTTATCTACGATGTAGGGTCTAGGAAATAGGCTGTGAAGCTTAGGGAATACTTGCGTTTTTCGACGAGGAATGCTTTGGAGTTTTGCGTGCAACTGGGCTCCAACACTTTCGTTGGTGTCCAATTCCGTTGTCGATTCTTCCCAGAGTTGCGGTTGGATGCAACAGCTGCAGTACACCAGGAAATGTCTTATGAATAATAGTGCGGGCGTTTCGACTGCCTTATTGTGAAACGCAGGCCCTAATCCTATTAAGACGTGCCACAGTGGCGGCGGAGACTGTTCTACCAGTCGCATCAATGACTAAGGTGCACCTCTACTTGAAACTTGCGGAACTTACTTACCAGGTCAGTTATTTCAGCAGCACGCAGCAACGGCGCCATGGAGTGCAAAAAGTAACGATGAGGACCTGCGCATTACTTATTGCTGCAGCGTGGGCAAAGAGCAATGTCGTCATCAATGCTTTAAGGTCACAACTCTGCAATGCTGAGGGAGAAATATTCATGCTATCGATTTAGTTATTGCTCCTGCTACTTTCAGGCGATGAAATTGGACAAGCAATGCCGACGAGGTCCCTCGTTGCCTCCAGAGAAGATAATGGAACCACTCTTTTGCGCCTTGTGGAACTGCGTGGCTTGTTTGGGCAGAGAGGCTAGCCTTTCGGTGGTTATATGTCTTCGCCTACGCCGCTTTGCCGCCCTCCTTGGTATCTGTACACCCCCACTCTTCTACGTCCCTGTTGTGCGCACTGAGGACGTTTTTGTTGCCCTGTACCGCTCAGCGACCAACTCTACCGCGGCTACCCCAGAGGTAATCAACTATCCATGCGCCACTCAAATACGTAGCTCTCAAGACAGTTGCTTTTAGCCTCTTCGTGATAGTGGAGTGCTAATGATCTTGGTGGCTAGGCCAATTCGTTATAATATATGTAGCGAGACGCTTTGGTACATGTTAAACCGTTGCTAGATTAGGGTCGCCGTCACTGATTTAGTATCTAAAATGAGTGTTCACAAAAAAAGACCTGAAATCTAATCTCGGTCGAATTTCGCTTGCAGCAAATCCGATCGCACTTTCTCCGAGACCCAATGTTTCTGGCGGTTGCCCTGCTGCGTCGTGGACTGCATTTCCCACTTGCTCTAGAACTATTTAGGGCTATGAAGGGAGTGCATCACCTTCCTACAGGCTTCAGCCTCCTCGGCCTCGCATGTCTTCACTCCCAGACGGCCATTGTTAGCAAGTTAGCCTGGTCACTGCTCATATTAATGCCGCATTCCCCGATAGAGCACCTTCTGCTGTGCCTAAATTCAGAAATGCTTAATTCTCCTGCTAGGCTACTTTGCTATGAGGGCTGGGTGCTTTTCATCCGTTGCTGCTGAGAATGTGTCAGTGTGTTCTCGGTCATCTGTGTAGGTTGCTGGAAATGGGATACGATCTCTTTTCAAAGTCCCACTTGGGCATGACCCCTTTGTTGGCAATGTGCGCTGCCAGAGGCAGCGGTCTTTCTCTCACGAAGGGTCCTCCATCTCGCTTCTCAGGTGCAGTAGGCGCAGAGGAGGCGCAGCTTGAAATCTTGCGGCTTATGCTGAGGCACTGCGATGATCTGGATACTTCCGCTCCCGTCAAGACTGATCGGAAAGTCCAAAAAAGTGGTTCTCCTACGTGCAAGGGCCCGTTGCAAGTGAAAGGCCAGTGTGTCCAAAACTCAGGGAACGCAGAACAGACAAGACATAGTGGGAAGACCCACGTTCTTGATATGCAACCAAACAGACGGCGGCTGCTCTTCGCCTCAGCACATAAATTCCTCGGTCGAAGCCACGCGTTGCACTTTGCTGCCAGCAACGGCAAAGCCAGGCTCTGCCGTCAGCTCCTGGCAGCTGGGAGCGTGGTAGGGGTTCTAAACGCTGAGAGTGCTACTCCGCTGCACTTAGCATGTTTGGCTGGTGAAGTGGAAACAGTGAAAGTATTATTAGACCACGGTGCTAGCATAAATTCCGCCACACTGAGGGGGGAGACGCCCCTCGTGCTCGCCGCTTATTGGCTGCATGGGGAGGTCACCTCCGTGCTCCTCGAAAGGGGGGCCGACTGCAGTGTTGTCACCAGGGCAGAGGGCATGACGGTGCTACATGCAGTGGTCGCTGGGGTGCTGAGGCAGACCAAGCCTTTATTCAGGGGACTTTCATGGGAAGGGGACCCTGCAGCAATCGCTTTAGAAGGCCTTTCAATGGAGTCGGCTGCGAGGGGCGTCTACACGAGGGGAGGCGCATCCTTAAGCCCCGAAGAGATCTTCGTGGATCTGCAGCTCCCTAGTTCAATACCGGAGGATAGCGACTTGTTTCTATTCCCGGATGAACTGCTGAGCAGAGTGAAGAAGGCACAGCAGTTACTGCTTTCGCTGATGCCCCACTGCGATGTCAGCACATACACTCAACACACTCGGAACGGCCTCACAGCAGCCGATCTCCTGCTCCATTCGTGGGACAGCTTTCAGAGCAAGCGTAACAAGCTTCTGAAAAATGGAGACCTGCGGCTCGCACCCCTCACAGACAAGGAGAGGCGACAAGTGGAGGAACAGTGGCACTACGCCGTGCATCTGATCTACATCTTGCGGGGTCTCTTGAGGCCCCACCACTTCACGGCTGAGCAGGTAGCGAAGGCTGAGGCTCGGACCCCTAGGATGGATCAGCTAAACGAAAAGCATCATCAGCGGCTACTTGCGGACGCCCCATGGTTTTTCCCAGAAGAAGTCCGTCAGGCCACAACGAAGGCCAAAGCCGGAGTAAGTCCCACAGGAAGGGCACCAGCTGCTGGCTAAGGATTGAAGGTAACCGGTGGCTGCATTAGTCCTGCAGCGTTTTTTGAAGCTTTGAAGAGGCATTAGAGCGCTCGCCAGGGTCTTCCCAGAAGAGCCCCAAGGAGCGCATGATTGCAGCTGATTAACAAACCGTTTTGAGGCTGAGAATTGATTCGACTCAGCTTCCGTCGTTTGGTGAACAGACGAACCAATAACATAAGTTTTGGGGCATTCACTGTGGGCTAGCTTACAGATGTACAAAAGAACTGGCGTGCGTACACCCGAATTCAGTTCTATTTGCCGTCAGCATCGATTGCACCAAAGGGCTTCGTGGACCCTGTCTCCTGTTCTAACGTGTTGTTTGCACAAATAATCTCTACCAGTTCAGCATGGCACTTGCTTTGGCAATTTTACAATAAGTCGCAATGCTAGCTTATTCCATTTGCTGCAGAAGGAACAAAGTCCCCCTGTCTAACTGGATAGGCTCCTTTCTGAGAACCCTCGGTTTGTGGTGAGTGTCAGCTGCTAGAGTACGAGCTGCTTTTGTAACAAAAATTTAGAGCCCTAATTGTGACTCCTTCTCGCGTTGAGGAGGCGATAGAGTTTCTCGCCAGTTCCTTATTTCGTCGGGCACCCATGAATCCCCCATTAAGGTGGATACTTTGAGGGTCCCCCCTCGATGACCCCAGTAGTCTACTTAAGGCCTCATCCAGTTCCTCCCTGTCATTTGTTAGGTATGCGTTACTACGTTCTCCATAAGCTTATAAATCTGAGATGTCAGGTGCTACGATCCCAGGTCAAGTGCTGAAAGCTTTACCGGAGAAAGGGTCAGTGTTGCTCTCACTGTCACTCCTGGAATCCCATTTTTCGTAGCGTGGGTGCATACCAGATTATCCTTCGCACTTCATCGCCACTCTAAGGCATCTCCAGCTGTACTGCAGGCTCCACAGGCGCTGTTTCCAATGCGCTCTCTAACTTGCTTCTCAGGAGAATCTCGCGAGACCTGTGGTTTCAATTGGCGCCGCCGCTGCTAGTTTACATACTGCTGATACATCAACACTACACGCAGATCACATATCCAGGAGTTCCTTCCAATGCCCCTTCGGGGCTTTCCGTACTCCATAGGCTGGAGTTGTTGTCACCCGCGAGTCAATGGTTCCTCGCAACAAACATATCCATATTCCTATCCTAGCAAATGCACCTCCTTCTTCTGCTGGAACTCTGACTTCTCTGGATTTGGGGCTGGTGTACTTTACTCATGATACAACATCGTCTAGTAGCGCTCTAGTCCCTTCGAAAGCAGCTGCTGCCAGCCCTGCCACTGTAGAAAAATACTGGGCAAATAGCTTGCTGCATCTACGGGGTGAGGCTATTTATGGCAGGGCTAAAGGGCAGCATGTATCCCACAGTGCCAGATTCTACTACTTGCGCTGTGCTGCCAGTTTTTGATGACTTGCCTTCTGAGGCAGCGCTTCTCTGGGCATGTAACTAACCTCAGTACTAACTACTAATGCATCTGACCGCAGGAAATTTGTCACCCCAAGAGTGCCAGCTACTCCAAAAACAGCTTTTCCTTTCTCTCCTGCTGATTGTCATGGCATGGCTGTTGTGCATTCCTTGTTTCTTCACGAGCATTGTGAGTTGCCTTAGGCTTAATATGTACCGAGACACCAGGTGGTATAGCGGCTTCCACTCCCGCAGGATTAATCGCGCTTGCTCTCGCTGGAAGCTCTGTAGGTGCTTGTGTTGGAGTAAGACAGTATAGCAGCTGCCATAAGTACTTTGCGAGCCCCAAGAGAAAATATATAACGTATGACGTTGAACAATACATGTGAGAACAGGCTGGAACGGATTGCCGATGGCAAGGCACATACCGCCGGCGGGGGCCACGAAGTTCACTATGCATTTTTTCCTTGTGGGCCTTGCCAGTAGAAAGCGCAAAGGAAATGAGATTTCTGGATTTGAGCGTGCCTTCGCTCGTGAGCCCACTCACTGCTAGTGCTGCCGTTGCTGCCACAGAAAATGTTCGAGGTCCCTTGGCTCCGGTTGGTGCGGAGCCCGTATGTAGCGAGACGGCTTGCAGCAGTGATGAGGACGCTGAAGCCCGTGCAGTTCCTTATTGATTGTTTGTTCATGGACATGATGCTGTTTAAGCGGCCGCTGCCCTGCTTATCTCACTGCATGCCATGTAAACTGGTGCCGCTGTAGGCAGCACTGGGCATTCTAATGTTAGGGACACGACTCTTTTGGTGCTACTGCTAATTCCCTAGCTCCAAACCGTTCTTCTCTGCGCGAGGCCCTAGGCAAATGCAACCTCAAAAAATTTCAAATTCTTCCCCACACGGTTATTCCTGCTGCCCCTCCACGTATGTACCCGCTGCAAGCCTACTTAATACTCGGATTCCTGATCAGAGTCTAGGCTCTCCATGTCTCTGCGCAGGCTAGGGGCAAGGAAACCTAGTGGCCCCCGGTCAATTTTGAAGGCTACTCTTGCCCTCGTGCCTCTGCGAGTCATTGAAGGGCTTTGCATCCAAATGTGCCTCTTCAAAAGTACACCTTGCTTGCTGGGGTCTCCTTGCGCTAAGGGATACCGGCCCCCAAGGGTAAGCCTTTTGAAAAAGGCCCCCAATTTGAAGGCTTTCCGGCTCTCGGAAAGAAAGTGAGACTGCGTTTGTTGGGCTTGGAGCTTTTGTCGCTGGCTGCCTTGGGCACTGATGCTGGGGTCAATCAGATATCCATTCCACGGATCGCTGATTAACAAAAAGCCATAATGTACTAGGAATAAATCTGGCTGCCAGGAGAGCATTCTGCATAGTGTGTGAAGTGCCGTTGTAGGGATAAGACTGAAGCATACCTCTTAAGAAGAGCTACCGCGAGGAAAACATGCCTCCGTTGGGTGTCAAAAAACCGACCTGCTGATGCTCATGCCGCAAACGCTTCTAATGTGGGGGCCTCAGAATGCACTGGCAATTTTCCCTGCTGATAATCAGACACATAAATACCCAACCGATCAAGATCCAGCAGCTCCACTTGGTGCTCTTCCAGATGCTACGGTTGCCACCGAGCAAGCTGTGGACGGCAAATGTGGATACACCCTGGTTCATTCAAGTCTCATGATTGCCTGGCAAGCTCTCCAGCAAGCCTCTTTGTTGCTCTTCGTGGCTGTACCTATACTGCATCTATTCATGGTGATCCAGCATCTCTTGCTGCGAAGATAGCGAAAGTCTCATTTGCTTCTGCTGTGCGTCTTCCCCTTACCCTCGTAACCCCTGCTTTGGCGCTTCAGACACCGCTGCTAGGAGCGCTGGATCAGGTAGAGCCAAACAATGTTGGTAGCTGCACTCCATTGCGTTGCTGCGTCTCTTCGTCTTGCTCCAATCGCAGATTATTCTCTTTCTATTCCTGTTGGAGCAGCGCCAAGCGTGGCTGTTTGAAGATGTATGTGAATGCAACTTTGGATGCTGCGCTAAACCTTATCGAGATCTTTCTGCCACTGACAAGAGCGCTTCCCAAATGGGTAACGCAGTTGCCAGCCGTTCCGGTCCTCGATCTGCTGTTGACATCGAATCGCGTTCAGGATCTTTGTTTGCTCGTATCTTTTGGGAGTAAGGGGTCAGGTAGCATTTAGGTCGTCTGTTGGGGTTGCCGCTGGTGAATATAATAATCCTTCTTACTGTTGAGAGCTGCTTTTCCTTGTGAAACGGGTAGGAGCTTGAAGGCGGAGCTTGATGTGGGCTGTTGGGAGAAGACAGTGTGTTTCTGGTGCTTTCATTGTTTTCGGTTCTGCAAAGACTCGCACTACAACAGCCTCAGTGAGAAGAGTCATGGGTGCTGGTGTCACCGGCGTTTCTGCTGGCTCCAAGCTCCTTGCGTGAGGCATCAAGGCATTCGTCTTAGTCTCTGGCTTCCTGCCTGGCGAGGCATGACTAATGAGAGCTGCTTACCGTATGGGATCGCAGCAAACTTGAAAGGCGAGCTCGATATGGGCTGTTTATGGGAGACAATGTGGTGTGGTGGTACACCTGTACTTGAGCCTTTAGGGAATCATTGTCACGGGCTCGTTAACTTGAAATCAGCTCGGCGAGAAATGAAATCCAAAAGAATAAAAAAATAGGTGAGAGAGAGAAGCAGTGGGCGTTGGGGGCATGATCTCACTGTATACTTGACTTCCTGAAGACTCTACACTAGGGCTACGTGGATTAACAGGATAATACTTCTCCTGCTGTTAAAGGTGCGAGACACATGCCCTAGCTCTACAAGGCGCACACTATGACCATGGGCTGAAGAGGGATACATCAAACGTGGAGAAGTGCACATGGACTAGAGCTGGCAGGGTCACTGGGGCGAAACAGCGATAGGCAACAATCCAAGAAAAGTAGCCGATGCTTGGTCTCCTCAAAAGACCATATATATCAGTAAAAACAATTTGATCCAGCTCAAAAGACTTAACATGTGATTTAAACAGAATTACAGTTAATCGGAGTTTCCTGTGCCGAGCAGAACCGAGATGTCCACTCGGTGACGAAGGGTATTCTGCTCATGGTGGTCCAGCTGTTGACACCGCGCTAGGTTCCCTATCACTTTTTAGTTATTCCAGCCTGAAGAAGCATGTTTTCCTGGTATGATGAGTGAAATTACTTGGATTGACAACTAAAAAGGAGACACCCACATCGAGATGGAAGGGGCTTCGAACCAGACTAGTTCGGCCAAGTGGTTCAGCACAGCAACAGTGAAGCTGAGTATGGCCATAAATAATCTGTGAAGAAAAACGCGCAAGCCAATAAAGCAAGTCCGAAAACCAGAACCTCGAAGCTGCTTATACATATCTGGCATAAGCGGCTTATCGCTGTACAAGAAAACAAGGTTCCAGTGCAGCGCAGGGGAAGGTCTCTTGCCTAGGGATGAAGTAAAACACAAAACAGTTTGCTTTCACTGACGCTCAGTTCTGGTCATTTATGGTCAGGTGGACTTTTTGAAGGCCAAAATATTTAGCCACAAACACAAGATTACAGCCAGTGCTC